GAGACACATAGAGACACAAACACAGAGAGACATAGACAGAGAGACACAGAGAGACACAGAGAGAGACGCAGAGAGAGAGAGAGAGACACAGAGAGAGAGAGAGAGAGAGAGAACCACACAGAGAGAGACGCAGAGAGAAAATATTTGAATCTGATTTTTTGGTGCGCCAGGCTTTGGCCCAGCTGTGGTCGCTGCGCGCCATCGCCCGCAGCGACCGAGGGCTGCGCCTGGACTGCGTGGCGTACAGCGCGGCGACCGCAGGTCGCTCTCCGAAACGCCGACGTGAACCATCCAACTCTTTGCTCACTCCCTGAGTCACTCCCTGAGTCACTCCCTTAGTTCATGGACTAACTTGGGTTGGTTGCCATTTTAGTGGGAGCCCACTCAGGCAGTGAGTCCAACTTGTGGTTTCCTTTGTCCAAGCGAGCTGCGATGACAGATCTGCACATCAGCCACCAGTAGGATTGAAGATGCTCTTGTTTGAGAGGTCCAACTCCGATCCACGAAGCCCAGAGCACTGGGGTAGGGTTAAAGTCGCATCAGCTTATCCTTTTTTCCTCCGTCCGAGGAGAGTTGAACTGTGCTTTCAAACTTGGCTGTTGCTCTTCCTTTTCAAAGCGTATTTGGGTCGCCGGCGCAACACAAAGCGCGGCGTAGCGTACACTGTGGAGGCGAGTGGCCAATGTGACTTGCATTCCCGCAGCTGGCGCTCGAACTCAACACTTGATGACCATAAACTGGCGTGGCCGATGGGGAACACAAAGAAGCCATGAATTGTTCACTGAGCGATACCTGACAACCTTGCTTTCACCTCGGCGTGGGACGCAGACGGCTAAGTAGTTTTGCGGCACAGTGGCCAGCGTGATTGCCACGAAAGTCAACATGAATGATGTGACTTCACTCGCACTGGTGGAACGTCGCGCGTGCGTCCCCTTGTGCACGCACTTGTGATAGGCCCTGAAAGGATGCCGTAGGGCCGGGTGGAAAAGTCAACCAAAATACCAGCTGGTTTAGAGGATCTTTGAGAACATCACAGCTAGTTTTTTCATGCAACCTTTGGCAGGTCAAGGAGATGGCTCAAATTGGATTGAAGTTCAACGCCAGTTTTCCATACTTCCTTTCGTGAAACCAAAGCCAAACCGCCTAGCGCAGAGCAAGGACAATCGGGGAGTGCTCCGAAAATGGTTGATTTTATTGTGCAGCCCGGCTTCCTGGTTTTGTCTTCCCTGCTCTTTCCGACAAGGGAGGTTGCTGGTTTGCTTCTTGGCGGCATTTGCCTGTCAAAGTCGACTGAATGAAACACCCTCCTGTTTGTTCCGTTATTATATTACCTGATATGTTCCATACATAAATACATTAAAAAAACAACAACACATATATATATATATACAATATATATATGTGTATATATACATATACATATATACATATGTAGCTCCAGCCCAAGGGCACCAAGGCCCAAAAACACTCCCCTGGCCCCGGATTTCGCAGGTGACTGGCGGACTTGTGCAGAGCTTTGGGCCCATATGGCGTCGGAGCACGTGGCGCCTGATGTGATCCATGGCACCAAATGAAACCAGCAGGGCATAGATGTTACCCAGTCTGGAAAGATCATGTTTACCAAGATTTGTGTTTTCATGCTTTCTCCCAGACTCTGTCATTTTGCACCCGGTCTAGAAACAATACATGTTTACCAAGGTTTGTGTTTGCATGTTTTCCAAATTGAACTGTTTGTGTGTGTGTGTGTGTGTGTGTGTGTGTGTGTGTGTGTGTGTGTGTGTGTGTGTGTGTGTGTGTGTGTGTGTGTGTGTGTGTGTGTGTGTGTGTGTGTGCGTGCATGTCTTTTTCCACGATCGTTTGAGACTTATTTCACACCCAGGATCGCCTGCGGCGCAGTGCTTTCGGCAGCGACGGCTTCTGCAGCCTGGGGCTGGGCAGGGCTGCTGCTGGACGGCCGCTTCAGTGAGAGATGGTCAGCGCATCGCAAAAATCGGCTGATCAGCGACGCTGGGAGTTGTTCGGGCTAAACCTGAAAGAACCCGAAACCTTGGTGGAGAACGCCAAGCTGAGCTCCAATTGCAGCACGCCCAAGTCAAAATCTCCAGAGGTCGGCTGGCACTGGGGACTGGCAAGGATTGGTTTGGAAAGACCCTTGGGGTAGCTCAGTTTTGAATCACCTTTGGCAGTCGCAAAGAATCTGCCTTTGGTATCGTTTTTCACACCCACCCCCTAGTTGGCACGCAGAGGGAGTGACAAAAACATGTGTCCGGGACAAAGAAGAAGGATTACGCTTATAAGACCCTCAAGGGTCACCAAAAGTTGCTCTTTGCTGGTGGTTTGGAGCATCCAAAAAAGGACATGGAGGAAGCCCTGACCAATGTCTCTTCAAAAGTTACAAGCTGGTGGTTTGGAGGAGGCACACGGAGGAATCCCTGACTCTGCGGTTTGACTAGGTCCCCCAGTAGTGCCCTTTTACCGTTTCTTTTTTGGTTGGGAGGGTCCGCTTACTAAAATAGACTACCGAGGGATCGGGTACCAACTTATTCTAAGCACTCTACTGGAGGACCTAGTCATAATGGTGCCCCAGGATTAAACCCGTTTGTTGGGTGTTCCCTCCGAGAGTGGTCTGAATCCCCACTAAAAGGGGACACCCCCCTATTAATCTACTGGAGGACCACAGCTCTACTGGAGGATCTCTTTGGGCCCCCGAGGTCTCAGAGGTTTGCAAGCGAACGTGGTGCTCTACAATTCCGCGGCCAAGGGCATGAGCCAGGCAAAGACGTGGCCGTGGTTCGTTTTGAGGGTAGGCAAATTTGGTGCGTTTTACAGGGAAACCACAGGAAAACCACAATTTTTGCAGGGACCCCCTAGCAAAAAACATGCCCAAATGGGGCGATCGGTTTAGTTCACGGCCAGAAGTACTTGGCGCTTTGATAAAGGTATGAAATGGTTCCGGTATGTTGCGTGTTTAGTGTTTCTACACGTTTCCACCCTCACTAATCAGAGGAAACCATCATGTGAAACTTAGAAAGCGCACTCCTGGACTCCTGGCTACCTACAGTGGAAACTGGAAGCACTGCGTGTGCGACACGCTGCTTTTGCTTGGTCCGCTTGGTGAAAGGCTGCACGAAACAAAGCTAGGTTGGGAACATACCCAGGATTGGGAAGAGTTGCTGGGACGCAGCCCATGTTTTAGATTGTTCCAAAAGGAAGCCGAGAGGGGATTGGTTCAAACCCTCCATTTCCGGCTTGGCCTCAGCCGCCATGAAGCACACAAAACAAAGACACCGACTGAGAATTCTGCAGGCAACTGGCCCAAATTAAGCCGCCGTGCTGTGGGGTTGCTGGGCTAACTACTCAGTAGTTTTCAGCAAGTTGTTTTTTATTGCTTAGGTGAACCTACTTGAGGGCATATCAATGACCAGAGGTAGCGTTGTTTGGTGAGCCCTATCTCTTCTAGGCTGGCAACGATGTCGAACCACAAGGCTCCCTCGATTGTCCCTGTTTTCTGATTCAAGGTGTCTTTTGTTGGGCGAAGCCTGTTTCTTTGCTTTGGGGAACCCCCCAAAACTTGCAAGAACCCACAAACCGGGTACCAGATTGAATTGCTGTTCCTACCTGCGTGCGGTGTTTTCCGCATGCTTTTCAGGGACGCTTGCTTCCAGAAAACCTGGGACAAAGGCGAACTCTGCTGGCTTTAGAAAAGAACCATGGTTGAACACACCAGGCGGAAATTAAACCAAAGAAGAATGTATAATGATTCTTCTGTCTTTGGCCCTCATGGTGGTTGTCCAAATTGTCTATCAGTGAGTTTCGAGGTACTTCTAGTCCAGCCCTTATTCCGGGGTTTTGGAGGGGGATGCCCGATCTCCTGTACCAACAACTTGCCTTTTTGACCAGTGGACTGTCTGGTTGATATAACCACCATTCTTCACCCAAGGATTGGCACCCAAATTTGGTCAACCATTTTTTAGATGGGGGGTGAACCCCATAGGGGACCAACGGGCGGCTGTTACATGAATCTGTTCAAACATCTTCCTTCCCATGGTTGTCACCCAAAAGGGAGACCCCCAAAAAGGGAACCCTATTAGACCCTAATCGGCCTTTTTATATAGTCGCTATTAGCCCTTATCAAGATTGGGTTGACAACCATAGCGAACCCTGTTAAACGGAAACATGGACTAAAACCTGCGCTTTTTCTGGTTGAAATTTGACCCATACCGGAATAGTTACGCTTTTCTGGTTGAAATTTGACCCATACCGGAATAGTTAAGTGGTTCAGCAATCAAGCAGCCAAGGCTTTCCCAAAGACCAGAAATCTTTGCCGCAGGCTTCGTGGCAACGGGCCCCGGCGCTGCTGGCAGAGCTGGCACAAGAGCACTTGCAGAGAGACCTGGTCACCGTGAACACGGCCCCTTGGCGAGGTACCTTTTTTGGGTTTGGGTGAAACAGGGGAGGGCGATTCCTGGTTCACCTGGTGGTTTAATCATCTAGGGTCATCTATTTTTAGCAAAGGACACCTTCTTGCCAACACGTTTCCAGAGGCGAATCTTTGACAGCCAGCCACTGCTTCCCTTTTTTTTGGGGGGGGGAATTTACGTATAGTGGTAAAGTTGGCCATTGGTGAACCAGGCCATTGGTGAACCAGGCCATGATTTGCATGCCAATCCTTTGGTTTGACAGACAGTACTCATTAGAGCGATACCTTTTGGTGGTGTTTCAAGGGGGAACATGGGGATCCCAATGAGGTTTGAAGGACAACATATGTTCCATAGCTTATCATGTCCGCAAATTCGGAAGCTTTCACTCATTGTTGCCCACAAATTGCCTTTGCGCGCCCACCATTTCCCATAGCCTTCAGGATATTTCTTTGTTACTTTTCAATTTCGGAACCCATACATAGCCTTTCTTGTACGTCCCGTTCGAGGTGATTTAAACGTCAAGTGCTGATCCTCTTTTTGAGGTTGAAGGGGACACATACTCTCTTCCAGTGTTTGGACTTTCAACTTTGGGGGAAGATCGAGGGGTAGACAATCTAGACTTTGTCCGAACAATCCACTCAGGGCTCTGAGTTTAAGGAGATTTGTACCCAGGTGCTCAGCATTCTGGCGGGGCAATCTACCTGGCAGCCAGCGCTGGCGTTCTTGAAGGGCGAGGTTCGGGAGGGGGCGGGCGATTCACCTGTTTGAATCCAGACCACTAGGCTTCCACTTGCTTAATAGCTTGCCAGTTGAGTTGGCAATGTTGGTAACATGTCTGCTGCTTAGGTTTCTTCATTTTGAGATCCATCAAGTTGGAAAGCCGACGCTGGAGATTAGTAGCTGGACCGTCCCCGAGGTGGCTTTACCGTGTGTCCACTCATGGCAGGGGCGGGTTCTTTCGCCGGGGCCAGGGGAGCACAGGAGAACCTTGACACCATCAGCTACAGCTCCGCCATCAGCGCCAGTCCCTGGCCTCTCACGTCGCTCGTTCTCGAGACATCGAGATTTCAACCCCAAAACTTGGCAGGGGGTGTCGGTTGAGGGTACCAGTCTGGTGGGTCATTTCCCTGTTTGGGGTTGGTTCAAAGGGAAACCCAACAGGACAACCATGGGTGTCCCTATTTGGAGATGACCTCCCCATGACTTTCAGCTGATTCGCTTTGGACCCACACGGGGGTCCACGAAGGGCACTTGGTTGGTTTGCTTTCAGTTGCTAAAATGACTATTTGTTGTTGGTTTTAAAGGGAGTTTACCACTTGTTGTAAGTATTGTTTTCCCAGGGACTTATGATTATGCAAATGGTGGTCCTTATTCTGTGTTCGGGGTGCGGGGGGTGGGGGAGAGGGCGGGGGGTTGGGGGGGAAGGACATTTGCATTTGTTTGGCAATATGGCGAGCTCACCTGGCGGTGAAACGAGCCATCCACCCATGTTGAAGGTCCCTTACCTGGGAGTTCGCTTTTTCAACTTCGTTTAGGCCAGTGTTGAGCTCCTTCTTGGCCTCCGCATGGATGATGCATAGTCGGCCCTTTCAATTCTTGCATTTCTTAGATCCTTTCAGTACTCTCACTCCCACTAACATGGCACCTGTCAGGGGGTCCCTACAAGAGAAACTTTATCTTCACAGGTACCCTGGCGCAAGTGCCTTCTGTTGGTGGGAGGGTGCCAGATTTTGAGACTGCGACTCAGGTTCGCCTTGTTCCTCCAGCTGACCTCGTGTGCGCTCTTGCCCGATGTGGTCGCCCACAACTCCGCGGCGCAAAAGGCGCCCTGGGACCACTGCTGCTTTCCTCAGAGGCAGTGTTCTTCCTGGTGCTTGGTGGGTCATTGTTTTGACTGATCCTAGGGGTTATCAAAGTCGGACACTGGGGTGGTTTTCCCTTACCTCACCACTTAACCACTTAGGGAGTGACTTTTGATAGCGGCAACATACTGGGGTCGGTTTATCGTTTGACGTTGTGTCAAAGAGACGCCCAAAGAAAACATCCTCTTTGGCAGCTCCCCTATTTTGAGAGAGACCGCTGGGGTTTGCTACTTAGTCTGTTTTGAGAAAACCTTCCCAGAGGACTGCCTTGTCCAATACAATCTGTTCAAGTCAAACTGCCAAGATTACTCAGACTTGTACTTGTTGTTTCCCTTTCAGTGGAGGTTCTCCGCACTGCTTTGCTGCATGGGTGCCTTGCCCGAGCTTTTAGCTCGAATTTGGTAGAGCCAAACGTCAACGGGTTTGGGTGCTGCTCAGTTAGAGGTCTGCTCCAGCGCCATAAAACTGAATCCACTGACTGTTCGGGCTGTGGCCGAAGCGTCTAACAAATCGTCCCCTTCCCTCAAGAATTGTGTCGAAGCAGGCGTGGGACAAGTGGAGCGGACTGGGGGTGGGGCAACTGGGGGTTTGGTTCCTGTTCCATGGTGAAGACACATAATTTTTACTCAGCTTGTTGAAATCGCAGGCGAGCCACCGTGGCATGCTTTGGCACGTGTTGTTTCGTTGTTGCTGCGCTCCCTTGGGCCTGCATCCAAACTAAGAGTCTTCTTTATTTCCTTGAAATTCCTGTATGTTTGTGTGCTTTCTCTTTTAAACTCAGCTTCCTCAGGCTTCCCTTTGCTTTCGCTGTTTAGGTTTAGGTGAACTTCAGACGGCTCCACAAAAGAGACATCCTCAAATTGCCCCTTTAAGACAAAAGGGTGTATAGGGCAACCGCCATTCGGAGGCTACATTTGGGTGCTCAAAGACATGTAACGACGTTAACGAGCCCACTTCAAGGTCTTCCCTCTTTTCTTGCCTGCTATTGGGTTGGATCTTTGTCTAGACTTGAACTTTTTGGGAAATCGAGAAGTTTTCCACTAAGCCCCGCAAAAAGCTTGAAAGTTAAACTTTTGCAGGGGGGTTAACAGCAACCAAGGTATCCCTGTGAGTCTTCTCCTTTTGGCTCCATGAGGGAAGATCTCCAAGGCTGGCACCTGCTGTCGCAGCTCCCGCGCCGCCGTCTTCGCCTCAGCGACGTGTCGCGGCGCACGGCTGCCGGCGCCGCGCTCTGCGCCGGGCGCTGGGAGGCGGCGGGGCAGCTGGCAGAGCCCATGGACACGCCGATGGCCGAGACTCGGGCAAAAAAAACTCAGTTGTTCAGTGGCACCTTTTTTTTTCTTGGTGGCTGCCCCACTAAAAATGTTCTTCCCCAAAAAAGGGTTCCCTTTTTTCCAGAGTGACTGAACAACTGAGAAAATGGTCGGCGAAAACAAACTTTTACCCGATGGTTGGCGACTACTAGGGTCGTATTGGTTCCTTTTGGGGACCATTTCAGGTGGGTCCGCTCTTTGGGGCGATTTGTTTGACAACCATGGAATTGCCGAAAGCGAATCGATCTGGTAGCCTTTTGGTGTCCCTCATTTGGCCCATGTTTAGTCACAGAGCCAAAAGACCAAAAGGTTAGCCTTTATTTCAGGTCCTTTGGGCAACTGAGAAAGCCAAGGAACCCTGCCCACAGCTGCTTCTCACATACCGGGGCCTCACAGGGGGAGAAATGATTCGGCCCCTTGTATTTTGAGCCACCTTCTTCAGGTGACAGTCCCTATATTTCCTTTTTCAGCCTCAGCATCACCTGTTGGGCCACTCTTAGTCGAGTTTCCTGCTGGTGGAGTGCTGAACATTTGGCAAGGAGGGAATGATTTGAATGACACCAACCCGAGCCATCCAGGTGGCGGTTTCATAAGGGATCTCAAGCGCTTAGTTCCAGCAATGAACTCCGGGCGTTGGTTTAGAATGAACCGTTTCCGATCCCTTGTCGTGAAGCTACAAGGGATGGTTTATGGGTCATGCCGCATGCCCCTCATTCCCCCGCAAATTTATGTTTTCAACTAGACTCCGCACTCAAACCAATTCTTGGTGTCACTGGTCAACCGGCCCCAACGTTGCTACAAACCCAGCATGAACACAGTTTAGAGGGAATCCTTATTTGCTTGTGTGTGTGGCTTTCCTTTTTCCCAGTTTGGGGGGTGGGCATCGTTCTAGTGAACAAGCCACACTCAGGCTGCGACCGTCCCCTGGCAGCGCGCAATCTGCTTGGCGCTGCTTCCCCCGCCCTCCGTGGCGGCCTTCAGCGCAGCCATCTCGGGCCTCGGTGCGGCGAGCCGCTGGCAGCACGCGCTGCTCCTGCTCGGCGAGGCGCACGGGCCAAGGGGCGAAACAAGCAGCGTGCGCAAAAGCCCCCGATGGCCCGGTTTGGTAGGGGAAAAAACATGAGATGTGGTTGAAGAAACGACTATGTTACTCGGAAGTCCCCTTGTAGGTGATACTTCTCTCAGGGCTCCTTGAAAGACTCACCTTGGGATCTTTACTGGGGAGTCGACCTTGTCAGGCTTTGTGTAAGGGCGTTCCCTGATTTCGCGGTGGGAGTTGTGGTTTTGAGCAGTTTGGGTTGACCCTGGAAAAGAGCAAATATTGCTAGTGCTTGAAGGAGTTGAAGGGACACACCAGGTGTTTGTGGTTTGGTACCCGTCTATCTTTCGCAGCCAGAGACGGTCCATGTGGGCTTCCGAGCCATTTCCCCTTTTGGAACCTCCAAAAGTGGCGACGTCAACGGAAACCACCCGTAAAAAGTGGCATCGAGGATTCCCTTAGAGGAAGCCACCAGTTGGATGGTTTCTTGGGGTCATTTTCATGTCTCATTCCCTGAGCGCCAGCAAGATGTGGCACCCTTGGGCCATGCTAGCCCCTCTCGAGGCCATAGAGAGGCTCCCGGCCGCGGTCGCTCGGCAGCACGTTCAATCGTCATCGCATGTGCCAAAATAGGGGACCCGTACATTGGTGGACTCCAAAGAAGGGGTACAGTACTCTCAAATACAAACACACACACACACACCCTCACCTTTCCTTTGGGCAGTTAAAACATTTGTTCAGTCCATTTGTGGCTGATTTTGCTCTTAGTGAGCCCTGGCGTCGGCCTTTTCCGCAGTGACCAAAGCGAATTGAACAGATCCGATTTGTTTCGGTGCATATGATGCCTGGAGAGGGGGAGGGGTTGAAGCGAAAATGATCAATTTGTTGGCGTCCCCTGCTTTAAGAAGCCAAACGATCCAGGACAAAAACGCTTCATTGCAGACTCCAGACCCCACGATGAAGAAGATCCGTTGCCTGGAAATCCCTTGTTCCCAGCTGGATGGACGGCAAACACCTTCCTGAACATTCCTTTCGCAATTTGAGGCGTTTTTGGCGATTTAGGTATTTTGTGAGGATGTGCGCTTTTGTGTGTGTGTGTGTGTGAGTGTGTTTGCTGGAGTTGCGCAGCTTTTTGCGGGCGTTGTGCGGGCCATGTGCGGGCGTGTTGTTCACTGCTGAGGCGTTTATATAATTTGCGGGCGTTTGCGTTGCAAGTCAAGGGAAAAACTCATTGGAATGTCCAGGTTGTAGTGTCGGGGTGCAAGGTTTAGGTTTGTGGTAACTGTGCAATCCTGTAGTCAGCAACGTCGGAGAAGCTTCCAGGGTTGGGAAGACATGAGACGACCTAGGCTTGCCGATTGACAGTTAGTCTCTCGTGGTAGGGGTGATGGGCAGGGCGGAAAATCAGGGAACCCTTGATAGTTGGTGTCAGAAGATTACTGTTGCAGTATAGCTAGGAATTGGGAGACTGGGGCTGGTCCTGGTTTGCCTGTCCGCGGCGCACACCAACCGTTCCAGAGGGTCCTTTGGCTCCATGTGCCTTGCGCAAAGCATCCCGCACCCCTAAATTCGCATCCTTGTGGAGGGCTTACTGTAAAGAAGATTAGGGAGGGCGAAGCGCCTTTTGAAAGGTAGTGTGTGACTTCTTACAATTTCTTCTCAGAAAGGGCTTGGACTTGGACCCTTCAGGCCATGCAAAAGAACAGCAAGTGCTCTTGCAAGAAGCAGGGGCAGCTTAATTACAACTTAGCTTCCAGGGTCCAGATCAGACCAGCAGGTTTAAGCCAAATGCACCTGTGGTTGTTTTAGTGGAGCGTGCTTCAACCAGTGGCTCTTAACCTGACGCCTGAATCGATCTATGCAAGTAGCCCTTGTAACATGTTTTCCGCGAGGCTTCAGCTTAGGCCTTTGGTACGTCGCCCATGTGTCAGTCTAGTTTTTTTGTTTTTGTTTACACCGTTGGGTATTGACCCATTTAGGCGCGTTTAGGTATAAAACCGTGTTATTTTGAAGCATTCTGGGTCATTTCCCAAGCGTGTAATCGCAGGAACCCCCTTTTTTCTTCCCAAAAATTAGCTCCCCTTTTTTTGTTTTTGCTTTTTTGGGGTCCCTTTTGTATCCACTATCCCAGGGTGTGACACAGAAACCTCAGAGTCAGCCCCAACTTGGCGCGGTTGTAGGACGTGGATGCGGCGCTGTTCAGCGCCGGCATCACCGCCTGCGAGCAAGCGGGCCGGTGGGAAATCGCGGTGGCGTTGCTTATGGAGCTGCCGCTGGGCTGTCATAAGCCCGGCTGGGTAGTGGGGGTAGTTGTGTTTTTTCTCCCAGGGTTGGTACACCGGTTTTGTGGTCTTTCCGGGGAACCAAAAGGAACACCACCAGACACACCCATGGACCCCAGATACTCCACTTTTGGAGTCTGGAGGGAACACCCTCAAAACAATGGGTCAACTATGCATAGAAATAGGAGGGTTCTTCAAATTGTGGTGTTCCTCATGGTTCCCTTTTTAGCAAGCCTGAAAAAGGTACCTTCGAACAAAACAGAGGCCGACCCATTCAACTGGGGGTCCAAATCCTGAAAAGAGACGAGCCACCCAGTGGTTTTCAAGATCCAATCGCTAGCGCGGCGCACGCAGGACCCAGTACCATCTCTTTGGTGCCTTTCTTTTTTTTTCTCGCACAATCAAAGGAGTCGACAAATCAAATCCCAGGCACGGCCTCCGCCTGGCGGACGCCATCGCCTGCAACGCCGCCCTCGCCGCCTGCGCCGGCGCCGCCAACGCGTCGAGCGCCTGGCGGGCGGCGCTGGGGCTGCTGGGCGGCATCACCGCGCTGCAGTTGCAGGCGGGGAGGGGCGCCCCTTTTGGGCTGTTTCGCTTCTTTGTGTGTTTTTGTTTTTCTTTTAAGGGAAGGCAAGGGAAGCCACCTTACATGGGGGGTCCTCTTCTTGTTGGGGAAATCCCTCTATCTTGAGACCCCAAGTTTCGAGACTACCCAGTTTTGTTTTTGAGACCACCTTTTTTTTTAAAGGGACCACTTTGAGAAGCACCCAAAGAAACTGCGGTCGAAGCTGGGCTTCCCTTTGGCAAGAACCTGAGCAACTTGCTGCAAAGGGCTTCACTTCGTATGATATTGACCCAGGGCTAACCAGGATCAAGTTGGTTCCCGAACTCAACCAGGGGCTTGATATCTGCGGTTAACAGAAGGGCACTGTCTTTCTGGGGCTTTGTTCTTTGCCCAGCTTACCCTTCCGAAACGAGGAAACCAAACTCGGTGTTCCACATGTCTCCAAGCCAGCATCAGCCCACCAAAAGGAAACCCACTTTAGATTGGCCAATCTTGTTGAAACAACCAAACTGTTGGGCGCCCTTTGGATAGCGGCTGACGATACGAAAATAGAAGCTGCCAATGGAAACGCATGTGTTTTTTCCAGACCCCAAAGCAGACATTTGACAGAGCCTGAATTGGGGCATACCCCTCACTTACGCTGTTCATATTTGGCCTAAGCGGCCCTCCCGCCTGATTCTCATCCACTCAGCTGATGGGACCATGTTTGTGAAGACTTCAAAAGGAGCCTCGCAAATCTCTGCCTGTGCTCACTTTGCAAATGTTTGGTTTGGAAAGGCCATTTGACAGGGGCAAACTTCTAGTTTCGGCGGTTTTTGATTGGCCAAGCTGGTGCATCTCTAACGGATCTTGAGGAGTTGGGGTAAGTTAGTGTTGGAAGCCCTGGTCAACCCACTTAGGGGAACTGCAACTTTGCTGTGCTGTCTGCGGAAAACTGTGCCTGGGACCAAAGTGACATTTTGAATGTCTAAAACCACAGGATGTGAAGGCCATTGGTGGGAGAGTAGCCGCTTAGCACTTTGGTGATGGAGCATGTGTGCTTTGTTTGGTTCAACGTACTATCCTTGTAGGCATTATACATGGGTATTTGGCCGCATTTCAACTCCCATGTCCTTTGCTGGTGGGAGAGTAGCCAAGCTCGGACCCAGAAAGTCGGACCCACCTGGTATTATTACCAATTTTGCAGGGGTTGATCACTTTGGGGAAGCCATAGACATGGTTGTTGTTGAGAAACATTTGATTCATTTTTGCTTATTGTGGTTTAGTGGGAAATCCCCACTAAACTGAACATTTATATTTTTGCCCCCCTTCCAACGTCAACCAAGTAGACTCAGCTAATAAAATTGGTCCATATCAGCTGGCTCTGACGGGTCCGACTTGCTGGCCCGTTTGAGAGGCGAATGTGATCACCTACAGCTCGGCTTGCAGTGCCTGTGAAAAGGCCGGGGAATGGCAACTTGGGCCAAACGGATGCCGCGCAGTTTCTCTCGTGTTTTTTTGTTTTTGTGTTTGTGTGTGTGTGCTATTTTGTTGGTTTCCTTATTTTTGTTGGGTTTGCTTTTCTTATACTTGTTTTGGTAAGCGACAAGTGCAGGCTTTTGTTTGGCCATGCCACTCAGGAAGTGAGTTTTGGGATTGGTTTGAAGTGAATCAAATGAACACCACCAGTTCTGCTGTTTCTTCAGGGTTGTTCAACGTGTGTTGTGTATTCGTTGAGGCTCACAAAGGGGTACCCTCAACAAGACCGACCCAACTGAGGCAACGGGCAGTGGCCTTGCTGTGGGAGTTGGTGGACATGATGCAGGCGAACGTCGTGGTGTTCAATGCGCCTTGGGGCCTGGGTCGGATCGCCTTCCCAGACCCTCAGTGAGCAAGTCCCTTTGGGGTGGTTGGGGGTTTGCCTGGATGGTTGCGACATCCATTTCGCGCCACAAAACGAAGCCATGGTTGACTCCGTTGTTCGTTGCTATTTCCGTTGGAGAATCGCGTCGTGGAACTCTAGACGTTTTTTCTCTTTCTGCAAACTTGCTCTGCTTTCCGGTGTCCGAACACTTCCACTTGGGATCAAGCATTGCAATGACTCATGGCACACAAAAGGCAGGTCTTTGGCAATTTGTAATGGTGCCACTTTGGAACGTCAAATGACACTTTGTGGCTATTTGGATGGATCGTTGGACTAACTGTTTGGTCGAATTGTCCATTGGACCCACAAAAAGTGACGCAGAGGTGTCGTCTCCCCACGGGTAGCCGTGTCCATTGGCCTTGGGGGTCTTCACCGGCTTCGGAGCCTGAAGAGACCACACTTGTGTTGAGGGAAACAATTGAAGGAGTGGGGAGGGGGGGAAGGGGGGGGAGTGAATCTTTGCAGTCGGAAGTGTCATATTTCCCACAGGGTCCTTTAGCAATGTTGACCTGGGATCCATTGAGCAAGCGGGATTCCATTGCCAGACTTAGCTTAACTGTTTTGACTTTGTTGCCTTTTGTTCCACTACCGTCCCTTTCAACCAGCAGGAGATTACTTGTGTGGAGGCCGGATCAAAGTGGCCAAGGAAAGTACACTGGACAACTTCCACTTCGCACCAGGTCTGCTTTCCGGCCGGTGCCTGGCGGGGACTTTATGACTTGCTGGTGCTCCAGCGGGGAATGTGGGAATAAAATTCGGGATTCCCTTAAAGGAAGCCAGCAGTTGGATGGTTTATCAGGGTCATTCCGTCATTCCCCCACTCCCTGCGGAGCATCAGCAAGATGAATAGGGCTCTTGCGTCAACCTTTGGCGGGTCCACCAGGTAGGACCTCCCCATTCGTGGGGCCCATGGGTCGAGAGCTCAGGCGGCCATCAGCGCCTGCGAGAAGCGGGGCATGTGGCAGATGGCCCTTCAGATCCTTCGGGTGAAATTGAACGCCTGCTTTTGTGAGTTTCGAGGGGTAGGGCTGCAGATGTTTGGCGATACTTTCATGGAGCCAGTGGTTTGTTTGGCAATGGGCTAGCTAGAACAGCTCATTTGTGGATGCTACACGGGTTCCATTGCGGAGGATGGATTTGAGGTTATAGATACTTCCTAGATTCCATAGATGGTTTGTTTGTGTTTGGGTGGTTTCAAAAGGGAATGCCCCTTAATAAACCTCACTAAGGATAGTAGGGACAGTCCCAACCATGAGTGGGTGTAAATATTCGTCCTTTGGATCTATGAATTCGATTGAAAACCACTTCCAAAGTGGTCGGTGGACGTGAATCGCCACGTAAATGATGCTCTGTGAAAACTTCAGACCCACATGGTTTGGGGCACAGCCCTGTACCAGGATTGAGTATGTCTCAGCTGAAGTCCCTCCTCAGGATCCTGAATGCTCTTCCATCACTGCAAGCGCAGCCGGACACCATCACCTTCAACGCCACCATCAGTTCCTGCGAGAAGGGCCGGCAGTGGCCGGGCGCGACCTTGCTGCCGCTCGGAGACGGGCGGTAGGGTGTTGTGCTGGCCGAGACCCTCGCGGTGAGTAGACGTAGGTGTCCATTTGGATGCGTGCTTTTTGGAGTTGGTACCGTTGTGGGGGTGGGTTAAAGTCACACGTACCCAGTGCTTGGGTGATTTAAGCATCAGTTTGTTTGGCCATGTTTGCCTTTTTGGTGTTGTTTTGGCCGTGTTATGTGTCCCTTTGTGGCCATTTTTGGGGCTAGTCTCCTTTTGGGCGTGCGGCGCTTCACCGGTACTGAGGCTAGCTACCTGCCCATCTCCCGACGTGGTCGCCTACAATGCGGCCCTTAGCGCCTGCAGGGGTCATTGGCAGCATGCTCGACGAGTGCTGCAGGAGCTGTCAAGAAGGCAGGGCGGATCCAAGGCAGAATCAGCGTGCACGACTGCACTCCACATCCTTCTTCAGGCTGTTTTTGTTGTTATTTCGCGCCATAAAAGAAGCAGTTGGAACCGAAGAGGAGCCTGAAGGGGGGTGGGGGGCCGTGGATTAGTTGGCTTACAAACTCCTTTCAGAGGATCAGCCCAGCCTGTTCCAGAGACAGGGCAAACTGGGTTCGATTTAAACTGTGAAACATATAGCCATACATACACCCTTTTTCGTACAACACGAATTCAAGGAGGGGGGCGACTCTGGATTTGTTTTTCGAATAAGGGCGCTAAATATATGTTTGATAGCTCTCCTTAAAGGGAATTTCAACAGGCGATGAACCGGTGCTTTTTGCAGTCCCTCCGATGCCCAAACCAGATGGGCTGAGCTAGTTCGAAATTATATCGAGTATGGGAGTGATCTGTTCCAATCTTCGCCACTTGCACATGAATGTTCAAGTCCTTATGAAACCCTCAGCCGACTTCCCTGCAAGATCATGTCAAAGTCAATCCTGAGTCTTTATGCCAAGTGGTAGTCCCACCACAGATTGCGGATTCGGATAAGGGCTGCCCCCCCAAAAAAAATGAACAACGCAGGTATGAGGGAACAACCGAAACTCGCTAACGGCTAGCATGTTGCTTCTATCATGGCTGCTTACGAGGAAAGGCCTCCTGAGGCCTCAGGAGCAACGCCTTGGACCCATACCTGCGGCTTTTTGGCTTCCCCAAGTCATCAACCCCAAAAATGCGGAGGGTCCAACTGTCTGAGCCCGAGTTTGATCCCTTTGAGCTATACGGTTGGGCATGCTAAATGAAGGGAATTGTGGCGATTTGCATCCACGTTCCAAAAATGTAGGCTCTTCAAAGGTTTAGTCCTGGGGTTGTGAAAAGGGTCGTATCTAGGTACTGTTTCCCAAAACGGGGTCGCCAACACAACAGCCCAAAACAAACACTCAATACTCAACAGTCCAAAGATTAGCCAACAGTCCATGGATTAGCCAGTCCAGTGATTGGCCAATCTGTAGTCCTTAGTTTGCAGAAAGGCTTTGGTCACAGTGGTGTCCCCCTCAAAATAAGTACCCAGACGCTCAAACTACTCATCAAATGGGATATTGCCTCAAATGAATTGGGTTGTTTCCCTTCTTCAGTGTTATTCACGGTAGTTTGAAGGTCCAGGATTGGCCAACTCGCGTGTTTGGGAGACACTTCGCACTCCAGGCAAGCGCAGCCTGACGCGGTGACCCACTCCCTGGCTGCCGAGATCTTCGAACGCAGCGCCGTCCTCGGAGGATTTTTCCGCGGTTTCTGCTCTTCTTTTTCCCCAACAGCTGAAAGCTTTGGGGTCTCAGCCCAGAAAGGCTCCGGGGTGGTTCGGCGGCCCTGAGGTAAGGCTCCACGAGGGTTCCACGAGGGTTCCACCAGAGTTCCACCAGGTTCTGCGAGGGCTGTGGGGTGGTCTGGGGTGGTTTGAGGTAAGGTTCCACGAGGGTTCCACCAGGGTTCCACCAGGTTCTGCGAGGGCTGCGGGGTGGTCCGGGGTCGTTTGAGGTAAGGTTCCACGAGGGTTCCACCAGGGTTCCACCAAGTTCTGCCATGGCTCCGCCATCCACCAGGGTTCGTGGTCCGGGGTGGTTTGAGGTATGGTTCCACCAGGGTTCCACCAGAATTTCCACCAGGTTCTGAAGGTCCGGGGTGGTTTGAGGTAAGGTTCCACCAGGGTTCCACCGGTTCTGCGAGGGCTGGGGTGGTCCGAGGTGGTTTGAGGCACGCAACAAATGTTCTGTGCAAGGAAGCAATGTGTTGTGCGCCCACTGTCTGAAAAGCAATCGGTGCAGTAAATTGAGGGCGGGCGGAACACTAAGCAAAACCGAAATCAATGGTTTTCTGCACACTTTCACTGTTTTGTCACTTGCTCACTTGCTCAGGCAACGCCTTGGCCTTGTGGCAACTCACTGTGGTTTCCACCAGGTTCTGCAAAGGCTATGGGAGCCCTGAGCAAAGGTTCCAACAACGTTTCACGCTGAGCTCCACCGAGGGTTCCACGAAAACGGTTTGCGGGCCCAGTCGGGCAGGTCGGGGCCCGATTGCACCGTCGGGGCCCGATCGGATCGCGCCGTCGGGCCGCGAGCGGGCCCCATCAACTACCAAGCTGGCGTCGCCTAGTTTTGCTAGATACAGTTGTAAGGCCGCATCCTAAGGAAAGCCGGCGTTGAGCTATAATATGGGTGGCTGGGGTTGGTGGGAGCCCGCTTGCGCCACGGGACCATGGGGCCCCGGTCGGGGCCCGATTGCACCGTCGGGCCCGGTCGGGCCCCGCTCGGGCCCCGATTGCTCTGTCGCGCCCCGATCGAACCCCGATTGCGCCGTCGGGCAAAGATGGAGGCCCCGATTGTGCTGTCGGGCCCCGGTCGGGCCGATTGTACCGTCGGGCCCCGACTTATGCTTTGCTTCATAAAGTTACAAGGCGGCATCCTCAGCAAAACTGGTGGTGAGGTGGGTCCCGGGGCGTTCTGCGAGTCTGGGAGGCTGTTGGGGATATCGCCTGAGCTTCTTTTTTTTTGGGGGGTGGGCGCCCAAAGCAACACACACAATGCCTCGTACCCACTGCCTCGTTCCGATAGGGGTAAATCGTCACGTTTAGTTGAAACAAATCATACATGTTGTGCAATAAGGAGCTTTGTCTGGTAAATTTCGCCGACTCTTTGAGACGGAAGACAAGGAGGGATTTCAGCACGGGGCGCAGTCTATGCTGAAGAGGTGAAATGAGTTGGGTCAGCCGTTGATTGAATTGGGGTTGCACCCTACGGGAATCCCTCCCAACAAAAGTCGGGGGACAGCACAAAAAGGAAGATCGCTTTGTTTGATAGTCATCCGGTCATACCATCCTTGTACAGCCACGGGGGCATATGTAGAACTGATTTTGCGCGGGGTTCCTTATGTTAAGCTGGCCTGTTTCCCTTCCCCAAGCCAAACATTTGGGGGAGTACCACCTCCGGTGGCTCGACGTTGAAGCGGCAGGGATAGCAGGTTGTCGTCTACTGTTCCATTCGCCAGGGTTCCATTTCGGGCCCCTGCTGTTGAGCCACACCCAAATTGTGCGTGCGCATGTTTGTCGGCGTCTGTGCTTGGGTACCCACCCTTCTTGCAAACCTACTCATTGTCGTTGGGGTGTTCATTTCGAAGAGTACAAAGGTGGTTGGATAGAACAACAGCCCCGCAAAATGCGAACATCCTAAAATCATGTCTTTCTTGACAAGAAGTACGTTGCATTTAAATATCCTGAGTCAGTTGCAACGTATGTATATATATATATATATATATTTTTTTTGGGGGGGGGAGTACCACAAGTTCTACCCTTGTCCCTTGGTCACGTGTCTCCAGGCGGGGAAGCCCGGCGTGCCGCTGGTCGCCTGGACGTGGTGAGCGCCCTGTGCCAAGTGGAGCTGGCCGAATCCGCGGAGTCCGCGGGGCGAAAACGCGAGCGAGCGGGGATGAAAATGGGATCCCGGGATCGGGGTCCCAGGAGTCCACTCCTTCCAGTTCTGTGTCTTCCTTGGTGAAATGCCAAGGGCATAGGTGTCCTTTTTGGTGGTTTTGGTAGAAGAATAGATGGCGAGTCCTGGTCTGCCTGGTGATTTAAGCATCTTCCAGGGCCATCTATGTCCCCTAAAAGGACACCTATGGCCATGCCCCTTTTTTAGAACCTCCAAAAAGTGGCAGTTTCAATGGAGACCACTAGTAACAGCAAATTGCAAGTGTCGAAGGGGGAAATGCTGATAAACAAACTGATTGAAGAAGTTGCTTCACATCCAAAGATGGGTTTTGAGGGTTTCGACTTGCAAGGTGGAGGGAATCGCGCCCGCCCTGCCGGGCCATGCCGGGCCTTTCGCTTCTGAAGGCAAAACGTGAAGCGTTTTGGGAGCACTGATGAAGTATGAACTATGTATACCCAGTCGTTCAGTAGCACCCTTGTTGCCGTTTTGTGGGGAACCACAAAAAGTTCAATCAACTCAAGTTTGACGCTGTGCTGATGTCAGGCAGGTTTTGGGAGGCTGGCGAAAACGACCAGACGGGAGGAGAACCCTGTTCCGTACTTCATGGATGAATTTGGTAAATTCCCTTTTCCTCTTCAAAGGATAGGTCGGGGTTTAACCCTTTTGCTTTGTCCATTTTTTGAACGAAAACAAGCGACACTTTCAGCCAAAGTTCAATTGACGTTCACCTTCAATTTCTTGGTCCTTGAACCACGTGAGCAGGGTTATACATCTTAAAGGACCATACCACAGATGGAGACTCCAGCTCATGGGAGTCCCTGATTAAACCCCCTGGTTGAGGATTCTCCTTCGATCTGGGGTCAACATAGGTGTTTTGAATCATAGTAAGCAGAATAACAATAAGACATTCTCCTTAACATGCAATCGGTTTTCCTTTGGTTTCCCTTTAAAACCGCCCAAAGTTGTGGTTTTCCAGTTGGTTTCCCTTTGGAATCACCAAAAAGACTTGTACCAGCTCCAAAGACGAGCCCCTTTGGCGTCCCAACACCACCCCGAAGGCCCGTTTTTCCCCTCGCAAACTGCCTTCGCCAGGCCGGGGCCAAGCTCTTCCTGCGGACGGCCTGAAAGCCAAAGGAAAACGCGGAAGTGGTTAGCGGTCCGTTTGCAGTATGAATTATTCGATGGTGTTGCTTGTTGGCTCCATTTGCATGTCGTAATGTCGACTTCATATTGGTAAACGGTGTCCCCCCCTCAACTGTTTTTTCTCCAGAACAATTGTACTTGTAGTATTGCTTCTGGTACTTGTAGTACTTGTAGTAGTGGCTGTGGTACTTGTAGTAGTACTTGTGCTGCTTGTAGTATTTGTACTACTTGTAGTAGTGGCTGTAGTAGTACTGCTTCTAGTACTACTTGTAGAACTCCTAGTGCAAAGAGTACCCGTAGTACTGCTTCAAGTACTAGTACTTGTAGTACTTGTAGTACTTGTAGTACTTGTAGTACTTGTAGTACTTGTAGTACTTGTAGTACTTGTAGTACTTGTAGTACTTGTAGTACTTGTAGTACTTGTAGTACTTGTAGTACTTGTAGTAGTACCAATACCTAGTTCTTCCTAGGGGTCGCTTTGGGGTGTTTGTTAATGCGAACCCTGTTGCTAATGCGGGTTTAAGGAGCTTGTGTGGGGTACCTCACGCTGGACTGTTGGGGCATCACTTTTGTAAAGATATTTGATTCAACAGCCACACTTCCCCGGGCATCTATGTTTTTTGGAGATCTGAAATCTGCTAAAAAGACTCTGGAGGTTCCAGTTGTATAATTAGCTTGCCTGGTGCGCTGCACACTTGTTGCACGTGTCTTTGTGCCATCAACTTCTGCACGCTACCCGCTCACTTTGAAATCAGTTTGGACTGGTTTGGTCCCTGTTAAAAACAGCTTGTTTGGCTTGCACCCGCGATTCGGGGAATTTATCAATGTGAGTTCTTTTGGGTGGTTTATTAACTTTGTGCCTTGGAGGGTCGGCTGGGGGGGGTGGTATGTTTGCAGTTAGCTTTTGCATTAGCCCCTTCTCAATTTAGTATTGGGTGAAAAAGCGGGTCCCGTGGCCCAGAGCTTTATAATATGGGCCCAATTGCAAAACTCGGGTTGGCATTAATTTTGTGATCATTGTTCACCTTGTTGGTTGTAAAGGGTGAAGGATGTTTTGTTTGGGTTCCATGCACCAGTCCCTCCTCGGCAAATTTAGACAAGTCCTTGGCTCAGAGATGCCATCTTCGATGGCGTTACGCTTTGTTTGGCTCTGTGGTTTGAGTTCATGAAGGGTGCATCCTGGAGTCAAAAAGGATACCCGAAAGAGAGTACCCAGGGAAGAAAGTGGGTGTCATCTCCTTTTCTCGTCCTGATGTACCACGCTGTGGAACAGGATAACGCTGATGAAAAATCGTTGGCGCAGTGAGGTGGCCATGTTTTCTTACATTTGCTGAAATGAAAATTGGTGTTATGCTTCTTGTTGGTTTTAACCGCAATCGATTTCACTAGTGGGCATAGTTTCTCACTTTTTCCAGGGGACTTAAGCAAATGGAGGATGGGGCGTGGCAATTAATGTCGAGTTTCCTAAATGAATTGCTTGTGATGTTTGTGTTTTGGCTTGTTTCCCCTTTTCTGGTCGGTTTTCCTTTGGCAACGGCAGCTCTGGTCCAGTCGTACAGTGGACCATTTGTGGAGGGCCTCTAAGGCAGCCAGCCCATGTCCATGCCGACGTCTCGCGGACAGCCTGGAGGAAAAGCCGTCGATAGAAGCCGCGTCATGGTCGCGCTCGGGGCCGGGGATGGTCAAAGATCCTGCCAGTTTTATTTTTTTTGGGGGGTTGGTTCAAAGGAAAACCAAAAGGAAGCCAACCAGTTCGGGGGTTCCCCTATGTTGAAACACACCCAATTGGTTGCCAGACAGCCAGAATAGTTAAAGGCAGTGCCCGGCAACTGATAAGAGGATTTCGGTTCGCATGACCTGCATAAGTAGTGCTTGCCCGCCCATGACATGTGGCACTGCCGTTGGTTCTTTGTGGCTTGACGGATGTTTTGCCGAGCTGCCAGCAGGTTTGCGGTCGTCTGCAATTCTGCGGTTATGCATTTTTGACCCGCAAGTGGTGGACACGAACCCCCTGTGTAAATGAGGTCCACCAAAGGGTCCCTCAAAACGAACCTGTCTGAAGCAGAGGTTTGTAATGCGCGCGACAAGTGGCTCGAGCTACAGCAAGATGTGTAGAGCTTCGCGCTTTATGACATGGAAAGGGATCAACGCATCACTAGGAATCACTAGGATACATATTGTTTTGCTTGACAAGTGCGCAGGATCAAGTCAGTTTGAAGGTCGACCAGAGTCCGTTGCTTCCGCTAGATCAAGACATTGATTGAACTCCCCGTGAGACTAGGAAACGAGTTATTTGTTTCGCGCACGTGTGGAAAGTGTCAGGAACGTATTGATCTGACATGATGCAGCTGCTTTCCAACCAATAACCGGATCCCAAATTCCAAGTACTCTCCCATAAGCATGGAATCGAAGCAGCAGAAGGGGCGCGCTCTTCAGGCCTTCATTTCTCCTGTCCTTTTGGTCATATCCTTTGCCAGCAGTATTTGAGTTGAATGCTGCCCAAAAGCGTGTTATTTCCAGACCTAGCGTGAGGGCTGGCTGCTCCCAAGTGATTTTGCAATTTAAGGTTGATGCAGGATGGAACAGAATCCGAAGTTAATTTTGGCATACCCCAGAACTAGGCCAAGCAACACTCAAGGCAACCAGCCCCCACCCCTTTGCACACGGTGGCCTTCGGCCGTGAGACCCAGCTGTGTCGGCGGACCCCGCGCTCGAATGGCATGGGCCCGCCCACTGGGTCGAAAGGGAAGCCCGCTGCAAAGCGGGGACGCCCAGAGCCGTGTTTCTTCAACGCCCAAAACTCCCTGTGGCATTTTTGTAGGTCCTGCTGTCTTGTTTCATGGGGGGTGTAAGCAGGCCTATGTAAACCCTTCTTATAACCTCTTCGTAGAACCCCCATGGCCGCTGGGCGCTGCGCAGCCAACACGGAGCCCTCCATTTGCAAGACCCACCATTAAAACCCAGTAGAAGGGTGGAGGACAGTCCAAAGCGCTCCGCCCTCTTCATTATTTTCATGGTAGATCAGATCCCTTCGAATTTCAGGTTTCTATGAGCCGGATCTAGGTTTGACAATGAGGATGCACCGGATTTGACCTTTTGGTGTCCCGTTTTGGGTCCTATGTTGGTTGAAGTCCCAGAAGTGTCACCGCTGTTCAGCTCTGGGCAAGCGAGTAGAACCCCAATCACGGTTTTTAGCCACAAAAGCCGGGTGGACTCACGAAGTGTCCAATACCCATTGCGAAAATTGTGACCGTGAGGGGGGTTCACCTACGACCTACGGTGCTAGGATTTCCCGAAATGTGTTGACGAACGCAAACCCAGTTTATTTACAAGGCCCTGGTTGATTCGGGTTGGGGGTTCAACTTGTCAAGTCTGCTGTGTCCCGCCCAAAATCATGGCAAACAGCTTCAGGGATTGCGAACGAGTCCAAATTTGCAGCGCCCTTCAGTATCGGGAACAAAAAGCCAGAAGTCATGTTCAAGACATTAATAACCTGATAGTGGCATCTTCAAACTGTTCAGGTGGAACACTGGTTGTTGAGAAACATTTTTACAGTTTTGCTTATTGTGGTTTAGTGGTTGAAATCCCCACTAAACCGCTAAATGTTATATGTTTGCTCCCCTTCCAACGTCAACCAGGAGTACATATCCATGTTAGTGGGAGCGCTTGCGCAAAATCACTTGGGATCCTGAGCATTGGCAACAGGGCTTGATTTTTGAGATATCACCGCGTTTTGTTGCACCATTTGGGGAACCTGTGCCACGGTCTTCTCAACATGATCAATCGAAGGCTATTTGGGACCCTTAAACGCCACAACCCACGGCTTGCATTGCTTTGGCTGCCCGGCTAAGTTTTCATCATGCTTCTCGTGGGTGCAGTTGAGCCTTCACTCCAAACCGATGCCTGAAAAGGCCCAGGAACTTGCGCACCCTAGGCCATGGACCAGGATATGTAGTTGATGCTGGAGCAACGCTGGAGCACTTTATGGCTATTTGGTTGGGTAGACGGACTTTGACTTTGGACACCAGTTTGGATGTTCCAATGGACCCAAAACTGAAACGTTTTGCAGTTGGGTCAAAAGTTACCTCCGTCAAGTTTGCCTAGGCCAGCGGCCAAGACCACGCGCCTTGGAGCAAAACGCAGACGCATGCCGGATGGGGACCGCTGGATGTGAGCGGGCGCTTGCGGCTTGCGCATGACTTTCATCGTGTTTTATTATGTGTTGTATTATTCTTATTATTATTACTATTATTATTATTATGTAGCTGGTGTTGTTTGAAGGTTCCTTTGGTTTCTACCGGTGGTCCCCAGAAATGGTGTTTGCTTGGTCATCTGCCGGAGAGTTGGGAAGGACTCCGCCACACGCAACACTTTGTTCTGTGTACTCCCTTGAATCCAAGCTCCCAGTTTTTGGACTTTATTGGGGGAGACCATTTTAGTGCTAAACGAAGAGTTTGGACTTGTTTTGGCTTCACTCAGACATGAGCAAGCGTTGATCCGGTTCTTCTATGGCAAAGAATCCGAAGCATCCGGCAAGAAAGGCAAGGAGATCTTTACTTGAGCGCTCTGCCGCATAAAGTCAGCGGCAACTTCCAACTTGGACTTGAAGATGAAGATCAAGCTGGAGCAGGACATGTTCGTTTGCATCAAAGATCCAGCAACCTGCGCCAGATGCGTCAAGCCGCCGCAGGGCTTGAAAGCAACGAGTGCAGACACATCCAAGACGCACTGCTTGGCTTTGAAAGTCAAGCGCCGTTGTGTTTGAGGAACCTGTTGTTGGGACAAGGACTCCCGGTTTCGGGCTGCTTTGTAGTGAGGGTTCGGAGAAGTGGATTACAAGATGCAGAGCTGCAAGGAGACGGTTGGGCCAGAAACAAAATTCCTTGTGAATCAGTTTGGTTGTGGATCTATTCCGGAGCCCTTGGCACCGGCACCGGAGTGCCTTTCCTGATAACCTTGCGGCACATCTTCTCGCGGCTAAAGATTCCCTTTCGGGGCCGATTTGTGATTTGTTTTTTTGGTTCCCTCCTGTCCACTAACATGACGCCTGACGTTTCAGGGTCCTGGAAAACAATGTTCCCTTGATTTTCAATCGGACCCTTTGGCGAGTGGGCAGGGGGCCTTGATTTGTGGTGGGAAACCAAAAGAAAGTCGCCAATTTGGGGTCCATGGGTTTGAGTCAAACCCATTTTTCATCTTAATGGATGACTGTGCCACGGCCGAAGTAGTCATTTCCAAAAAAGGAAACTGATAAAGGGGACGGAAAATCGTTTGTGGTCCAGATCCTCCACCCATGAATTCGGCCTCCCTGATTCCTTGCAGATTTGGGTGCGTGTTGGTTTTTTGGGGTACCCTTGCTTGGTATAAAGTGAAAAGAAAACCACTCTTTTTGGGGGTCCCCCCCACTTCGACGACTGCATACCTATGTATTATCTTGGGAGTTGGTTTCTTAGATATGGTGAAATGTGCATATTAGATCGGCCATCTTATTGTGCACATTTTGAGGTGCTGACTCGACAGAGTCACACAAGATTCGTGAAATATATGTTTGTCTCGCGAAGCTGTGTTTTCCGGATCCTGGAATTTTGATCAACTGCAGTATACATATATGTATATATACACCTGGAGATTCCAATGCCGAGGAATTCCTAGGCGTTCTGGTTCTCAAGGTGTTTTAGGTGTTTTAGGTGTTTTGCGTTTGTTTTGCGATTTTTTGCGGGCGTTTGCCCCTTTTTGTGCGGGCGTTTTGCGGCAATTTGCGGGCGTTTCCTGTTTCTAGACGTTTGCGGTAATTTGCAGGCGTTTGCGTCCAAAACAGGGTCAATGCCGAGAATGACTAGGAATTCCTTGACGTTTGAACCTCCAGGTATATATATATATACATATATATATATATACGCATGTGTATACACATGTACATCTACAAGCGTACATATATTCGGCAAGGCCTTGCGCTTCTCCTGCATTTCTGAAAGGCGTATCCTCCGAGAGCCATGCCTGGTAGACGGTTTGCTGATGGGCCCTGCGCCTTGATGGCCTAATGCCTTCCCCCTTTTTGGAAACCCAAGGAAAAGTCAAACGAATGTTGCTTTTTGGGGCCCGCCCCAAAACAGAGGGCTCCTGAGTTTTTGTTTCATCAGCATAGGCTCCCCTCCATTTGCTCTTGATGCAAGTAAGCACCATGTGCCCCTGCCATTGATGGCCAAAGTTTACGGTCCAGCTTCATGGCCAGAAAGATCAGGGGTCCAATCCAAATCTACCAACTAGTTCTCACGACAACATTGAACCCCTCCCCCGTGTTTTGCATTAGTCCCAGCTCCCAGGATCCCACCTTTTTCCGATCTCGCCTTGTTTGCCCCATCAAAAAGTCCAACCCAGACAAGGTTCCAAAAAATGTTCGGCCAGCGTCACTGGTTTCCTTTTTGTCTTGCTTTTTGAATTCCACCTTTCAACCACTTGAAAGCGACTCCGTCTCCCAGCACTATCTTTCCCTCGTTCAACTGAGCAGGTCAGATGTTCAGAACCGGGATACATGACATCCCCTGGCAAAGAAATTGGTTGAGGCTTCGTAATCACCATTGATCCAGTCATAGAGTGATAGTGGAGGTCCGGGTACCTTCCAGGATCTGGCGTGAAGGATCCCCAGGTTCATTTCCCCAAAAGCGCCGCTCGAGGCCCTCGCCGGGCTCGCCGGGCTCGCCGAAGCCCGTCAGAGAGCCCCCCGATCCGAAGGACCCCGGGTCCGCGTCCGCGGGGTGGCCATGGAGCCCATGGCGGGAGGTAGAGCTCACAACTCACTTTGTTCAGCGGCTCCCCTTTTTCTCCCTCTTTTTTGTTGGCTGCCCCACTAAAATGGTCTTCCCAAAAAAATGGGTTCTCTTTTTTCCCAGAGTCACTGAACAACTGAGCTCAGTTTCTGAGGTATGCATGGTTGTTGTTGAGAAACATTTGAACCATTTTTGCTTATTGTGGTTTAGTGCTTGAAATCCCCACAAAACTGCTAAGATTTATATTTTTGCTTCCCTTCCAACGTCAACCAAGTATGGCTCACAACTCAGTTTCTTAAGACTTGGGACTAACTGAGATACTTCCGCTTGGGACACACGCTTCAAGTCACAGCGGTTTTCGCATCAACCAGCAGCCACATGGTTGTGCCTTCTTTTGGCCCCCCCCCCCCCCCGCCCCAAAAAAAAGAAAAGAAGTGGGTGGGTGTTTCTGGTGGTTTTCCTTCAAACCCCACTGTGAGGTACCCGAAACAAGCCACACCCACATCCAGAAGTGCTTTTTGCTCTCAAACTATCAAGCTTTTCAAAGGCCACCGACGGTTTCTGCTCGTTTGAGAGTCTCAAGTGAATCTCTGGTCGAGTTGGCAACCCCTTTCCCTTATAAGTGGGTTGCCGCATAGGTTGCTAGCAACTTGGCTGAACACGCAAGTATTCAGGGGTCCTTACATTTTGTGTTTTGGGCTGATGCTTAGGAGTAATACCACCGTTCGGTTGCTAAGGGTCTTATGTGAAATTTGGGATTGACATGTTCAGTTGTTTGGCTTTCCTATGTCAGTGGTCCGTGGATGCCACTTCTTAGAAGAAGCAAAGGAAATATGGACCCCTCCAAATGATGGGTATCAGCCCTCGCTATCAGCCCTCGCGAGTGTACTTAAAGAAACAACTTGACAAAACTTACGCTGAACAAGGTGCCAACCGTTCGGACGTTCTTTGGAGGGTGGGCTTGGGGTCCCTGGATGCATTGGGAAGGTTTGCGGAGCGGCCAAAGCGAGCGAGCCAGCGAGCGAGCTGGCCTAGACGTCGTTCAGCCCGCTTTGGTCGAGATAGATTGGGCTGATTCCCTCGTGGTTGTAACGTTATCAACCCAAGTGAGCTGAATATCCAACTTGGCGCAAACTCCAAGGCCTCAAGCTTGCAGTTCGGCAGCTCCTTCACCTGGATACCTTGACCCTTGCTTGGTGGCATATATATATATATATATAATACATATAGGTGCTAGCAGCGCCCAAATCCGTTTCAGCGCTTGGCTGGAGATGAGCCCCTTTTTGGGGACGGCCATTGTTGGGGATCAACTTTTTCCGGCCAATCCTCTGTTTTTTAAAGGAGTGTCTCCCCAGTCAACGGGTGAAACGCGTAGACCGCCGGTGGCTAGGATGTCCGACAGCTCATCGGTCTCTTCCACACCTTGAAACTGCGCATGGCCAACGCCTCCGCAGTCGCAGTGTCCAGCTCTGCCCCTCGAAGTTCCGTTTTGGGACGTGAGTTGTGAGATGAGGAGGCCCAAAAAACATCTAACTAAAGAAAAGAGATAAGGGTGGTCTTTCTATTTGTTTGCCGTTTTGTGTTTTTCCCGACCCCCCGTGGTGCCCTTGGGTTTCTTGGGTGGCTTCTTTGTCTCACTTCCTGTTTGTTGCTGGATGAAGCTTTGTGGGAAGACCATTTAAGTGCCAAATGACAAGTTTGGAGCTGTTTTACCAATCCACTGAGGAAACTAGTTGTTGGAGGGGTGGGCCCCTTGACCATCAACTACATAAAATGGGTGGCCTTTTATCCATGGCCACTGGACTTTGCGAATCCGCGGTTCCCATGCGGCAGACCATACAAGTTCTTCGCGTGGAGGGGTTCAAAACGCCGCTCGGTCTTGTCTAAACGTTGGTGCCTAGATATGGAGGCACGTGTCTCTCTTGGAGGGTGCCCCATTTCGGGTGTGCCCACACTCAAATATGGCAACAACACATTTCGAGGCTTCAATCAGAGCGAGGCGCTTTTGGGTGGCGAAGTTGGGTCGGACATCGGAAGTCGGATCAATCCTCACGTCAGCTCCGCGCTGAGGTACAGCTACAAGGGCTCAAGCATGGTAGAGTGGCGAAGATCGAGTTTGTCAGGCAAGGGGGAGAGGGGGGGGGAAGATGTTTACACTCAGGAGCCCCACACCAAAAGAAACGCCATTCAGCCAATGCACAGACCATCTATATATGGGTCGTGGTCATGGTTTCTTTTACCAGGAATCATCAGGAATCCTTGTCATGGTTGTCGAAATCCCGTATGACCATCCCTGTCTCAGACAAGGAGCCACCCCCAGTTTCCTCCCAAACAAACGACAAGTTTTGGCCTGATTGTGGCCTTATTTGGAGGAGACCAGGGAGGGAGGGATTGGGATTGACCAACAAAGGAACCACCCAGAGACATGATCACGAAGTAAAGGAACATCGTTTTCTTGGAGCCTCAAACGCCTATAAGTCCAAACCAGTGATGCTTCGTTCGGGAATGTTCCACCAAGGAACCACCCACCCCGCCCGACCCAAAAACGGGCGAATTCGGCACAGGCACCCGCAGGTCGAGGCCAAGACGCTGAGCGCTGAGCTGCTGCAGGCGGTGCTGCGCATGCACCTGGCGCGCTTGGCCTCTCGGCGAGACGTCTCGGTGGCACGGAAAGTCCCGCCTTTGGGAAGAAATCAAGGCTGGGGGCGTCCAAATCTGGCCATGCGAAGTAGGCTAGTGGCCCTCCAAAGCCCATACACGTCGAGCACCCTTTTGAGGGAACGTAGTTGAATTAACTTCTTGTTTGAATCATCTTCAGTTGGTGTCCAACTCGAAGAGAGCTTCCTTTTGGCACGGTGATTTGGCGTCTATAGCGCGATTCCCGTGTTGTTTTTTTGGCGTGGCGCAGGTTACATGCCCTTACCCTCTACCACCAGTACATGGAAAGACTCAAAGAGCAGGCTTGCTTTGCCAAGGGAAAGCAGGCTTGTAAACATCATGCTTGTGCACCAAGCCATGTTTGTTAATGGGAGGGAAATGCCCACTTGCCATGATCTGCCTGAACGGTACTCCTGATATCCCGCCTAGCCAGTCACCCTTCCTGGTGGTGAAGGTGCCCTGAAACTTGTGAGGTTCCATACCTTTTATCATGGAATCTACTAGCATTTGGGACGCCCACTATGGCTTGGACTTTTGACCAATGTAGGAAGGGGTTGTATGCAATTTCCTAGAATGATAGCCGGAGTTCCCGAGTTTACAGCTTAGTTTACTATGGGCTTGAAGGGGAATCCATTGCCCTCAGGAGCTCGCTCGCAACTTCAGCTCGCCACAGCTGGCACGGCTGCAGGCGATTGATTTCGGCCGACATTATCTTTGTCCCCGTGCCGGCAAGGTAGCTACTACGTATCTTCGCTTGTTGTGTTTATGAACCTCGCCTCTTAGGCGAAAACCTTGGACAACAAGAGTTTGGTTTCCCCTTATGTTTTTGTCTGCTCAGGCATCTCTGGGTCATGGACTTGTCCCCACTGCAAAACAGAGGCCCGCGTCTTGTCACCGCAACAGGCGCTCACATTTTTGTCGAGGCCCTTCCGATGCAAAGTTGAGTCCAGTGCCAGGTGCGGAGCAAGCGCATGTCAAAAGTCAACGGCAATCGGTCGGCTGAGATTCTTTAGGTCTAAACTTTAGGTGGTTTCCTTTTCAGGGCCTGTTTCGACAGGATCATTCCCAAAACCCCTCCGATGCAGGCTTATCTCCATTCCCTTTTGGCGGAATCACTGTTGGTATCGGGTTTTTGTACAAAGGAAAGCCTTCGTACCCGGTTGGGTGTGTCGATGTATCCTAGTTGGGGTTGTTTATGTTAGAGAAGCCAAAGGAAGCCCCCCCCCCGCTTTAGGCTGTCCCTGGTCTCACGGTGAGGGCTTTAAGAGTATGCCCTTTTTGGAGGGTACCAGTTTTGCTCTGGCTTAAAGAGAAGCAACGGAACAACATGTGTAGTGTTCCACTATTTTAGGACCATACAAACCCCACATTTGGCATCAAGCTTATTTAACGATACCCCATCTTTTGTTTCGAGACCTATTTTTTGCCCATACACACCTTAGCCGTAGAACTCCAAAAGCCAGGGGGTTCCGATTGCCCAGATTTCCCCGCCGGAACCCGGAGTTCATGGGACAACCCAAGACCGGGATTTTCTAAGAGGAGTTTCTTCTGGAATCTGGACATGGCATTATTTTTCTTGTTGGTTCCATGTTAGCTTAATTGGTGGTTTGCTTGCAGTTCTAGAAATGGGGCGGTTTTCTGGGGGTCCCACGTTACGCTCCCCTCAGGTAACATGGAAGCTCCTAGAAGGCCTCTGCAAATGGAACCAAGTCTTTTATGTTAGTCTGGGGGAGGGCAATGCCACCTGCGACTCGCTTGGCAGGCCTTGGCCCAGCGGAAGCGGCTGCTGGCGCCGCGCCTGGCGGCGGAGGACCGGGCGGCGCGGAGGATCCAGCGGCAGGCGCGGGGCTGCCTGGCGCGCAGAGGCGGGGGGCGGGGCGGTGGTTGGGCCGGCTTTGGTGCATTTTGCCAAGGGATGTTCGGACTGAATCACTTTTTGCCAACTAAGGGGTTTTCCATTCAACCACTAAAAGTTGAACTTTTAGCAGGGGAGCAGAAAGCAACCGGGTGGGGGCGGTGGGGTTGGGGTGGGGGGAGGGCATGGTGGAGACTGTTTTTTGCAAGCTTCATTTGGGGTGTTGTTTGCTTTCGGTTCTTGGCTGCAAGAGGGGGATGTTTGGGGGGAGGGGTTGGGGTTTGGGGTTTGGGTTTGGGGAGAGGTAATGGGCTCCGTGGCTTTGTTTGATATGAGCTGGTTTTGATGGGAATGAATCGCCAATCCCCCCAAAAGGAAACCGCTAGTTGCATACACTTCGGAGTCATTCCAACTCATTGGGGAACCCAATTCAAGGGGTGAACCGCAAGTCCCCCCAAAAAAGGTTCGGCCACCAGTTGGAGAGTTCGGTTCGGAGTCAACTCATTCCCTGCGAACAACAACCCTGAAAGTTTTTGTTTTTTTGAATGAACCGCAAGGTTGCGGGTCCCCCCAAAGTTAACCACCAGCACAATTCAGTTCGGAGTCATTCCAACTCATTGGGGAACCCAATTGGCCACCGGGTCAAAATCCCGCACCCCCAGTGAACATCCCAATCCCCACTAAAATAGACTAAAATTGGTCGTGCACCAGCCCCAAAATGGTACCATTGGTTTTGACCCACAGCCAATTCAAGGGGTGAACCGCAAGGTTGCGGGTCCCCCCAAAAAAGGTAAAAAGCCACCACTTGGAGAGTTCGGGGTCATTCCAACTCATGCCCATCTCTCGCACCAGCCAGCGCAACCAACGCCTGACCTCGCGCGCCAGGGGTGCAGGAGCTGCGCCTGGACCGAAGCGCGCAGCGCCTGGTGCTGGGGCTGCTGAAGGCCATCGGATCCGACCAGGGCGAGGTGTCAGCTGACCCAGAAATCGGTGCTTGAAATTGGGTTGGATTTTAACAAAACTACCTCAGAAATGGGGGATTGGTTGGGAGTAAAGCCAAAAAAACGGGTGCCAACCCACAGAAGCCACCTTAAAACAAAAATCAACAACTGTTTTTTTGGAATCTATCACTCATGTGAGCCACAATCAAAACCCGGGAAGATGAAGGTTAGTAAGGGGCAGTCTCAGCCAAAAATAGTTGCGGTGGTAGCCCCCAATCGGTGGTCAGGATTTGGATTTGAACCCCTGGCTTTCTCGCAGATGGTAAATGGAATTCCCTCATGAACCAAACCTCCGATCCAAACCACCACTTGAGGGGGTCAAAGACTTTCTGCCAGACTTGGCATAGGCAGATGCAACTCACCTTGTTGCGACCGTCCCGTGTTCCTAGAGATGTTTGCCCGTGCCAGTGAAACTTGCGGGCCTGGCAGGGAAAATCGCGGGTAAAGCGCAAGATGCAAGCCGTCAAGACTGCCACATTTACCTGCCACATTTACCTCATCGGGAGAATCGTGTTGGTTGGAAGCCATTGACCGTATCCGACGCATCCCATTGCCCGCCCACCCGTTGGAGGGGGACCGGGGAGGTTCGAATCCTATGAATGGCAGGAAGTCAAAGAACACCAAGTCTCTTTGGGTTTGCCCAGTGGGTTTCGAATGGGGTTTGATCATGGTTGATCCTTTGGACATCGTTTGCTTGGAATTAGGTCTGGTGTCAGAAATATGTGAAGAATGGAAGGAGCCCTAAACTTGGACACCCTAGCAGTTTCTGGGGGCTTGAGCTTTGGGGAATCGGTGCCCTATGTCCAAAACACGAGTTTCCCTTTGGTAGAAGAAACTCCTTTTGGGGAATGGGCACCCCTTTGGGTTCCGTATAAATTTGAAGGGGAGTAAGTTGTGGGGTTCAGAGGTAAGTTGGATTCTTGTCTGAACAATTTCACTCTGGAAGTGGATTCCCCCCGTGTTTCTCCATCAACTCCGATCCATGTGGATGTTTTGCCCATGGCCTATCAGACGAAAAGAACGCGCCACCCTGTCCGAATGGGTTGTGCCATGAAGGGTGCTCCTGATATCCCGCCTGGTTCGTATCTTGCAATCTGCGTTGAGGTATCTACCTTGGGGTGCCCATTTGGTTGGAAAGGTAAATGCGGGTTGTGCTCCTGTTTGTTGCGACTGGGATGAACTGGGGACCTGCGAACAGCGCTTGTGATAAGTGCAATTCCGCTTATGAAACCTTATGCATTGTCTCCATTTTGGATAAACTGCCGGACTTCCCTTGCCCGACTTGCTTTGCCTTCTTGTCTTTTTTGCCCTTTTGGTTCTACTTCATTTTGCGTTTGAACCAGCAACAGGCAACATACCCTCCCACCAATTGTCATGGAACCTGACAGGGGGTCCCTTCAAAAAGAAAATAGTCTTCCACTAAGCAATTGGTGCCCCCCACCCCCACAACGTCGATGACCGGTTTTCACTTAGGGTAGCACTTAGGATTCGGCTGGTTATCTTCAACTTCCCATGGCTCGTGGCGTTTGAGGCCTTGAAATGGCGGCAGCAGATGGCCAATGGTGCTCTTGACCAGGACCGCAGCGCAAGCATGGGGAGACAAACCAACCGATGTGACCTGGTGACTTGCTGGTTGTGTCCCGCTGTTCGTCACCCCCAAAGGCGAAGCTTTCGGTGTTTGGGTCCTTGGGGCAAGGAACACCTCGGTTCGGCCAAAAAAAGATTAAAACGATTGGGTCCGTTTTGTTCTTGGGACCCAGATTGGCTTGCATTTGCTCAAGTTGTCCCCTGTTGGTATTGAAGGGAAGCTATCACTGTTTCTGCTACTCGTTTTTTTTTTCTCCAGGGGACTTCAGCAAACGGATGATGGTCAACACCATGCCATAAGTGGGGGTGGGGTTCTGGAGGAAAAGAAGGGAAGTTGGGGCGAAGACTTGGGCACCTTTCGAGCTTCCGGCGCAAGACTTGCTCTATTTTTGGAAGGGCAGCACATGTGCGGTCCACATGGCACCTCTAAAACAGGCGCCGTTTCCTCTTAAAGGGCCCTGCCAAGGGCCGCGTCGGAGGCCTCGAAAACTCGAAAACCGTCAGGCGACCCTGGCACTGCAGACCAAGCGCCGAGCCACGATGGCGCAGCGGAAATCCCTGGCGCTGACGCAGGAACGACAGGAGCTGCTCCGGGCACATTGCAGCCCGCATACTTGTAAGGACTGGTCCCGTACACATTCACATAGGGGCTCCCCCTGATATTTCCTGCACTTCATAAGGGGGGTTGATTCAGAGAGTTCCTTGGGTCCCTTAAAGGAAAAAACCAGCCAGAGCAGAAAGTCACCCAAATAGCAGCTAAGGATCCGATTCTTTGTAAAGCAGGCGGTGTTTGCGCATTCGTTCCATACCCTAGTTTTTACATATCATATTTAGGTGGTGCTTGGAAGGGAGCCAAGGAGCTGGGGGTATCAATCTCTTTCGGAACTTCCACTCCTGTAAGGATGGTGTACGGTCGTCGGTTGTTTGTGAGATGTTTTTTTCGTCGCAGCTCTGTGGCAACTGGGAGCCGCTCAAACGGAGAATAGTTGTTTTGCTAACCAAGCAGCGGGTTTCAGTGCCACTCCTTTTTTGCCGGTGAGTTGTCATATCTTGGGCAAATTCCTCGTATTGGGTTGGTGTCTGACGGTGAGATCTGAACTGAGTTGTTCAGCCACTGGATTTCCACTCCTGTCTAGCTGGTGGTTGGAAGGGAGCCAGGGAGCTGGATAATCCAAATTTGCTTTTAAAGAGGGAGCTAAGGAGCTACCAGGAGTTCTGGAAGGACATGGTAGTTGATCAATCCCTTTTTGTTTCTTGGGCGTTCCAATGACTGAGCAACCGCCGCTTGGCATACATCATTCCCTCATGCTTCTTTCCAAACAGGTCACTAGTTGTGACCGGGGAATGAGTTCAACCAGTGTAGCGTTACAACTTTGGGGCGTGGACACTTCTTCTTGCTGAACATCCTGTGATTTGCCATGTTTAACTCGCGAAAGAGATGATCCTTCGACCCCGGAATGAAGCCCCGCCAGACAACCCTCTGTTGAGGCTTTTGCAGTGGTCCCTCTCTCGGCAAAGGTCTTCGTAAGTAATACCTGGTTGGTCTTTCCCCCCCCCCGCGCGACCTCGCGAAACGTTGCTCACTTTTGTTGATGGAGGGCTGATCCAATGATCTGTGCCCCGGCTGAGTTTGAGCTAGCGGTCCATGCTGATGCCAGAGGGTCCACACACACAAACCCCATGTCCATTGCTCCTTTCCCCTTGATCCATGTTGGGAGGGTGCATGTTTCAACGATTGAGAGACTACAGGTGGCAAAGGTTGAAGGGAGGGCACTTTCTTGGACGCAAATATTGTCCCTGGCTACCCTCCCCTGGTTTCCGCGGGCTGCTTGTTTTGCTCCTGAAGCGAGGGGACCGGGGTATGGAGAAGCGTTCTTTCCGCGGGATCCGAGAGACGCAGTCACGCCTTGAGTGTTCCTTGACTCACGTTTTGGGAAGACCATCTTGGTGGCAAGCAACCAGTTTGGGCTTTTTGTGGCCAATCCACCCAAAGAAGCTAGTTGTGAATATATTGAATAAACCCCATTCCAAACTAGGTGTACTCATTGTCATCCCACGCCGCAGTAGGTGACCGTGAAGATTGAGGCAAACAGGGCTTGCCGTTCTTGAACTCATGTGAAGAATATCAAATGGTCCTCCCCCCAAGGTGCGAACTTAGTTGCCCACGAATCGATCTTATGTTGGTCCTGAGCCCGACCTCGCATGGGGTGGTTGGTGCCCGATTTGTTCCCTTTTTTGGGCACCCCGCATTTCAGGCTGTTGGATTATGTTATCATAATTCACCCAGATTGAGTTCTGAAACCTGCAAAAAGGGTGCATTGCTCAGGGGGCATTTATCTCATACGTAGCCTGCTGGTGGGTGACATAAATCCACTCAGATCGCATTGCGCTAGCTCCTTTCTCTCGACAGGATGTGCGGACGGTTCTTGGCATCTTCCGAAGCTATGTGCAAAGACAAAGCCTGAATCAGCCGCTTGGACAGCTGGAAATCCGCTTCTTGAAACTCCACTTGCATCAGTGTTGCTGATATAACACCCGTGCGTTTGGTTCTGAAATCTAAGTTAAGGCATTTATTTCTGGGTGCTTTCGCCCATTTGGGGGAAGCAAACCACTTGCAGCACTTACCACACTCACCAACCAGAGTTTAGGGAAGGTTGCTAGACCCAAAGGAGGCTCCCTTTTGTTTCGCAAGCAATCCCCGTGGGAGAAAAGCCCGCTTTTCCGACACTCGAACCAACAAGAACATGTCGGATAGGAAGCTGGATGTGGCTAGACAAGCAAGTGCCACCCACTCAACTTGTGCTCACGCTCTAGGAACACAATTCCTTTTTAAGAGGGAGTACAGGATAAATCAACAATGCATTTCCTCGATCTGTGCTGTAACAGTTCTATCCTCCGAAGCTCTTTTGTCGGTCTGCCGTAGTTTCATGGATGGGTGCCCTGCTGGTGAATCAAATTGTGAAAGGGGCCCTACATGGACAGAAATGATGAGAGTTGTGTTGCGGGGCACTGTCAAACAAAATTACCTCATGAGCATGGGACAATGTGAACTATGACCTGCCTGGGGGAGAAGACTTGACGGTTTCCTTGATCAAGATGACAGATTCATCAAGCAGCTTCTGATCGACTGTAATTAAGTTGGACAAATGTTTTAAAATGCGAGCCATGTGAAAAGGATCTGACTTGCCGAGTTGCAGAGTTTCTGGGCTTTACACTTATTGGGAAGACGTGTAATGTTACCCCAAATTTATAAACCCCTGTGTATGAATGTAGGGCCCCCAGATTTTCCATGGGATTAGCGGGGAATTATTTGTTTTGGAGCGGAGCACCCCCTTTATGAATACACAGGTTGATGAATATGGGGTCAACAGTAGACTTTGTTCGGCCACTGCCCTCAGGGAACGCGTAAAATCTGCCAGCAAGCCGTGCGCAGGGGACCTTCACTGCTCGCTGAGGCGGATCTCGTCCAGAGCCGTGCAGACGCTCCAGCGGCTCGGCAAGCAGAGTTCACGTCGGAAAGGCTTGGCTGTTTTAGGGCATGGGCATGGGTCAGAATTAGGGGGGCTGTAGTCGCTTTGAACTTCAAGAAGCGCAACTTTTGTTGGCCAGTCTATGGATTGGTGCGTGCGCCTCGTTTAGAAGACGATCTGAATCTAGTTTCTAGTTGATACTATCGTCGTTCCCTTTGAGAAAAATGTCCTGAAAGGAAGTCTCTTAACCTCCCGGCAGCCATCAAACTTCCTGTGTGATTCAGTTCCCAGTGATGGCTTTTCCGTATCGCATAAAACTTGTAAACCCTTTTGGTTTTTGATAAGGCGAGGCCAAAAGGCAGACATATGTGGGTACTTTGTTGCTTCGGAGTGTGTGAAACAGGTCTGTTTGTTAGCTTCTGACTTCTTGAAGACCAACATCTTGAGCTGCGAACATTTGTTGCTCAATCTGCTTTTGGCTGGATATGCAGCAGACTATCGAACCCGGTGTTCAAGTGGTTTCGGCTGGACAATTGGGTTACTTACCTGCCTAGTCCCAAAAAATGCAGCAAACCCGAGCTGGGAAACTGCCTTCTTGAGGGTAGCTTTCTGAGGGGCTAGGGCACCGGGCCAAGGTAAAGGGAAGGGGGTCCCCCCGATTCAGAGCGATCTCCCGCTGAATGGGAGGAGGTTGCAAAGCGCGCGCTCAGTGACTCAGGCAGGGCAGAAGATGCCAAGTCTCCCGAAGGGAGCTGCAAAATCGGCAGCAGGAGAAAGAGGCGGGGGAGAGAAAGGTGTTCCTCGCATCCGTGGTTGGAATCCCAGAATTTTGACAGGCATGCTTGTGTTTTCTTGTGTGGTAGTTTTCAACATCAGCTTTTCGGCCAGTTTCAGGTGAAGTTCTCTTTTGTGCCCGATGTTTCAACGGGAAATGTAGTCAAACTTGGAGCCAAGGGGAGCCAAGGGAAGGTGTCTGATGCTAGGGAATGACCCAGGGGTTGGGAATGAATCTTGGGATTCCCTTAAAGGAAACCATACGGGGATGGTTTATAGGGGTCATTTCATTTCTCATTCCCTGCTGAGAACCAGCAAGTTGAAGATGGTTGCTCCTAGCTGGTAAGAGTTGAGGAACCCTGAAGTCCAGAAATGTGGCTCGGTTTGTTTGTCTTGCCCTTGCACGACTCATTATGTCCTGGGGTCTTCGCTGGAACCCTCTTGAGTCAAAGGCTCATTATGAACTTCTAGCTCCTTTCGGCCCCTTGCAGGGTAGGTTTCGCATGAAGTCAACACGTGGTTCACTAACGTGGGGTTCACACAGGCAAATTACAGCAATCTCCACCTCCTTGGGGGTCCTCGGATTTTGTGCTTTGAGTCATTGTTCATTCACCCTACACACGAATGTCCCCAAAACCATGAGCTGTTACGGATGTATATTTTCCCAGGTTGTGTAAACTTTGCTTTTGGCGGATGTTTAAGTTTCCGTTGGGGCCAGAAAACAATGCGCCCAAAGGTACGTGGAGCCAGAGACCCTCCAAAGCATTTGGGCCGGATTAGTCAACCTTCTGGATTGATGGGGGCGTGGTCTTCCAGGATAATGGCCTACCGCCCTATTACCGCACGGCAGGTCACATTGAATTTGAGCCATGACGAACCGTTTCCATGGTTTTCGTATATAACTTCAATCCTTAATACAGTCGAAATGATGAACCCAATTTGGACGATCGCTGGCTGCGTCAATAGTTGGTCAAACAGTAGTGCAAAAGGTGCCTCCCGTTGTACAAAACCAACATGTCAGACAGCTGGTCGTATTCCAGCTGTTTGACCTCCTTGTACCTTGAGGAGTACGCTCGACAAGGGGGACCCCAAAAATATGATCCTAAAGGATGCCAGCGTTCCTTTCGTTTGTCTCGGAGGAGTTGTTATGTAGGACACCATATGCCTTACCATTTGTTTAATGATACTTTCACATGTTTACCTTCCAACCATTAGCCTTTACTATGTATCATTAGCTTGCTCCACCTTGCTACCTTACCATCTTCAGTTGCTTCTTCTTTCACCCAGCAGCTGATGAGCCCTTCAGGACGCCCAGCTGCTGCTGTCGCTCTTCCGCGCAGCCAAGCTCCGCCTGAAGTTGGCCCGCAAAGTCACGGAGCAGAGCTCTGCGCCTGCGCCAAGTGGGGAAGTCGGGTCACGGGTGAGGTGTGGGCCTTGGGGTCTCCGACTCCCCCAGTAGTGCTCCCCTACCAAGATTGAGTACAGAAAAAAAAATACCCTTGTTCTAACCTCTCTACTGGAAAACCTAGCGGATTTCTGGATATATTGTATGGTTGGCACGTGGGGCAGAATCTGCAAACATGATGTGAACCATTTTCTGTTCGGAATGTGAAAAGGAAAACGGGAATCTGAACATGAAGAAACCAAATCCGCTTCTCACCGCCAGGTTTCCCCCAACACCCCTGGGGTTGGGCCGTGGCTTCAGTCGAGTCGCGGACGGGGGTCGGCAGAAATCCCACCGAGGCTGTGGGTCCAGGGGGGCTTCTGGACTTGACTGCTGTTGGGTTGGATCTTTAGACTTTTACTTTTTGGTTGAAATCAAGCGGTTTTCCATTAAACCAAAAAGTGAACAACTTTTTGCAGAGGGGTCAACAGCAACCAGGTGGACTTGAAGGATTTGGGGAAGAGCGTTTAGTGCGAAATCGATCTGACTAGGAAACCAAAAACATGCTCCTTCTTGTCGAAGACTTGTGTCCACCTTGCCTCGGAAGAAATGGACTGGCCTGTCGCTAAGGGGTGTGTGTGTGTGTGTCTTTCTCAAGATACCCCTTTGAGTCGAGATGGGTCTGAACTGGCTTCAAATTCGTAGACGTCCTTTGCCTTGTGCTTTCCCCCTTTGCTCAACAGTGTAGAGGAGAACCCTCTTCAAGTATAAAGGGAAACCTGGCTTCAAAAAGCTGAAATCTCAAGACATATGAACATTTGTTTGGTTTCAATCATGGAACTTCTCCCACTAACATCAAAACGTGTCTGTTTCAGTTGCTTCCCAAACGGGGTGTTTGGGGCAGGGTTGGGCCAAAACACCGATACTGGTTAAGCAGCCTCCTTTGGTGTAACTGTAACGGGGGGCCAGAGCTTGGCAACATGGTTCCCTACATTTCCCCTCACAATCATCACCAGGAGGGAAACTCATCTAAAATTGGCTTGAAAGGTTTCAAAGGATATCAGGAGTATCAGCTCTTGACCCCCAACCCTGGCCCCAATCCTTCTTTTGGTGACTTTTTACAACTGTTGCGACCAACCATAGAGGGCATATACTCCATTTTTCTGAGGGTTTGGGGGTGGAACCACTATACGGACGGGTATTTACTCCATTGTTCCTACCTGATTTGAAAAATGGAACCACTAGGTAGACGGATATTTTCTCCGTCGTTCCTACTTGGTTTGGGGCTGGAACAACTACATAGACGGGCATTTGCTCCATTTCTCCTACTTGTTTTTGGGATGGAAGGCTTCTTGGACGGAGCCTCTTGGGCTGGGGCACCTTCTCTGGGTTTTTCAGGTGAAGCTTCAGAAGCTGCAGCGGGGCCGTGCCGCCAAGCAGGAGATGGCCAGGCTCGCTCGAGTTTGGGGCCCGAAATGCCCGAAATCAGCGCCGTCCAAGTAGATGGCGCAATTCCCTTCGTCTGGATAAATAGGGCGATGACTCAACCAAAATGATGGAGTTAGGAATTGGCCATGGTATGTGTGTGTGTGTGTGCGTGTCGGGTTCCCTTTGCGAGGTTGGCTTAAAAGGGGGACCAAGAGGAGGCGACCCATGTTTTGGCCCCCTTTTTCCTTCGATTTGTAGAATCATCTGCTTTTTTGTCCCGTGTTGGTTTTGAAGGGAATCTACTGGCAATATTTGGGTAAGCCTCAGTTTGTGGTTTGGTTTGGGGATTTGAACCCCAGATTCTGGTAATGGATTGATGGGTTAGCTTCCAAATCACCAAACCAAACCACCAATTAGGTCGAAGCTGACATATGGGTATGGGTCAAATCAAACCTCCAGAGGACTGCGGGTTTTAGTCCAGGTTTCCATTTACCAGTCCCATTTGGGGGTCCTATTTTTGACCAGCCCGGCAAATTACGAGCTCACCGATCATGGAGAAGAGCGATTGGCCCATGATGAAGGTTCTTGACATGTGTCTCAGCACCCACATGCTGACAACTCCTTTGTTTGGAGCATGATGGGGGGACAGGTGCAACAGTTACTTTGATCTAAAAGTCTTGGCTCGCCAAGCATTCGGCCGTCACTCAGACCGAGGTAAGCTTTCCACCACGTTCTTGGGCCCAAGTGAGCTTTGGGAGTGGACGCCTCACGGGTCTTGCGGCTTTGGGCTCGAATCTGAAAAGGTTGGGCTATGTTGGGCTTGCGGGAGTGCCGTCAACTTTGTGATTGTTGTTTGCCGACCAAATGGCTGTGGGACAAAAATGTGTGCCTAGAATGGAACCCCGGTATATGTTGAAATAAGGACAAAACCAGCGGTCCCCTAGTGGTTTAATTTTGACCCATGCCCAAATTTTGTGTACCTGGGGTTTGTTCTTGTCAAACAAAAACAAGTAATTGTCCACACATGGGACTTCACAGAAGGCGCATTAAATCCGTCTTCCCATTACACAGCTCCATGCGCGAATTGGTTCGTTTGTCTCTGCCAGGATGCGTGAAACCGCTGAGTGCCACGAAGCCTGGCAAGATGATTTTCGGGGCAATCCAAGGCTCACCTCCCGACGTGCCATGGTCTTTTTGACCGGTTCCAACTTACTTGGGGTTAACGGGGATGGTCATCCACCTGTAGGGATGCTTAACCAGCGTGACGATTCCAATGGGGACCATTGCCATAGGACATACACGACCCTGGCACACATTAGCCAAGTGCTTGGTAGCCCCCAAGTAATCTCTAGTAACTCCTCTACAAGACCTTGTCACTCGGATACAAATCATGTTGCTAACCGTAAGGCCACCTGAGTTGGCAAACTCGTTCTTCTTGCACGGCGGGGTTTCCAAAATGTGCCTAAGAGGTCGCTTTGCGCAACTCGGGGGGGACACGAGCCATAGCATGATGGAACTCATTGAGGCTATCAGGACCTTTTTCAGAATCTTATGACCAGACCCACGCGAACAAAGGGCATACTCTGCCCATGTCGAAAGCCCTTTCAACATGCCCACCCCCTGAGAAATGAAATTGGGCGCGACCCCTGGAATTCCATTGATGGTTCCATTTTGCCTTTTGTGGGGAAGACTAGAAACATTAATTGAGGGACCCCCATCACCCCTTCTCCCTTACGATATAGGGAATCTTTCAACCCAGGTGCTTGGTGAATATGGCCACCTGGAGGTTTGGCCATAGGTGCATGGACCTATGCAATAAGCTTTTGGAGAGCTTTAAGTGGGTAACTGAACCGGAACAGGAACCCGTTCCCGATATGACGTTCGGTCACTAAGAGGAAACCTATCCCAGACAAAGCTCCCTTTGTCAGATCTCGCACCCCAATCGTGCCAGAGGGAATCGGAAGAATTTGCATTTCCGCTGTGTCATGTACGTCTATTTGAGTGTGGCTCAAAACTCCCAAGGTGCCATTTTGGTTCATTTTTTGAGCCACTGCCATTTGTGTTTCTAGAAAATCAAGAGGATTGGCATCCCGGGTTTCCTTCTTCCTCACTTGCCCACCTTTAGCGTGGAAGCTCCCAGAACCTTTGCTTTCGTCACCTGACAGTGCTTTATTTGAGGCTAGTCTCTGGTGCAAGGAGGAGCCAAAGGACTACCACCCGTTTATTAATGGGCATTTCCCTAAGTCTGGATCATGACCAACAAAGCTACTTTTGGTTGGGAAACCAGCCTTGTTCAGGGACACCACTCATTTTAGGTAAGGTTAAAAAAATGGTTTTTTGGGTAAGGGAAAGGGAAACCACCTTAAATCTGGACCATGATCAACAACACAACTTTTTGGTTGGTCAACTGTTGAGGCCGAGGCCACCGAATCACTCCCACCGCCGAGGCCACGTTGGCGCCGGTGTTGCGCTGCCTCAGCTTGCGGATCCACCTGGCCAGCGAGCGGTCGAAGAAGGCAGGCAAAGCTATACGATGGGTGGGAACGCGGCAACTCCCTGAAAACCAGGTGCAATATACCTAAGGATTAAGTATACATTTGTATATGTATACAATATGTGTATATATATATATATACATTTATGTTCCAGGCCATGAACCCCCCCCCCCCCCGCCCTGTAGGGGTGGGGTGGGGTGGCTGGGTGGTTGGGATGTGGTTTGGAGTTGGTTTGGGGTTGGTGGGTTAATTTAGGGTTGGTATAGGGTTGGTTTCCGGTGGGTTTAGGGTGGGTTTGGGGGGTTGGCGGCCTGGGGACTGGAACATATATGGATTCATTCATATCGCGGAACAAGAAATGATCATAACAACAAAGGGCTTTTTAGTTGTGAGTTGTTGATGTGTGTTTGCGTGTTAGTTAGTTAGTCTGGTTGTTTTTGTTGCGTTGTTTTCTTTTGTTCTGTTTTGTTTGTTTGTTTGCTCGTTGGTTGTTGGTTTGTTGGTTTGTGTGTTGGTTTGTGTGTTTGTTTGTTTGTTTGTTCGTTTGTTCGTTCGTTTGTTTGTTTGTTTTTTGTTTGTTTGTTTGTTTATTGGTGTGATGGCTGGATTTCTTGGCGTTTCTTTGGTCTGGCTTGTTTGTTTGCTTGCTTGCTTGTTTGTTTGTTGGTTTGTTGGTTTGCTTGTTTGCTTGTTTGCGTGTTTGCTTGTTTGTTTGATTTGCTTTGTTTGGTTTGGCTTGGTTTGGTTTGTTTGTTTGTTGGTTTGTTTGTTAGATATATTGTTGTGACCCAACAGCGACGTCTGTGTCAAATGCGAAGCCTGGCTTTGAGGGCGGGTTTGGAGGCAGGTTCCTGGATACATTTGGCGTGAGGGTCCAGGGAGGTTCCGGAGCTGTTTGGGATACTCGTTGGGCTTGAAACAATAGGCAATGAAGCGCATATGTTCAGTTGCTGTTGGGCAAAGACATTGGTCCTTGAATTTGACCCTTAGTTGCTCGTGCGTTACACTCAGCTTTGGTTTGTCACATCCTGGCGGTGATTACATGGGCAGTGAATTTCCATTGAAATGAACGCCAGGCCAGCAAGCAGATGAGCTCCTTGCTGGTTTTTCAACACCAGCCAGTTGATGTTATGTTTTGTCGGCCAGGGCTTCAGTGTGATTTCCTTTTTGGCAAGTGCAACTGCTTGCTGAAAGTTACTCCAATCCCCTGCAAGGCTCAAAGGCTCGGGACATCTCTGTACCTCCCGCCCCCTGGGGTACCACCTTCCAGGCACCGTTTCTAGAGCTGCCTGTTTTGTGGGGCAAGCTGACCCTGTTTTGGGGGTAAAGTAAACTCAACATGATTCGCAGCCCTTGACAAGTCACACTTTTCAGGTTCTGGAACCCCAAGTGGTAGCCAAAAAGGAAACCACCACTGCTCAAATTGCTCACACACAGAAGTCAGCAGAATGACCCCAGAGCATGTCACGTGTTTCTCCTGCCCCCTCAACGTATTTTTTTCTAGGGGTAACTTCCCCATTCTTTCCAGGGATCCGAATCTTTCTAGAAAACCACCAAGCATTTTGGGGAAATGGATCTGGTTTTGAAAAGAAGGATGGCTGTAAAGAATGGGAAATCAACCCCTAGATAAATGGAACCCTCTGATGGGGTCCATGAAAATAAATGGGAGGGTATCTGGCTTTGGTTTGGCATATAGATGGACTCCCCTTAAACCAACCCTTGGTTTTGGCTCAAGGAAAAAGGCCTTGCGCTGCCTTGCATCCTGCGTCGCGTGCCTGATGGCCTTTTATCTTCACTTTTGCTTGATGTTTTCTTTGGTGCATTTTGCTTGGATGTTAGGACTTTAACTTTTGCCAACTAACGGGTTTTCCATTCAACCACCAAAAGTTGAACTTCTAGCAGGGGAGCAGAAAGCAACCGAGTTTTGGCGAGTTCAACTGACTCCCCCTAAGCCAACCCTTGGGTTCACTGGAGCGAGCCGCTGGCGGCAGGCCGCACGAGGATTGCAGGCCTCCGCTCAGGCGCGAGGACTCGGCCGGGCGAGGTCCAGGGCTCGGTTTCGATTTGGAGAACGTCACCTTTTGGGGCATGTAAAGTGAGCGTACGTTTTTTTGGGTTTGAAATAGATTCATAGGTTCCGCTGCTTTAGATGGTTTTTCATTTGCCATGGGCCATGTATTTTCCAAAAGTGACCTGAAAATGAGCTAGCTTTCGGGCTGAGGTTGAAAGGAGGATAACAAAAACACACCCTGTTGTCGTTTTGTGGACTTTTCGACTCACCCCTGAGCTCCTGCACTTCATACGTTGGGGAAGGCCATTTGGGTGGCAACAAAAACTTAAAAGTTTAAACGTTTTTGGCCAATCCACTTGCGAAGTGAGTTGAACAGAACTTCACGGTTTGAAACAAGATAAGCTCCCCAGGACGTCATACTTTTCGGGAAAAACATTTGACTGATGCACCACACGTACAGACTTGTGTTTGCCAGCCCGCTCAAGAAGTGAGTTTGCCAACTTGGATTGTTGCACAACGTGTTGCAGCCATGGTTGGCAATCATTGAGTGGCAACCCAATGCCTCTGTGAGTGATGGGTTTTCTCCAACTGCCAGGTTTGCCGAATCTAGAATCATGTCTTGCTCCTGGCTTGGAGCTTTGAGGCCAAGTTCAGGGGAGGGTACCTGGTCCTTTGCCCAGTTCAGTGGCACCTTTCAAATTCCCCATTTTGGTTTTGTGGGTTCCCGATTAAACAAAACATGACATCAACAAAAACATGACATCACCACCGAACCGGATTTTCCTTTCTTCCAACTGGATCGCTCGGGAACTAGGTGGTGAAGGTTAAGCCTTTTAGGCTCAGTTCAGTGACACCTAATGTTGTTTCCGGAGTTTCCTTTCTTTCCAGGTAGTTTGCCCAGATTGGCCTTCGTTTCCTTCCATCTGGGCGGGTGTTGAACGGCGACATCTCACAGGCTTTGGGACGCTCCGCTTGCGAGAATGTGAGGTCTATTTTCAAAACCCTGGAGGCTCCAGGGTTTCACGCTTGGAGCCACTCTAAACCAACATAACGCCTGGGCTTCTCCCGGAACCTTTCCCTCCCCAAGAGGCTCACTCCGCCCGCGTTTGCGAGGCGGTGCTGGCGAAGCGGCGGAACCGGCACAGCTGCTGGGAGCGGCTGCAGCATCTGCTCACGGGGCTTCAGAAGAAGTACGAGGCGCAGGAGCCACGACCTCGGAGTCAGACAGTCACCACTCGACTGGACTGGGTCCCTGGGTTTCTTGCTATCGACACCCTATTTTAGTTTAGGAAAAAACAAGAAACAGAACACAAAAAGCACAAGTCTAGTGTTTATCAATATGGAAATGAAAACAACAAAACACCCGCCCGGTGTTTATTAATAGGGGGGTGTCCATTTCTGGGTGACATGTGGTCAATATTTCTCACTTTGGGAGGAGAACCTCTATCAATAAACTGGTTGGTTGATCAATAGTGGCTCAGCAGTACTCGGATTCGATTCAAAACCAAGGGCTGAGGGAATCCGCTGCATGGCTGCCACTGCCTCATATCCAATGTCAGTGCGGGAAGCCGGCAAACTACTTCCTCGAAACCCAGCAAAGGTGTGTGCAGATAGAAGCCAGATTTTGAAAGTCGGTGAATCCCGTGAAAGTAGCGGCCTCCGACTCGGCGAGTTGGGCAGGGTCTTACTTCCCCGGTTTCTGGACGTGCACTCGGGCAGGCGAAGGGTTTCCTTCGTCTCGAAGGGTGGGTCCTGTTGCCGTTACGCCCTCCGGGTCAGAGTGATCTGACACGCAAGCGGTGCTGAGCTTCATTCCTTTGCAGACAACTTTTCGAATCGCACACCACAAAATAGACGTTTTAGAGACAGAAAGTGAGGGGTTGTGTGAACATGCGGGCTATGCCTGTGGCAGGATTTGCCCATGTTTGAGAAAGTTGGTGTAGGCCCATTCGGAACCATACAGGTTTCAATGCTGGCTTGTCTTGAACGCAAAATCGACCAAGGACTTATTACTCCTGGGTCAACATTCGGGAGCTGGAAGGGCTAGAAGACTCTCCACCTTTTGTTGCTTCCCCTTTGCCCAATGAGATTTCGGTCCAGTTGGTTATTAAAGGATATTCTGGATTCAGAGGGTTGCTGAACAGCCCACATTTTTGTAGAGGGTTCTTCTCGCGACACACGCGCAATGCAGGGCATTGAAGATTCACTTGCTTTTTGCGGCTGAAAGAGTCGGCTCTTTCGGACCCTTTGCTTATCCGACTCCCAAGTTGCCGTGACGGTTCCTTCGCCCAAGGCTGCTGTGCAAGCTCCACTCGCTTCTCGGCAAGGGACACATGCTCCCTGCAAGGATCACCACTTAGGGGATAGTAAGCCTTGCTTGTATGGTTCAAAGGATTTGGTTACAGGAAAATGTACTGGAAGTTGCCCCCGAGCACCCCAAACAAGCTGTTCGCTAAATGTTTGCCATCGCCAGGGGTTTCGCAAGTCCCTCACATTCGATTCCCCTCTTACTGCGAGCTGAGCGGTACACCGCCCTGCAGTTTGGAGCCCAAACGGTGTTGAGACCGTGGCTGTAAACCCAATGTAATGTTCACCTTAAAATTGAACTAGAAGGAATTCGCAGCCAGGAGAACACCCACCCTGATAAACACATGCGTGTTGTAGCTGCACAAGCGAAAGGTGCGCTTGTTGAAAAGGCTTCAGTGTGTTGAGTTCAGTTCAAAGATTCGTTCCGAGCATTGTTTCCCCATGCCATGCATTCCTGTCTTGGAGGCGTTTTCCTAGTCAAAGCGGACATATTCGTACTTCCCAGCCGTTTTCTTTTAGTAAGCCCACTTCCTGAGTTTCTGGACTTTAAACCTTTGGAAAACCATTTTGGAGGCAAACAACAAGTTTGGTTGTTTTCGACTCAGAGAAATCCTTGCGGAAGGCATCGACAAGTGCGCACCCATCCTCAAAGCCTTATGCGAGTGGCGCTGAAGGCGAGGGAATTGGTCGGGGCCTGACGAACCCGGCTTCACTCAACCCACGGACCATAAAGCCTCTGTGAATCAGTGACGTGCCAAAGCGGCATTTTGCCATGGACTGGGTTGGGTGACATCAACAGACCCTTCAATGGAAGTTATGGGTGGTACTTTTAGCGACGTCATCAAGTACTGAATGTGTTCAATCAGATAGTGTTTTGTTTCAAGACACCCCTTTTTTGGGGGTCGTTTTAAAGGGAACTCAACTGGAGGTTCCGCTAATTTGAGACAAGCTCATTTAGCAAACAGTCATTGCTTAAACTTTGTCTCCAAGTAGACTTCTGCCGCCATCCAATGCATTGCTCAAGACCTGTCTGAATGTTACTATGTTGTTGCACCACCCATGCTTGGTTCTCCAAGCAAATGTTCCGCATTTTGCCCGCAGAATTCCTTATGTTCCCCAAAGCGGCAAGGTCACAGGTTGCTTCACAGGAAATGGAGACGTAAGGCTTGAAGTGGAGTTGAGCCTGAGGGGCCCCAAAAAATGCAAACTGTTGTTTAAGCATGTCCAGAAACAGCACAATTGTTCACAGCCTGCGAATGGCGATTTTCCGTCAAACTTTCTAAAAAGTGCTCATGTACATGTTTCTGGACATGTATAAACATGTTTGCCAGGAATATCCCTAAGCATGCGAATCAACCTGACAACGGGTTCATGAAAGCGGACATGCGTTGCTTGTTCCGCAGCTTCTCCAAGACTTGAGGAGTAGAATAGGCAAAAGGCGGCAAAAACATGCTTGTCGTGGCCAATTACCTGAATGCTTCAAAGTGACCACCCATATTGGTATCACAGAATGAGTGCATGTCTGTTTGACAACGGAATTTGCTAGTTTTTGGGTCAACGCTTGAGAACATATTACTTCGCTGCCCTTGACTAAGTACTCGTCTTGCCAAAATTCATGCTTTCAAATTCTAGGTTGAGGGTGGAACGTCGATCAACTATGTTTCGAAACGTACGAGCCCATTGGTAAATCGACTTTTTGGCAAGCCTAAAGGTGATCACCTCCTGTTTTTGGCCGCAATGGAGTTCCGGATGATCCGGATGTCAAAAAAATACAAATCATTAGTGGGTCAGTTGAATAGTGCAAAAATGTTCGGCCTTTTCTACCAGGGTCACTGGGCAAGCCTTTGGGCATGTTGACGGTGGTTGGCCCAATCGGGATTGCAAAAGGCCTTGCTTTTTCATTAGATCCAAGTCCAAAGGTCCGGACCTGAGTTGCTGGACTTGATGCTTTTTGGGTCATCCGATTTTGGGTCATCCGTTTTTGAATGTGTTTTCTCCGCGTTAGTGGTAAACAATAAGTTTGGTTACCTTCTTTTGAGCCATCTCGATCGGAAGTGAGTCACACATTGGCATCGGCCCGTATCTTCCCTTGCGCATATACCTTACGCAGTGAGACGCTGGTTGCGAGGTTTTGTCTTAGGCACTCTGGTCTTGGCTTTACGGGGAAACCAAGGACAACCGTTTTAGGAGTTCCCTAAAAAAGGCACGCCCATGTATGCACCTGCTCATGTTGACACATTTGAGTCGTGCTGTCAAAAGCGGACGAGGTGAAGAAGGGTGTGGGATTGACGGATTTGCCCCTGTGCGAGCTTGCGGGGGGTCAAAGCTGGAGCTCCATCATGTTCCCTGATAGGGGTCCATCTGGTCAGTGGATCTTTGGGCTGGGGATTTGTTTTGCAGCGTTTTTTTCAGTGCTTGCAATGGCCACACCAAAACAATAGAAATCTGGTATTGGGTACGCTTGGTTTTTCCTGGTTTCCAGCTATTGTTCCACCCCGTGTCCTGCTTAAGTTCCCTACAATCCCCCTAAACATCACCCCACCCAAGTTTTCAAAAGGGAACTCACCGTAAATTGGCCCTAGCTGTTTTACCATGACTGAACATAACTTTCCTTGCACTACCAGTACTGTACCATGAGACTTGATTTAGTCTTGACCGTACCCACCCTCCCTCTCGAGTCAAATCCGTGGACCAGCATCTAAGAATTGGGCATGATGGAGTTTGATGCGCAGTGGCTCAAGCAAGCAGAGAAGCTAAAGGATAGTTCGTTGAGGCAGCGGAGAGCCATGTACTATTGCGTGGAAAACACCTTCATCACCATCAAGTCACACACTTCGTCAGCGGGTAGATCAGCTAGCCTTCCTGCTCAGCTGCGTGATAAGACTCCCGAACCTGATGAGGTTGAGATGCTGGAGGAGCGTGCCTCTGCTCTGCTATCAGATTTTGTGGAGGTGCGCAACGCCAATGCCAACGGATGCGCCGCCAAAGTGCAGGATTCCCTCCCTCTGCCTGTCTCCGTTCCCTCCCCCATGGCTCCTGAGAGGAACGACACGGACGATGTGCAGGTGGCCTCAGTGGGAAGTCTAGGGCATCCAGAGTTCTGTCGGAAACCATGCCTCCTCATGGTCAGGCAGTTTTGGTGCCCCAACGGCCACCATTGCGAGCTTTGCCATCATCCACACCATGATCGGTCTATGACGCTGGACAAGCGACAGCGCCTAGCCCTACGCAGCCTCAGTGAGCAAGAACAGTTGAACCATGTTCTTCCCCGTTTGAAGGCTCGGGCAAAACAGTTTCCGCGAGCTATTCGAGTTATCGATCTCATGGAGGAGCATTTGGCACGCTTAGAGGTTCCTGAGCCCTCCAGCTCCAGCACACTCATGCTCAAGGATCTGAGCCGGGCCACCCGTAAAATGAGCTTCAACCGCCTCATCGAGATGTGCCCTTGTAGCAAACTAGAACCTATTCAGTCAGCCATTCTGCAGTTGCCAGCCAGCTTCGGCGAGGCAAGTGCTGTCTGATCCGGATCCAGCACTTCTTTGGATTGCAGAATTAGCATGTGGGGTTCTTTAAGAAGGCATGCCTGGTTCTGCTTTGTAGCGTTGGCGAGTACTGACTGATCCGGATCCAGCATTTTTCCGGAATGGATAGTTAGCGTTGGCCATGTCAGGGGCATGCTTAATTTTTGCTATGTATCTTTGCAATAAGCACTCACTCTCAGAGAAGCGTTCAAAGGCTGATGCTTGTGTTGCCGGTCCCAGTGGACGCGAGCATCCAGCAAATTTGTCAACGCCTCCGCGCTTAGTCGTTTTTCCGGCGGCTCCTTTGGCAATCTAAGATGTTGCATTCCCAACCACCTGAGTGCCTGAATGAATTGTCGAAGAGAGCCGCCCTGTAACAGTAGCATCACGGTTCGCGCTCGTTTCCTCTGAGCTCGTCCATCCAATTTGCTTAAATGCTGAATGCTGAGCGTGTGCCCACGAGTTGGGCTCAAGTGTTTGTTCATGCTTGCCAACCGTCTCATCAGAAGCCCGCCAAATGTGAATGCGTGTTGCGCGTTTGCGGCTCGCCGTGCTTTGGCTTCTCTAAAGCGAAACTGGGCCACCAAGGAACAAGAAAGCCCATTTTGATTCAGATCTACAGAAAGGGAAAGGCCCCCCCAAGCGCTCACTCAAGTGCGTCTACGCAAGGAACGGGAACGGGCTCTTAGGCGAATCTCTCCATTTGCCTCATCTCTTGACTTCCGATGGAGGCTTGGGACCCCTCAGGCTGAGTTTCTTGCAGACAGGGTTCGTGGAACATGACGATATTCTGAATTACCTGACACTGCCAGAAACCGCTTGGACATGGGCAGCCCAAAAGTGAGCTCTTGAATTTGACCGAAGCTTTTTCTCCTTTGCCCCGGGGCCAAAGATGAGTCGTTTTCTCATTTTGGCGTGGTCTGGCTGCATTTAGACGATTTAGATGGAGCTGGATGCCCAAGTTTGCAACGTGGTTTCAACTATCCTGCGAGGTGGCCTATTCCTCATTTACATCTCAAATTCGGCTTGCAATCATCCATTGATCCACAACAGTTTGAATCTTTAGATGCTTGCAACCGTCCACGTAACCCGCCTTTGCGCGAACATCCGTCTTGAAACAAATGTTGGCATCCTTCTTCTCAGGTGCTTCCCGTGATTTGAGCATGACCTCAGGTTGGAACCCGTGATTAGTTTGGGGGGACCCATTCGGTTTTGGTCAACCTGGGTCCATGTCTTGACTGCTATTGGGTTGGATTTTTAGATTTTAACTTTTTGCAGAGGGGTCAACAGCAACCAAGATGTGACAGTGATCAGGTGGTCCGAAGCCTCAGGCGGTGCACTTGCGCAAGAAGGTGGCCCAGTTGCGAGAGCATCACGCTGCCACGCGCATACAGGCGGCTTGGTGGAGGGCGTGGGAGGGCGTGAGAGGGCAGGGAGGGCTGACTGGGGTCCATTTTCGCACCTCAAAAATGTGACCCGCTTGAATTGCGCTTCAAAAAAAATCCCCCAGCCCCCGCAACCAATTTATAGGGGACCCAGTCAGAGGGGCTGAAGGAGGCTGTGAGCTTTGGCGAACCCGGGCCAGAATCTGAAGCTGGGCCCCTTCTTAAATCCCCCACGGAACCACCCCCATGTTCCATGGTCCGTGAAGTTGATACAAATCCGCCCAGCGCCGCGAGTAAAACAAGCCCCTTCAACACCTATCCAAGGTACCCCCTGCCCCTCCGGCTTCTGTACCCTCGGGCCTTCGGAGATAAGCCCCGGCTTCTTTCCACAAGACCTAGAAGTAGATCTTTCTAGCCTTGCAAGCTTGGTGGTTCTCAGCAGGGAATGGGGGAATGCCCCCTACAAAGCATTCCTTGTGGTTTCCTTTCAGGGAATTCCTTGGGTTCCTTCCCAACACGAGCACCGGCCAGCAATCAGGGTCAACCCGTTTGCCTGTAGTGAGTAACAAGAATAGTGGAAAACACACAACAAACCAAGTCAGCATGGCCCCAGATTGTGGTGGACCCATTTTTTGTGAACATCTTCAATTGTGTGCAAAGTATACCTGTGGCTGGGTATGCTGCCTGATTCTTGCTGACCATAGCCCCGAAACTCTTGGGGGCTTCTGGGGGTTGCTCCCAGAATATTTGTGTACATACAAATACGTTGTGCTTAAGGTGGATAAAAAATGATGGAATCCTTTTTTTCTGGAAGTCTTGTTTATTTTCGAGTTTGATAAAACAAAATCGCTCAATCAGATGTCATTCCCCAGAAAGCGACTTAGGCCAGGGCACGCGGGGCCTTTCAGCGTTCGGAGTGCCGAGAGGACGGGCGAGTCGTGACCAGCCCGGGTCGACTGGCCACAAAACCAGGGGCACCTCTCCTAGTCTTACTGCCTCGCTCCTCTTGGCAGGTTTTTGTTTGGGCGGGGGTTCTTTCAGGGAAGCCAAAGGAAAACGACCATATCGGAGGGTACCCATTCCTTGATCGTCATTTGGCAACGGATCTTCGGTTTTCAGCTTTTTGGTGGAAACAAGTCGCATTGTCCATACCCACAAAAAGTTGTTGTTTTTTTGGCAGGAGTAACAGCAACCAGGTATTAACAAACTGGGGCCTAATCTGGGGTTCCCATGAAGTGCCCATTCGGAACAGGACTCCCAAAATGCTGGATTTTCGTTCGGGATTCTCTTGGGCGCCACCCCAAAAAGGGTACCCTCAACAAAGCAGCACGTCGGTCAATGTTTGTTACCGTCTAACATTTTGGCCCTTAAGAATAAAATGATGGTAGAAAAGATGAAAATCAGGGGAATCAACCAGAGGCTGTTCAAACTTAATATGCATTTGTATGCAGGGTTCCCTGTTGGAGGATGCTTTGCAGGGAAACTCACTTCCTCGCAAGTGAGAAGCTGTTCAGCTTGCCGAATGCTAACTGTTCTGATTGAAGCTGGGTAAAATGGGTCCCTTTTTCCCGTCCCTAGGGGTTTGGCAGATTCACCCTTGGTGAACCATCTGGCTTGTTTCACCCGATTTCACCGCAGCATCTTGGCGCCCTTTTCGGAGTGAACTCTGCGGGTTGGAACAGAAGAGGAGGTGCCCCCTTAGACCAGCTTCACTTGGAATGCTGTCAAGTTATTGGTGCTCTTGTGGTTCTGGGCAGGTTTCAGGGAGCTAAAATGGATAGTGAATTGGAAAAGACATTCATTTGACGTTTAGTGTGTTTTGGTACTCTTGCCTGCCGGTCATGTTGGTTGCATCATCCCAGGCAAATGGCAGAAACAGCTGAAACTTTTCCTCAATGGACCCTTAGAAGGTGCATCCTCCTGAGGAAACCCGTCTTCGGCCAACAGAGGACTTATCCTGATCGGATTGAATCACCACATTTAGTTTTCGTCGGGGCCCAGCCAAAAACCAACTCAGAATGCTTGATGGTCGACCGCTCCAGGCGGTCAAGGACTGTTGTCAACCACGATCCCACCAAAAATGGTTGTGTTCTGTTTCATGTTTTTCCCTTCAAACGCAACCAGCAGTCGAGTTCTCCCCCGGCCCCAAAGGAAAGACATGCAACCCCCGCGCTTGCGTTATCTCATGTCTTGCTGAGCAGCCTCGCGACTGGGCCAAGCTTCTGGCGCGCCTCAAACTGGGCCGCCGCTCCATGACAGAGCACCGGTTTGAAGGGACCTCTGGCGGCAGTTGGACCGGCGCTTGCCGGAATTTGACTGGTTGCCGAGGGACATTTGCCGGAAAAGTGGACCAGAATCTAGGGGATCAATGTGGTTCTCCCCGTCTTTGACCGACCGCGTGGAGATCCTCTTGGAGAAGCGAGGTACTGAACTGTCCTGGACAAGCACACTCTCGCTGCGGCCGAACTAAAATGGGATCTAATACTGCCACTGCCACCCCCTGCCCAAAGGTCCAGGATGTTTTTCAGATATATTTTTTTGGGAGCTATGGATCTTGCATAACTCTAATCTGGGTGGTACGCACTGCCTTACACAACTTGTCTTGATGGCGTGTATATATATATATATAGATAGATACACATATATAGAGAGAGTTTGGTGGGAGGAGTCCCCAGATTTCCCTGTCTAGGTTGTTGAAGCGTCACCTTTTGGCTCCAACTTTCATAGACGTTTTTCTTGGCGGGAAATGTTTGAAAGAAAGACGACACATGCGCGAGGGTCACAGCACTCCTTCATCAACCCCTTGAACAGGGAATGCGGATTTCCACTTCCCCAAACTTGCTGGTGCTCAGCAGGGAATGAGAAATGGAATTCCCCTATAAACCATCCATCTGGTGGTTTCCTTTACGGAAATCCTCAGGGTAATGTGGGTGCAAGGAACACATCGTATGGCGAGGGTTTGGTAGAGGGGTTTCCCGGGGGCTGATCGCCAAATCTTTTCCACGGGATCCACCTCCAGAGTTTCGACAGCGGCCAATCACCCGCCGACTGGTAACAAAAGTTAAGGTTTTCTTTTCCCTCGAAGCAGACAAGCCCATATCCACCGGTCATGCCTACCCCCAACTCCAAATGGCAGTTTCTCGAAATGGAGGTCGGACCCCTTTTGGTTGGTATTTTTGTTGGAACACCAGGAGCACACCCTACCGTTTTTTCTTGACTACTATTGGGTTGGATCTTTAGACTTTAACTTGTTGGTTGAAATCAAGTGGGATTTCCATTAAACAAACGAAAGTTTAAAACTTTTGCAGGGGGGTTAACAACAACCAAGTTTTCTCAACCTGGTTTTCGGACCCCATTTGGTTGGTATTTTTTGGTTGGAACACCAGGACACCCCTTGCCGTTTCTTCGGCGGAGCGGATCGACTCCGATTTCGGCTTGAAACGCTGCGCAGGTTCAGCAGCGCTGGGCGCGGCAGATCATTTTCAACGCGCCTCGGCCGTTCAAATTCTCAGACGCCGATGGGGGGCGTCTCAAAAGAGTCTAGGGTACCTTCCAAATCCATTCTTTTCAGGGGTCCTTCTTTTCGGGAAACCATCAAAAACTCAGGGGAAACAGCTGATTTTTGAAGAAAAACAAAAACGATGGTTGAAAGGAATGAGGAACCAACCCCTAGAAAGATTGGGCCACTAAAGTGGCAATGGCTTCGTTTTGCCCCCCCCCCCCCCCGTTGAATACCAACCAAAAGCCGCCAGATATGAAATGCCAGCCAATTTCTTGCTTTCTGACATGCAATAACCAACAGCTCCCTAGAGTAAACAGCGTGTAAGTTGTGTCCTTCGGCTTCCCTTCAGGGATCAAGCTTTCATCTACCTTTGGGCAAAGTACTTCAATGGTGGCTACCAAGCGTTTAAACATGAGGCTTGAGAACCGAAGATGCGAAAACAAGCCGGGGCATGAATTTGGGCAACTAAGATTCCAGGAAACAAGAGCCCACCCATGGAGGTCCCTTGGGGATTGCTGGCTTGTGACTTCATGTACCTGGCTCTTCCTCGGCCATGGCGCTTACCTGCTTGGTGCATCGAGTTGGCTCACCGGGCTGCCATTCAAATCAGGGCATGCCACGCCCGGAACTTTCCCTCCAGCACTCCTGGAGCAGGTGATTTTATATAATGCGTTATACGTATGTTGTGGGGTGGGGTGTGTGTGTGTGTATACGAGTGGAAACACATATGCAAACACATTCTGTATGGTAATCTATGAGTACACATCCGCAGGGGCACGCGGTCGGGCCTGGAATACTCCCCCGATGGCTCACTTAAAGCCTACATCTGAGGTCTGCAGAAGATACGCCGTCCAAGTGGACCTAGCTCGTTGGCGGCAATGGGGATCCGGCAAGACAGTGGCCCAACAGTTGGTTAAACGCCCTGAGGCCAGCATATGCAATGTCGAGTTTGTTTTTGCTTTTTTTCTCGGGTGGGTCTTGGACCTTCTGGGGTAACAAAAAAACAGCCCAAAGCGGTGCCACTGAGCTGACACGGCCACGCACCGATTCCACTGATTCCCTGCAAGCAGTTGTCTATCGGTAAGTAACATGGGTGTGGGTCAAAAATCGGTACCAAAATGGAACCTGGTAAATAGAAGCATGGACTAAAACCTGCGGTCCCCTGGTGGTTTAATCTTGACCCACACCCACATGTTGCTTTGCCATTTGAAACAAGTATATGATGTGAGTCAAATCTCACCTTGTGCCGCAGGTCCGCTCGTTTGGCTGAGGTGTCCCAATTGCAGCAGCAGTCCCTCACCGAAGCCCTGGAGATTTGGGAGTCCGTGCTGAAGACCTACAAGCGCCCCATCCTAAAGGGACTTTACGTGTCAGACTCGGGCGGGGGGGGGGGGGGGGCAAAATGGGTGAGTGTTGCCTCTGGCTCTCCTCTGAACCAAGGTTTAAAAAAGGGCACACTCAGAAAGCTACAAGCCCACTTCACTGTTCTTGGTTCATGGGGTTTTGTTTGGAACGCCTTCCTGGCGTTCATTTGTTTGCAGGGGTCTGCAAAGAGCAAGTGGCTTGCTTCAACCAGAACCCTGAAACCAAGAAGTGCGACCTGCGTCGCCAAGAGGGCCCTATCTGTGAGGGGGACCTCTTGTATGGCCTCACGGCCAAAACAAATCGACCTCGCAAGCTTCTGAATTTGTACTGTGACCAACGTTCAGTGCACTGTCGTCGGTGGCTTGTTTAAAGATTGTTCATGCGCTGCTCCTGTTTGCGGCAAGTGAATGTGAGTTGGAAGCCTAAATTTATCATGTTCTAGTGACCTGTAACTTGCAGGTTCTCAGCAGGGAATGACCCAGTTGGGTTTGACACACACACACACACACCACATTTCAAAAGATAGCCACAGCAGAAGAGGTGATTCGCCACGGGATGGTTTGTCAGTGGGAAGACCATTTTAGTGGTAAGCAAAAAGTTTGGACTTTCTCTGGCCAATAAACTCAGGAAGTGAGTATTTGTGAACTATGTCTTTATTCCAGCACCGGAAGCCCAAATGGAAGAGAATGGGTGGGAACACTGGCCGGCCCCGGTAGCGCCCGCCTGAGGGAGCGTTCGCAGTTCGCGCCCGACCTGCTTCTCGGCTTTCAACAAAAGGACATGACTATGTGATTCGAGTCACTGGCAATATATGATTAAAAGTCTTCTCTTGTTGGTCGAAAAAATGAGGTTGCGGTTACATGGGCTGGCTGGATGTTCTGTAATTTTTTGAAAGATGATCAAACAGTGGGACCCATTTGAATTGAGGAATTAGTGGCCAACTTTTGGTCCAAGTACTTCGCTCTGGGATGGTCATTGGGAATTCTCAAGGGGAATTAGTACCCCCTCGCCCCCCACCCCCCCGCCCCCAAACAAACAAAAAACAATGCAATGAAATTGTGGGGGCCTCATGTCATTTGGGGCGGCCTCGCTTCTATCCCCGCAAAGCTTGTCAACCACAAAAGTGTACTGCGCAATCTTCGGAAAGATGAGGCTGGAGCTACGAGCCCCAAAGATCCTTTCCCCTTTCAAATCGACCTTTGGCTCTGATTTCCAGTGCCCCTTTTGCTTCCGTCAAGGAAGTTCCGACCCACTGTAACTCCTTCCCAAACGGGTTCACGCCACCAAGTAAGAGGTTTGCCCATGCAAAAACCCACAATTCACCAGGGTTCCTCATGTTTCATCCATCTCAACTGCTGCGAAATGGAGTTTGTTCAGCAGGGTTTCGGTTGCATCGCGGGGATGGCGCTTTTTCCCCAGCCAAGCCCTCTGTGTTATCCCGTGTTTTTGGGACCATTGGAGTCCTAGGGTTTACAAGCATTTAATGCTTAAGAGTATATCCTTTTTCTCAGTTGGTAGTTCGTTTTAAAGGGAATCGATTTCACTACTGCGACCGGGCTTTTTTTTTCCGGGGCTTCAAGTCTGGGAAGTTCGTGTTCCGTCGCACATGGTACCGGATACATCGCCGGTGGGGAGATCGCAGACGGCAAAATCGCATCGGAGGCTCTACAACCGTGCCAGTCTGAAGATCGCCTGCATGTGGCGCGGGGTCAAAGGTCGGCAGCAGATGCGGCGACTCAGGCGCTTGAGTCATTGAGCGCGCGAGCGGCGGGGAGCCTATGATGAAGGAATCGGACCTCGTGTTGGACGGTCAACCAAAGGGAACCCCCCTACCTGGAGCTGTCCAAAATTTTTGAGAAGCACCAATAAGGAGCCTAAATGAACGAAATGAATGGGGTTTGGGGGTGCACTCAAACCAGTTTTAGTCATCATCATACGGAAAAAGAATCAGTATTGTGGTAGCCCCGTATGCTAATTCCTTTGCGGGCACAGCGAGATTGCGGGCAAGGAGGGTGGGGCCCTGTCCCGGTTGCTCATGCTTTCCTTTGTGTTTCTTTGTTTTGTTAGGCTTCCATGTCTGTTTGGTGGCTGCTCAGGGTTTTTGTTTGGCTTGGTGGGTTCCCCGCTAAAATGGCCACTTTGTTTGACCGGTGTCCTCTTGTTTCCGATTGTGTTGCATGGCTTTCCTGGCGTTTCCCCTTCTTTTCCCTCGTGTTTGCCCTTGGGTGCTTCATGATACCGAGCTTTGCTTTGCAAACAATTTCTAGTTAACGACCCTCTGGGAGCAGACGGTGGGCCGACACACTCCGGTTCTTGACATTTTGACATTCCCTTATCTATGGCGGTGTTTTGCACGTTGTTGCCATATGGATGTCTCTGTTTGTTTCTGGACATCCCCAATCGCCAGGTCAGCATTGTTTCTGGACGTTCCTTCTGCTCTGTTCGGTTCTCCCTGGTTGTGTGTGGCTTGCCCCCTGGCTTTCGCCTCTCGCGCCAGGCTGGAGAGGTCGTCCCAGACGGCCTGCGACCAGCTCAGGCGGGTAGACGCACGTTGCCTCTTGCGGGTACGCCGAGGGGAGAGAGCAACAATGGCCGAAGGCTTCTCTTTTCTTGACATGTTTTTTAGTTTTGTTTGTTTTGTGTTTTTTTTTTGGGGGGGGGTTAGTTGTCTAGTTTAAATTGTTTAGTGGTTGAGTGATTTAGTTTTGGGGGGTCGGTTCATTTTTAGCAGGGGGGCTGCAAAGAACAACGTGCCAAGGATTGGTGTGAAGGCTTGCTGGGGCTTTCTGATCAGGAACCCTCTTAGACTTGGTGTCATATAGGCCCAGTTCCAGACTGATGCTATGTAGCCTTCAGGTTTAGCTTTTACTCCTCCGGGTCCTTTGAAAAAGTGAAAGGGAACTGAACCCAGGGTAAAAACCCTTGACGATGAACTATTTGTTTTTGCCCTTTTGCCGAGACCCTCACTGGAACAGGCTCAGCTTTTCGCTCAGGTGGGATTCGGAAGTCCCTTGAAGTTCCTAGATCCTCGAAAGGTGTTCACCTGCTATTTCCAGGTCTCAAGAGGCCACATGGGTCGTTCCACGCTTCTTTCCCAGGGAGCTGGCCTTGTTTTCCCACGTGTTCCTCCGAAAGTGCTGAGGTGTCAAAGCGTTTCACGTCCAGGCCTCCAAACCACCGATGCAAACCATATAGAGGGAATCTGAATACATGGGTGCGCCTTTTTCAGGGCACCCGTTTTGAGGGCTTAAAGGGAAGAATTGAGGACACCAACGCCAATAAAAGTCCTTTTATTGTAAACCCAAACCAAGGGAAATCAAGGGCTCCAACCAATCCGGGTCATGGAGACTCCACGTCCCTTAAATGGTTGCCTGGACCCCTAGAATACCCTTACACATTTGTTATTGCCGGGATTTGGGTGGGTATTTTGTGGGAAGAGTTCTCGAGGGTCCCTTTATTGTGAGACAAACACACAGCAAGGGGAAAAAAACGCGGCCCAAACCCAAAATCCCAAAGAAGCTGAGAAGAACTTCTCTCGGCAGGAGTTTCCTCCGGGTCTACGCGGCCCGGGAGCTGCTGATGGCGCGCGGGGCCGAGGTGCTCCGCGCGGACAACAGGCGCAGCCGCACACCGCTTGTCGCTCGCAGAGGGTGGACGTTGGAGGCAGGTGTTTTTCTATGTGGCTGTGGGTCAAAACCTATGGGATCCCATTTTGGGGTAGGTGCACCACCCATTTTAGAAACTATTTTAGTGGGGATTGGGATGCTCACTGAGGGTGCGGGATTTCAACCCATGGCCATGTGTTGCAAGACCTTGAAACAGAATTGGCTCAGCTCAAGATTCTCCATGCGAAGTCAAGGCTTCATTTGGGAGCCCTTCAATCTGGGTGTTTTGAACCTTTGTTTTGCTGAAATGAACATGTTCTATTGTCCAACCTGTTGGTTTTAAAGGGAATCGAGTTCACTGTTGGAAGTATTTTCTCATTTTGCCAGGGGGTTTAGGCAAATGGAGCTTCCTTTTGGGGTGACAGTCCTGGGGTCACTAAAGGGGAAATGTAGAGAACACTTGGGGCCCAAGAATCGAAGACACTGGGCTCTCCAAAGGAGACTCCCAGAAGTTGACCTGGTGGATGAGTATGTGACATAAAATCCCTGGATTAAGACACTATTCCTTTAAAACAATACGTAAGGTCAGAAGACCCCTTCACTTGACAGGGGTCGATTTTCCGCAGTTCAGCGGGTCATATCCTTTTCATTTGCGAAAGATTGAGCTTGTACCAGGGTTACTCAGCAACTGGGTCCTCTTAAACGATATAACGTTGAATCCCCACCCTTTCGTCCAATTGAAAGAGAGCCTCGCTGTTGCATGATCAAGTTTGACATGTACCAGTGCGTTTTGTTGTAGGCTTTGTTGCCCTCACTGGTGGCAGGGTTGGGTGTTCCGGGCTTGGAGCTGGGCCCTACTTGCTGGTGCGATAGGGAATGAGGGAATGAACGCAGGGGTCCCCTCAAAGGCCTGAAAGGAAACAGAAGGGATGGTTTATACGTATTTATAAGGGTCATTCTATTTCGTATTCACTGCCGAACACCAGCAAGATTGAGGTGGAACCTGACGTTCGGGACCCGGTCCCTCTAAAGGGACAATGAGCTTCCAGGACCCCCTGAGGGGTGAAAGGCTAAATATGCCCAAAGCTTGTCCAATTGTCCAATTGAGAGCCTGGTAAAGGGATTGCTCCAAGAAGTCGTACCCGGCTTGGGTGTACCCAAGTACTTGCAGGCTAAGCCGACTTGCTTCAGGACAGAGGGTAGGAACTGTATCCTCACATGGGTTGTGGGAAGCAGCCTGATTCCGCCCTCACAGGGAATATTTTGTCTTTTTGGCTGCACTTCACGACCCGGCGTTCTTGGCTTGGCCTGATGCTTTCTGGCAATGTTTTTCCCCTTGCCTTTCGTTGTGTAATTCAGTGTTGGCTTGATTGATGCACTTGTCCTGCTGGTCTGTGCTTATTCCATACTTCCCGGCTTTCCCGATGCGATACATGTGTTGTCTCACGTCATGTGTGTGTGTGTGTGTGTGTGTGTGTGCGTGTGTTGCTGGCAATTTAAGTCTCTTAAGTGCTTACTGTGCGCTGTGTTACTTTCTTGCGTGCTCTGTGATACAGGATGAACAAACCCCTGGTTAATTTGGCTGCCCCACTCAAGAGGAAAATTGTCTCGCTAGACAAAACGGGACTTGCGCCCTCCAAACTTCCAATCAACTCACTTGCCCCAAGCGAATCCACCTTTTGAACCTTTTGGTTTCCCCCATCTGGGCAGCCATCTTAACTTACACCCCCCACAAGGTGGTCACCTGTTGGTTTTGGCAAGCAGTTGTAGTCATGGCCGCTTGAGGGTGATCACCTAGTTGCTTGGGTTGCAAACTTGGGAGCCGGCAGGCAGCTTCTGTGCAGCGTGCTGCGCACTTTGAAGCTGCGCATGGCCACCAGCCACCATGCCGCTCGGCGCCGTCACGGGATCCGTGGGAGAATTGGATAGGACTTTAAGCCAGGGGCTTCCATGGTTGTTGTTGAGAAACATTTTACATTTTTGCTTGTTATCCCCACTAAACTGCTACAAAAATATGTTTGCTCCCCTTCCAAAGCCAACCAAGCTTTGCTACCCTGTCCAATAGCCATGGAACCCACTGGAGACATGGAGTCTGAATCCTACCCATGCCTTCTCCTGGCAAGAATCCAACTGTCCACTTCAATTTGCTGAACAGAAGATGTGTTATTTTCCCTGTTGATTTTAAAGGGAACCCGTCACTACTGGAAGTTTATATCTTTTTTTCCTCCAGGGGGCGGAAAACGCAGATGGAGGTTGCACGAGGCTTTGTGCTTATCATTCGTGAGCGATCACCCCAAGACCATCTACTTAAAAGCAAATCCATGTGCATTGGGCAACACATATGGTGATGGCACTCGAGGACATGACGAGCTGACCCAATGAAGGTCTTTGACTTGGGACCAACTGACTTCCAGCTTGGAATTCTACCCTACCACTGATTTGGCACCTTTGAGAGGGCACCTAAAAAATTTTTTTCCCCTTTTAAGGGACCTGTCAGCTGCCATGTGAGTGGACGCAGCTTGCGAAGCAAGACGCAGAAGCGCTTGGAAGCGTTTTTTTGTTCCCGAGGTGGCAGAGGAGAGGAAGAAGGCTGCGATGGAGGCGGGGAAGTCGAATATTTTCTTCTGGTGGCCCAAGCTCGTTTGCCGTGTTTTCGTTCCATGGCGAGCTTGGGGGATAAACGAGCTCGCCAGGATGCTGGGTTTTGACGTCAGGTTTTGGAATATGGGTAAAGATAGCAGCAACTGGTCCGAAATCCGCAAGAACAAGTTGTTCCCCAGAAATCATGCAAACTGCAGTCGACTTCCATACTCAATACATAGCGACACAACAAATAGACCCCCTGAACAAACGAGCCGCCCCAAACTATGCAGTTCCAGCAAACGAGCCATGAAATGAGTCGAGGCACTAGTCCCTTTCACCTGCCCAAAGCAAATCGACCTGTTTAAAGCCTTTGGCTTTGCTTTCTTCTTGGCCTTTGAGTGGCCCCAAGGTGGTCGATGGTGGTCGCCACGTGTTCATGGTTGGTCCGCGGTTCCTGGTTGCAAGTGAGCCTCACTTCCCAGGTGCAGGTACTGTGGATGTTATGTAGATCTTTGGTTTGTCTTGACTGTTTGGCAAGTTTTGTTCGATTGTTTGGTTCTGATCATTTTTAATAGGGGGCTGCCAACAGTAAAGTTGCCCCAACCATACCGAGGGTTGTGAAGGCCCCACATTTTGTGTGACTGACTGGCCGGCGGTTTTTGCAGTGAGTCATAGTGAGTCCAGCACTCCATGACCCACCTTAGGTGTAGGCAGGTTCCACTTTTTTGCGGTAAACCAGTAATCTCCCACTGGTTCGGCCAATTGGAAAGGACCAACAGAGGAGAACACGTGGAACCTACAAACGTGGCCAACTAAGCAAGGGACTGTGCGCCCCAAAGGGGAGGAGAACCTGATTATTAAGCCTTGTTAAGGACAGATCAAGCGAATCCAAAAAGCTCGGCCGAAAGAAACCTCGACCGGAACAGCGTTGCGGGGGATGGGACCATTGGAATCTCGTGTTTGATAGTTTGTTTTGGGGAGAGTTGTGCAGTGCATCCATGCAGAGTTACATCCAACAATCTTATGAATTGAGGGAAGCCCAGATGCCAAGAGGTGGCTTTGGTGGCTGACTATTTGCCCTTGGGCAGGTCTGAGTTGGTACTGTCTTGAGGTGTAAAGGCAGGCCAAAGAAGGAAGCACAGTTTGAAGGGGCCATTTCGAGACAACCGGTGGCCTCATTCCCTCCATTTGATTGGGCAGCAAGGCTTGTCCTCAAACCGAGAGGGTCAAAACCAAGTAGGACATTGGCAGAACAGGTCCTTTTCTTTTCCCAACCAGGTGAACAAACACGTGGGTTGTTTGGAGCACTCCGTTTGGAACAGGGTGAAACTCGAAACGGCCTTGTTATTGCTTTTCCTTTGTTGGTTCTGTTCATGCGTAGGGCCTGCAAGAGACGAAGTTGTCTGCTGCTACACCAGGGAAGCTATCTCTAGTTCAACTTTGGTGCCTTCCTGTTATATGAAATAACGATTTGTAAATCGGCGTGCTTCTGCACGTCTTGCTCAAATTCAGAATAGTGAGAACTTACCCGTATAGCCTAATTCTTTTTTGGCGGCCAAGGGCTGCCTCAACTCCAATAGGGCCATTCAGGCCCAAGGCCTGGCCTATCACCTCAGTCGTCCCGTGCGAATCGACCATTCAAAACCTGCCCATGTTTAGTTATGCTAGGCCTAACAAATATGATTATTGCATGTATGTCCAGTTTCTTTCGGCGGGTAGCCTTGGAAATCATGGAAGTGGGGGCCTTGAAAAGGGTATTCAAATCCTCACTTTCTTTCTCACTCCCTGAGTTCCTGGAATTTAAGGTTTTTTTGGGAAGGCCAGTTTGGTGGTAAACAAAGAGTTTAGACTTTGGCCAATTTGTTCGAGTGAGCTTTCCAAGAATGGAAGCAGAGTGTACGACTAGACTCTTTCGACTTCCATGGACGCATGGGGGTTGATCAGCATTCCTGGCCCCAAGATGAGCATGGGACACCTTTCCCATTGAGGGGTGAAAGTCAGGTCTTGTATGTCTTGTTTGGGGGTTTGTCACCCCGTGACCGGAGTTTTTGATCAACCCCCATTCGAATCCGCAATCCGCAGGTGCTCTCCCGGCACGTCAAGGGCATGTACCTGCGCTCGGGCCGGGTTTTCGACTGGGAGGCCGGGCCCGAAGATAAAACTTAGGACATCAAATTGAGCAGCCATGTCCACCATCCGCGTTTGAGGGAGTCCCCTATTAGAATTACATAGCCAAACAATGCTGGCAGAACAAGTTGCTATCTTGTATTTCGGCACTTTCCTAGAATGAAAACGGCAGAAATTATTTGAAACCTAGACTGAAAGTTGCAGGAGCAACAAGAAACACGCCGTTCGACGGATGGTTTGGCCAGGCTTATGCCAAGCGAACTGGTCGGCGCATCACAGATGAGATCCGGACCAAGATCCTGTGACTTGGTTCCATTCGTGGTGTGCGCTTTCCAGGGGTCCCTATATTTCCAATTTTGGTAGTTATTAAACATCACCATTTGGCCCGTTGAAGGTGAGTTTCCCTTGGCAGGGGTGATGTTTTGAGGGGAAATATAGGGAGCCCTTGCGATGGGTATGGCTGCCTGGCTTCTGGCGTGCACACCCAGCTTACCATGATGTAGGTCCTTTACCTGGAGATCCCTTCATATAGGATGTATGGCTCGAACCGTCGCCCTGATCGGAGTTTTTTTTTTTTGGAAGGTTCCCAGGCTCTCCGTGAAAACAGTTGGCACAAACCCTTTGAAGACTGTTTTCCAGTTGGTGTGGTTTGTTGAATTTTGCCAGACGCCGACATGAAGCTCTGGCAATTCAATTCGTTGTTATCGTGGCACCCTGAAAATCCCTCGGTTTTTGATGCTAGGGTCACAGGGCGACTGGGTTGTTGGTTGCAAGTTGTATAGTAGTTGTACATAGGTGAATGCTGGCTGCTGGTTTGCCAGTGGTTTGGAGGCGTACAACTGGTTCTTGGTTGCAGTTTGCCTCGCACCATGAGTTCATAGACGTTCTGAGTCCCTGGACTTCATACTTTTTGGGAGACAATTTATTAGCAGCAAATCCACTCACTCAAGGAGTGAGTTGTTGTGCCCTCGGGCAAAGCAATTCACCGAACCGATCGTAGCCAAGGAGCGACAGGGAAGAGGTGCGCCGTGTTTTCTCAGTCGAATTCAGGTAGATAGCCATTCCTTCAGACGCTGGAAACGCCATTTGCCCAAGGTGTTCCTTTTCGGGGCAAGCGAGTGTTGGGTTCCAGCTTGGCCCATGTTCAAAGAGGTGAGCCTGTATTCACGTGAAAATGCTTACCCAAGACTCGAAGCTAAGGAACACTAGGCCAATTGAACCCATTTGGGGGTTGATCAAAAGGCACTTTAAATGGGATAACCGCGAAAAAAGATATCCCTCTAAATCGGGAAGAGTTACAAATAGGGGTCGAGCGGAATCTTGATCAACCCCCATTTATGTGTTGCCTTTCTTCTCCCAGGAGCCTCCTTTTGGAGCAAACTTTTGGTGGGGAAGGCTCAGCTTCCCCAGGCAGCCTCGCCGTTTCTGCAGACGGGTACTAAAAATCAAGGAGTGTCGCTTGTGTTCCCTTTGACTTGCCCAGCCGGCAAATGAGGGAATGATCTTTGTAAACCATCCCTTGTGGTTTCCTTTGGAATCCCCGATCACCAGTAGGATGAGAGGGAAGCTGAGGCCTTCCTTGTGGCATGGCCTTCGGCTGGTGTGAATTCATGAACATGCTGATGTGCAGCACATACCCCACCACAAGCAGTGGAGGGAGACCAAGGTTGGGGTTTCCTTTGTTTTCCCTTTAAAGCAACGAGCTTCTTCACTTTCAGGCGGCCTGGGTCCAGCACGTGCGCAAGCACACCCGGCGCGTACATCTGGCTTCTCGGCGAGTCGGAGGGACGGGGCTGAGCGTCTCCGGCGCAAGGCCGCTTTGTATAGGATGTTTATCCCACCAATACTCACTCCCCGAGTTCATGGACTTCAAAAACTGCTCGGGAAAACAATTTTAGTGGTAAATTCAAAGTTCGGACTGTTTTTGGCCAGTCCACTCAGGAAGTGAGGATCCCTTGGGGGTAGTTGATTGGGAGTAGACGCCCATCAAGGTTTGAAACAGTAGAGATATTGGGCCCTCCATTTCTCCGAGGTTCCGAGAACCCTTGGCAGGTCCCCTTAGGCTCTAGGAACGTGAGGGGTTACGAACTGGGTTAGCCGTCCTAGTTGCAACTGGGGGTTCATTCGGAGATACTAACCACAAAAAGACCATCTCAATACGGCCCTTACTCCCCCCGAGTTCGTGGACCTCATGCTTGTTGGGAAGACCATGTTGGTAAATCCAAAATTCAGGCTGTTTTGGGCCACTCCACTCAGGAAGACCAGGCCTCAGAGTAGATTTTGGCGCGCTTGCGGGATGGTTTCTGCTCTGTGTACCCAAAATCTGCAGCGACCGATGCGGGCCAAGCAATCCCTTGCTTGGGACCCTAAACTTGAGAAACTCTTCATTTGTGGTTATCTCTCCTCAAAGGGTGTCAGGGACCAAAACTTGATTGGCGATGTTTGGTCATGCACCTGTGTTGTTTTTGTATGAGCCATGGAAAAGGCAGCCAAATGGCGATGAAAGAAAGATAGTTTATTTCCAGGGCCGCTGTTGTGATTGCTGCTTTGGTTTTTGCTTCGTCAAGGTCTAGGGACCCCAGGACGACTTCCCGGTACCTTTGGTGGCGGAACAAAAACTGCTTACTTGGGGTCGACGCACTTCAGTGACGGACTTTAGATATTCAGCCATCAAGAGTGTGATGGCACATGAACCGCAAATGGCCCGTTTCTTCCTAACGGGGGAGTACGGGGCTATACTTGACACGCATGTGTGCACAGGGATTTTTATAATTTGCTTTCTGACAGCGAAGGTTGAAATGAATGATCCCGCTGGCCAAGCCGTGAGGCGAGAAGACGCGCAATCCCAAGTCCAACCGCTTCAAGCCTCCCTTTGGCACTCCTTGACAGGGCCTAGGGTCTGGCAAATGCCTAGGCAGACGGCCCAGACCGCGGAGACTGTGGTTTTCTAATTATTGACCAACCCTGGGGTTCCAGGTCGATTTTGTGTGTCTCCTTTGTTTTCTCTTCTTGTTCTACTACTACACTCCTACTACTATTCCTACTCCTACTCCGACTCCTTACTACAAATTACTCATACTCCTGACTACTACTCCTACTCCTACTGCTTCTACTTCTGCTACTACTTCTTCTTTGGGGATGTTGTTGGGTGGTGGTCTCTGCAGAGGCTTGCCTGGGCGCTTTGGGGGATTTTCACCGGAGCCTTCCGGCGCCGAGGAACTGCAAGACGAGCGGCAACAGGTCAGATCGGCCGGGGGTATGGCTTCCCATCCTGTTTTGTTCCTGCTAGGACCTCCAACCTTCCTCCAGCTACAGTACTCCCACATGCGGGGTCCAACTTTGGGATTTTTTGGGAAAGACAACGGCATACGATTTGAAGTGACTGGCCTACAAATTGTGTTGTAAAGCCGTATGTTCTATGTTGACACCGTGTGGCCCATTGAAGGCTTGCCCAGCTTCGATGCTGTGTTCAGATGTTGCTTTTTGTCTTGAAGGGGGCTAGATTCCCCGCGCCTTGAGATCCAAGACCAGGGCCCCGTTGTTTTGATGCTTGTTTTGGGGTGGTGTTTCAACACAGTACTCTCCCACCAATAAACATGGACCCTGAGGTTCGGCGGGGTCCTGGAAGACCGTTTTCCTTTTAAAGGGACCCTGTGTCAGGTTGCATGTTAATTGGTGGGAGAGGGTGGCCTCAACGTCCAGCTCCTTCCTCTTGGCTGCCCCTTATTACAGTGGCTAGAACGGGGCCCTCAACTTCAAGACAGCCTCGAGTCGAAGCTGCAGGCTTAGCAAACAAGTCACACCAAGGGAGCCAACCCATCCCATGTCAGGGGGTGATGGACGAATAGCCAGCTCACCTGTTGAGAAGTTGGGAGGGTGCAGGTTTGCTCTCTGTTTTTCAGTCCTGGTTGTTTTGCTGCTTCTTGTCACTTTCCGTGTTTGGTCCATCCCCGAGTCCCGGAGTCCCGCGATCGATCGCGCGCAGATTTGCCACATGGCTGCGCTGCAGCTACAACGCAGCTGGCGCGCGCGCCAGGCGTCGAACCGCGGAGCTCGTGCGGTGGTCGAGTTTTGGTTTGGCGGTTTTTGGGAAGCAAAGGCCACAGCCCCCCCTCCCCCCCAAAGAAAAAACTCTGGAGAGACTCTTGGAACGTTCTTAGGAGGGTTTGAAGACTCTTTGTGGTGGGTAGAGGGTTTCAATCCAAAGGTTCTTGAGAACTTTGATAGGTTTCCAAGAACGATTCTGGTTTGGTCATCCAAACCGAGGAGCTCACTGCAGGCCATGAGGGTCCTGTAGAGTCAAGTGATTTCCAGTTGGTCCCGAAATAGAATTGAGCTTGGGCATGACAACTTGAGGACAGGGGTTGGCGCAGGACTGAACAACGCACCCAGAAGCCCTGGAGGTCACCTTGTACATGATTCAGATTTCAAGTCCTGCTTTCGCATTTGCCTGTAAACATGATGGTGGTTGTCAAAAGCATCCAAGGGTTCATGGTTCTGTCAGCAACCAACATGGTAGCTAACTAACCCAAAGCCTGACCGTCAGCTTCAACTGATTTCTGAGTACTGGCCTACAATCGAGCACCCCCAATGTGCTCTCTTAGTGTTCTTAGTTGTTCTAGTTGTCTTACTGATTGTCCTGCCTAGTTGTTATGCTCAGCAATCCTCAGAAACCCTCCCTTAAGAAGAAGGCCGAGACCACGAATCCACAACATCATTTGGCTTTCAGTCGGGGGGAGAAAAAAAACAAAAAAACGGCAACCCCAAAACGGGTGACCCCTGACAAAATGGAAAAAAACACGACCAGCCGCCGCCGCCGTCCGCCCGCCTTCCCCCCCCTCCCCGTCCCCCCGAAGCAAAGGCGCGGCTGCAGCAGCTGCTGCCGCGGCTGGCGCAGCGCCTGGCCGCGGAGCGGCGACATCTGCAGGCGCTGCAGCGCCAGGAGGGCGCCAGCCGGGGACCACAGAAAACCCACCCGGAGCCGAGGCCATGGGCCCAGGGGCGGCATGGCCGGGGTCTCATCCGGAAGAACCGCGCCCCTCTGCCAAAACCACCCAAGAACCGAGAGAAACCGACCCCCCAGAGAGTCCAGCCAACATCCCCAGAAAAGCCGGGGGAAGGGAAACTTGACTCACTCACAACCCCTTCGCCAAAAAGGAACATGGAGACCAAAACTTATTCCCCATCGAGTTCCGTTTCGGACTTTCGTTACTTTTTGGGTTTTGGTGCCTCCAATCCACTCAGGATCTGAGGGGGCTTTGGGATACAAAATTTTCTGGACTGAAGACCCTCTTCAGATAGTCAACTCGCTGGTTTGCAGGAAGCACACGAGTTGGTACCCTTTGGGTGGTGCTAGAAGGGAATACAAGGAGCACCGTTGGTTTTCGAGGCCCCCTGTTTTGAGACGCCCATATGGTTCGATCGAAGCTCGATGTATATATGCGAGCTCATGGATTTGGGGGTACGAGCGATTGCTCCTTATGTCCCCTTGAAACTCCCTGAGGCAGTTGGAAATCGTCAACCACCTGCGGAATTACGTTCACCAATCTGGACAAAGTTTGAAGTACACTTCCCTGGCCATGGTGAAAATGCCCCTTCTGGTGCCAAATTACACGGGCGTTTCTAAAGTTTTTGTCAAAGCTCGAAGCGGTAGACCGTTAAGGTGATTTGGGCAGGAGCGGGCGGGTAAGTTGAACCCCTGGGCCCTTCAAAGGTCACTGGAGGGCAGGGTTGTTAATTTCAACCCTCAAACCGCCTCAGCTGACACTGGATGTCCCCCTTTGATTGCTTTAGACATCACGCGTTGCAACCTCAGTTTCAATTAGAGTTTCCTTTGCGGGATGTTGAGGACATGTTTGGGAACGTGACCTCCAGTTCCATTCAGGAGTGAGGTCGGTTGAAACTTGCGCCGTGAAATCCAAAACTTTGGAATATTTGGGGGGGAATCCTGAGAAAACTGCCTCATGCATAAGGAGGGCGGCGTCTTTGTACATGTTGACGCATTCATTTCCTGGGGAATTTGAAAGACACCGGAGAAGCTTCAGAGCTGGATCCCATGTTTCCGCTTAGAGCATCACCCCACCAACGACGGAGCAACTTACTGAAAGTGGCTCAGACTTTTTTGCTTTCCCTGAACACTGGCCAACACCACACCAACCTAAGATAGACCTGGGGTTTGCAGATGATAACCATAATTTCAACTAGATTGCCCTTCCAAGGGCAGCTTCTATCATGAAGCAAGAGAAGCACCCTAGTAAACTGCAGGTTTGCGAGTCCGGTGCCGACATTTGGCAGATCGTTTACGCGCCTTTTTCTACCAGGTGTTTGTCTTTTGGGAAGCGAGGACCTGGTGCACTCAGCTGCCTGCAGTGCGACACATGGCGGTTGATCAATTTTCCGTTCGGCCCCGAAATGGCCAGGGGTAACTTTTCCCATTTAGTGGTTGTCATCTTTTTGTGTGGTTTCCCTGATGGGCATCCTATGTAGGATCGACTCCCCACATTTCGCCAGGCCCATTTGCTCACTTGCCCAAGCGACTCGACCTTTTCACCTTTGGCTTTCTCTCGGCAGCCATTTTCGTCAATTTTCTCCGAGGCCTTGGCTGTACTGGCAGCTGCCTTCGCCCAGTGCACGTGCCTCCCTCAATGTGTTTGGTTTGGAGGCGAAAGCGAAGCCGACACGACAGGACCTCGAAACAATTCAGGGGCCCGTTGAACGGGTTCCAGCAAACAGGTTCCACCAAAAACCAAAGGACAGTTGCATGTGTGATACCCGTTTTGAGCCCATCATTGGTGTTTCGTAGCTTCCCTTGTTGTCATTCCGGGCCGAGATGCAGCAGCCGAAAGAAGCTCCTGCAACAAATAGTCCACAGTCTTAACTCAAATAGACCAACGTTCTTGATTTCGGATTTCTGTTCATTCTGTTTCCGAAAAACCTGCGGTTTTCTTCTGAGGCTTGGCTTTCCGGATTCCGGAGCCGTGGGAAGAAAGCCAACCCCAGCCCCGGAACTTCCGATCTAACCTATGGTCCTCCCCCTGATCTGCCTGCTGTGAGCCGCATCATAGTGTATCTCACTTGCATGGAACAATATGTTTCTTCGCCCTGACACTGACCAGAACCTCAAAAAACAAACTGAGGTTCCCCCCCGACGCGAAGCACAGAGAACCAAACAATGGCTGGTGACCGGAACCAATCAATCATGCAAACTCTTGGGCCCTGCGGGGAGGGAGCCCAAGTTCCCTGTTACTAAGTTCTTTAAGGCCTCAGTTGGGCTCCCTCCCCCTCCCCTCGCTCCAAGGCCCCGCCACAAACACCGACAAAACGTGGGGCTCCAACCACCATTTAAACAACGGTTGGGTTCATATACCTTCCCACCAGCTAACATGGGTTTGTGCACAGACCCCTGTAGAAAGACTACTTTCCTCTTGGAAAGGGCGTTTTTTTTGCACTTCCATGTTGGTTGGTGGGAGGGTAGCCACCATTTCCCAAGGCTTGTCATCCAATTTGGGTCAACCTTGCCTTTAAAGCCGGCAAGGAACCCTAGGGCTTGACTCTGCCTGTCCCCTTCGGAACGTCTCTCGAGGTGCAGATGCTGAGCGCCCGCCCACACCCGCCTCAGGGATGGGCGGAATCTTTGGCACAGGCGGGGGGTGGCTTTCCGTTTCGGAGGGCCTCTCTCGCTTTCGGCGTGTCGTTTGAGGATACCCTCCCCCCCCCCCCCGCCACGCTGGTTGGTGTCATTTTAGCGCCCAAATCATCTGGATTCGGTGGCTTCCTCAGGTTGGGTGGCTTGAGTTGGTTGGTTTTCCTTGGTCTAAATGTCTAAGGCGAGCCCCGGGATGAAGGATCCTTACCAGGCAGGTGTTGGAATTCGTGCGAAAAAAATATAAATCGATGTGGAGGATCTTACTAGTTAGAGGAGCCAACTGAAACAGATAATGTCACTGAAGGGCTGATTGGCACGGTGCTCCGGATTAGCCCAAAGTTAACCTTTGCCTGTTGAACTGCTGAACCCATGTTACACCTGAAGGTTCACTGGCTATGCACCAGAATCAGACGTATGATTTTGGATCGAGCATACAGCTGAGGTAGCTTTGTTGCCTGCTTTCTTGACACTTGCTTGTCAACGGCAAAGATTGTCTTCCTTTTGGTGAGCCAGCTAAGCAAGTCATCATTCTCTGTCCACCCATGACGAAGGTCCCCTCTGGGAGTATTCAATTCTGGTTGGTGTGTTAGGAATTACTGCCGCATCCTCCCTGAGGACGGACACGCCTTGCTTCCCTTTCAGGCACATGAAAGCTTCCAGCGGTTTTCGCCTTGTCAAGTGGTTTCCAGCGATTTCTATCAGTTTCTAAATGTCCATTTCATTCAACACCAATTTGAGCCATGTCACAACCTTGACACTCTTTCCGCAATGCCCGCTGTCAGCGCAAGAACAAGAAATTGGCTCCAAATGCTGTCCCTGCCAGCATGTTCGCAGCATTGACTATAAACTTGGCGTGCTGGAGTTGGGCTTGCACACTGGGAGGCCTTGTGAAGGCCCAGTTTCCACGTCGTGTTCTTTGGAACAAATCCACGGACGTCTCTTTACTTAGTGCTGGAAGCCTTGGTAAGATGATCTCTAAGCATTTAAACCAAAAATCAAAAGGGAGCTTGATCCCATTTCTTGGCACCCAATGGGTTTTGACAACCTAGCAGCGGTCGCCTTTCAGAGCACGCCCCTCAATAGCCTGGTCTTCCCAAAAGAGATGTTGGCTCTTGTGAACTGGTCTTTGCGATATGTATTTTGCCGGATCTGAGATGTCATGTGACCTGAAGAATAGAAAGTCATCCAACTCTTTGTGGATGCTTTAGTCAAGCTCTATGGAGGATCTAGGGCTGCAAAGCTTTTCGCAAAAGCCTTGACAAGGGGTTAAACAAGCTCACGGTCGTTTATTTAGCGATTCCTTTCTTATGGCTTGTGAATTATGATAATTTTGGTAGCCAGTGCTCAATAGGCCCCCGAATCTGTGTTCTTTTGGCCAGAAACGGACCCCAGAAGGGGATGGTTTTATTTTTCTTGAGGCCACCGGCCAGGCCACCGACCGTTTTCAGATGTATTTCGACCCTGCAGCTTTCAGGTGCCGGAGCCTATGGTCGACATGGCCTGGGCCTCATCCAGCCCAACCCTGAAGCCCTGCCTCAAAACGGAAGCTTGGAAGCCAAAACTCGCTCCCTGTGTTCCTGAACTTCAACACTTTTTGGGTTTTGTTGCCATTTCAGTGGCCAACACAAAGTTTTTCTGACCAGGCGAGGTAAAAGAGGGCCCTCAGAAAGGGGAGACCTTTAAAACGGATGGATTGCAAACCAACACGGAACCATCACGGAACCCACAAGAAGGGGGCAACCGGACGGCAGTTCCCTACTTGCAACACTCAGGCAGTCTATCGCGTCAGGCGTGCCAAAGAGGCTGAGCTTCTTTCAGCCCGTGTTTCATGGTTTCATTGCAAGCTAGTTGTGGTTGAAGTAGGCAGTTACCCTTCCATGGGGCGAATCGCAGCCATGGGCCCATTGTTGAGTTGACACATTTAATTGTGTGAGCTGTTGGTGACGGGTCCAATTGTTCGGGGTCAGATGTTGTTCTGCTCTTGCGAAAAATTGGCTACAGGAGATTCTCCTGGACATCCAGCCCTGCTACTCATGTGTTGCCTGCTCATTGCCATTGTGTTTTCGGCAAACAAGAAGCTTGGACTTTATGGAGCCAGTGCACTTAGGTGACTCTTTGGTTCAGTTTGGCGTGGTTTGCCGCACCTAGGAGTTGATGGAAGTCGGGTGCTGTGTATCCCAAAGGCCACGGCTGACTCCTTCGCAGTGGCGGTGGGCAAAAGCGGCGCTGCCTACTGCCTGTGCCGGCCTCGGGCAGATAGCTTCTCTGTACGTTCATCACCTTGCCTTATTTGGGTGGTTTGGTTTGCTGGTTTAGACGTTCGGACCACGTGGTTTTCAAAAAAAGATGCGGTTCAAATCCCCAAACCACCAACTGAGTTGAGAAGCCACCAACAAAGTCAAGGAGTCGAGCCACTTTTACCTGGAGTCCAGGGGCAGGCTCGGAAAGGCAGGAAAGGCCCACTTCCATGAAGCCGGGTGGAACAGCTGAACGCGTATGAATCTCACTCGCACGGGTGTAGAGTCCTGTAGGGTGATTAATGTTGACAAGGGTCAGTGGAAGTGAAGTTTCCCTTGGGGTGATTGCCATCATAATTTAGCGGGCCCTGGCCTTGACCATTCCAGCCACTGACATAGAACTTGATCTTTTGCGGGAACCTAGTTTATAATGTTTTGTTTTTTTTTCCAGGCCTGGCGTTAGCCAGCAATAGCTCTGTGGTGCTCAGAAAGCTTTTTTGCTAGCAGCGATCCTTGACAGAAGGGGTTAATTTCCTATGTTGGCCCGTCACCCGACTACAGTCACCCCTTTTGGTTTGGAAGGTTTGAGTGGTCGGCAAAGGGCAGGGCCGGGAATCGCTAGAACATCCACACCTCGTGCCCCACTGCTTTGTGCCGGCGTGGCATGGATGAGACGCAATGCGTACCCCAGCATTCGGTGTCGCTCAGGCTTGCTCTGGAGCAACTTGCTTGGCTGGTCACAGGACTGTCGCCTCGCGCGAGCATCAAAGACCTTCTGTGCAAGACACGGGCTCACCTGAAGACGTGCTTCAAGTATGCCTCGGACCGAAAATCAAGTTTGGCAGTGACAGGATGAATCAGCTGAATGCTGACTTGTCAAACCTGGACGAGATTGCCACATATATGGCCGGGGCGGCCCTCTTCAAGAAGAGCAGCGCTGAAGATGAGCAGGCAACTGCTCTATCACACAAGTTGCAGAAGTGCCTTGCCTGATCACGAATGAAGGCCTCAATGTCAGCTTCAGTTTCCACGGCCGACCTTTTCACCTTTTGGTCTCCCCGGGCCCTCTTTAGTCTGTTTTTGTCACAGCCCCTTTTCCATTCCAGGTCGTTTGGGCAAGTGAGTAGCAGGAGGAAGTTGCACAACTGTACAACTTCGCCATGTGCGTGCAAGTCGCTGTTGTTTGACTGCAGTAGGCCATGGCAGGCCAATCTTGTTCTCCAAAAGGCTGTTTCATGATTTTACCTACATTCAAAGATTATTGCAATCAGCTTGCTGTGAATGTGAATCAGCTTTCTGCAAGAATCAGACGGAACCGTTCTGAACCAGGATCCATGTCAGGCTGAACTAGCATCATGTCCATCTATCTCCACTGACCAAAAGAACGATCAGCACATGTCTATCACATGTTTATATTCTTTGGAGGTGCAGAGGTTCTGCAACACTTATATCGATCATATTTGGAGTCTTGCGGATTTGTAGTGGCGGTATGGCGTCCATACATCCAAAAGCATACCTGCAAGCGGTGTTCATTTCTGAGTTCCTCGAACGTTTGCGGAATTGCCCTCTAAAAAGTAGTTCTTGCAGACCCCCTATTTGACACCCACTGAACAGGCCAGTGGTTGCAACTTTCATGGGGCTGTGGCTCCAGGGGGGGCGTCTATGCCAGGATTAGCCTGGGATAAGCCTTTAACAAGGGCTTCTGGAATCTTCTGGAGATAACGGCCATAGACCCCCTCCGCTTCCTCCACCTCCACCTCCTCCTCCTCCTCCTCCTCCTCCTCCTCAGAAACTCTCACTTGCCCAAAGCGAATCGACCTGTTGACCTTACAGCTTCACCTTTTTGGTCTAAAGGTGAACCTTTCATTTCTTGGTTCCTAGCCATTCGGTTCCTCAGGTCTTTAGCTTATAAGATTCGGGCTTGGGTTCCTAGCCATCCGGTTCCTTTGGCTTTTAGCTTTTTCGGGTTGAGTGGTTGGGTTTCCACTTCACCCGCCCGCCCAGCGATTTCTGGGCGCGATTTCTGGGCGGCGCATCGGCTGGCGCAGCCGAGGCCGAGCCAGGCGGACGCGGACGTGGGGCCGCCGGAGGCGCTGCAACTCACCGGGCCCTTCGCGGGGAAGCTCAGGGCGCGAGCGCTCGGGGAGGTTCATCCCAGTCCTTGATGGCCCCAGGTGCCCCAGCTAGGTCCGCCCCTTCTCACCGTTTCTGTTTTGGTTGCGAGGGTTCCCCTAAAATAGGCTACAGAGAAACGGGTACCCTTTTTCTAACCTCTCCACTGGAGGACCTAGTATACCGAGTATTGCTATTGGGTTGGATCTTTAGACTTGAACTTTGGGAATAGTGTTTTCCATTGAACCCCCAAAAAGTTTAAAACTTTTGCAGAAGGGTGAACAGCAACCAAGAATTCAGGGCCCTTTTTTATCGACCCCTCCTACTTCTGAGGAGTAGCCAAAATCATTCGATATTTTTCAGGGTAGGCTGGATAAGCCTTTCCCTTTCTCTTGGAAGGGCGGTTGTGCACTTTGTGGCTATTTAGTTGGATTTTTGGGCTTTATCCCTTTGGCAGAGGGGTCAACAGCAACCAAGTGCAGTTAAATGTTTGTGGAAGGATGCGGTTTGTTACAGGCAGTGGGGTGCTTGATTTTTAGGTGTTGGAATCAGTGGAGGCTAAGATTCATTGGTGTATTGACTGGGTTTTGGTTTTCAGAAATTGTCTACCATGCGTTTTGAGGGAGTCTTCAAGGACGACTTACTAAGGCGTTCAAGGCTTACCAATGCTTTCTTGACAGGGAAGCTCCCCAGGTCTCACGACTTCAGTCTCCTGAGTCCTTAGGATCCCGCAAGGCGATCCTAGCAGGCGTCTCTTTAACAGGCACCTGAGGCTAACTCACTGAACGCTCCCTTGTCGATCCCAGGTCAAGGTTTGTTGATGGGGGGGGGCTTTTGAGGGGATAGGCGTGGGTTGTGCAGGGGTTACCTGGGTGGAAATCCCTTACCGCATTTAGAGTCTGCAAGGTGACTTGAAACCATGGTAGCCATCACTGGCAGGAGATGCGCTCGGGGCCGTCTCAGGTGCTGAGCCATCACCGGCTCCTGGCGCAAACGCCCAAGGCGCGCTTGAAGGAGAGCCGAAAGCTGAGACCCATGGCGTGCGTACGGCTTTCTTTTTGGCGCAGGGTGGGGGGGGCTGGGGTGGTGTGTCTTCGTTCCTTCTTCTTTTGGCGGGGGGGGGAACTAACTGGCTGGAACAGTTGCTTCTTTTTATGGTTGTTTCTTTTCATTCTTTCTTTTTTTTTGGGGGGGGGAAGCCGACCCGAAAGGTCCCAGCTATCCTTTGCTTTTTAAATGAGGGAAAGGAAACCGTTGGTCCGTGTTGAAAGGAGGCCAACCAGAAACCATGTCAAGGGGTCCCCTTTGGCAGGTGCCCCATTTCCCCAATAGAAGGATCCCCAACCATTTGAAGGGGTCCCCACCGAAATCCTTCAATCTTGCTGGCGATACTGTTCAACTTGGTGGCTGGCCACCCCTACTCCAAACCACCAAAAACGCCGACATGGTTCACTCATTATGCCGGACTACGATAATGTAATGCGGAGGTGCTTGTACTGGTTGGCCCCAGCTCCAATCTTGCCATTTCTTTCACACCCTCCTTTTGGGTTTCGCCCAAGTATTTATTGCGTTGGGTTCTTATAAAACTAGTTGGTTAAAGTTGGTTTGAGTCTTTACAGTTAAAAACACATGTTTGTTTGCAAACCCCGAATCCATCTCCAGAGCTGGGCCGAGCTTCCAAAAAGCATCTGCTGGAAGAATCAGACCATGACCCCGCCAGCAAGCCTCGAAAAAAAAGGAAAAAAAAAAAAAAAAACACGAGCCGGCCGTGCATCAAATCATGCAGCGGATTGCCGGTTGTCCTTTGGCACGGAATCCGATGGCCTCTTTGCAAGCTACCATGGTGTCGCACGTGGTTGAAGTCTTTGGACGCTTTGGATTGCAAACATCAACACAGCCGCGGATTCTCGATTTATGCTTCAGGGGGAGTGGTCATGTTGCTGAACCCACCCGAAGCAGTTTCCCAGGCGTTGGGTTTCGCCGAGCACGACACCGCCAGGTGCTCCAGGTCTCTTGCGGCCTGCACCATGCCCTGCTGCTGTCAGAGGATGGCCTTGTCTTTGCCTGGGGTTGGGGACCCCCAGAGGCGTCTCAAGGGTTGACTTTGACTTGGGGTGACCCCGATTTAAGCACTCCCTTGTGGTTTTTCGCTTTGAGGAAATCCCCAGGTTCATTCCCAACACCCTGGGTCGTTCCATACTGAGCACCTGCAAGTTGGGGCCACGCTTTGTTCAAAGAACCCATCCTGGTACCCCTTCAAAGGGCCAAAAGGGGGTTGCTCAAACACTTGGCGTTTAAACTCGGTGTTTTTGCAGGGGCTTGGCCTGACCAACTCACATTGCCCACAGCCGACCTTTTGCCCAGATCTTTTCCAGGGGATCTCACTCCCCGAGTTCCTGGACTTCAAGCTTTTTGGGGAGACCATTTTGGTGGTAAACAACTCAATTTGTATATTTTGGTACCCACCCCCCCCCCATGGACCCTGGTTTGGTGCGTTTGACCTGTATTTTCCAGTGTAAAACCGGGGGGGGATATTTTTGGACGACCAGCTCAGGAAGTCAGGGATCCTTCGCTGTCCAGTTGCCAAACAAATTGTGACTTCTTTTGGACGACCAACTCGGGAAGTCAGGGATGGTTCCCTGTCGGGTTGCCAAAAGGTATGTGTTTTTTTTTTGGACGACCAACTCAGGAAGTCAGGATCGTTCCCTGTCGGGTTGCCAAAAAGTATGTGACTTCTTTTGGACGACCAACTCAGAAAGTCAGGGATCGTTCCCTGTCGGATTGCCAAAAGTATGTGACTTCTTTTGGACGACCAACTCGGGAAGTCAGGGATGGTTCCCTGTCGGGTTGCTAAAAAGTATGTGACTTTTTTTGGACGACCAACTCAGGAAGTCAGGGATCGTTCCCTGTCGGGTTGCTAAAAAGTATGTGACTTCTTTTGGACGACCAACTCAGGAAGTCAGGGATCGTTCCCTGTCGGGTTGCCAAAAGGTATGTGTTTTTTTTTGGACGACCAACTCAGGAAGTCAGGATCGTTCCCTGTCGGGTTGCCAAAAAGTATGTGACTTCTTTTGGACGACCAACTCAGGAAGTCAGGGATCGTTCCCTGTCGGGTTGCCAAAAGTATGTGACTTCTTTTGGACGACCAACTCAGGAAGTCAGGGATGGTTCCCTGTCGGGTTGCCAAAAAGTATGTGACTTTTTTTGGACGACCAACTCAGGAAGTCAGGGATCGTTCCCTGTCGGGTTGCCAAAAGGTATGTGACTTTTTTTGGACGACCAACTCAGGAAGTCAGGGATCGTTCCCTGTCGGGTTGCCAAAAAGTATGTGACTTCTTATGGACGACCAACTCAGGAAGTCGGGGATCGTTCCCTGTCGGGTTGCAAAAAAGTATGTGTTTTTTTTTGGACGACCAACTCAGGAAGTCAGGGATCGTTCCCTGTCGGGTTGCTAAAACGTATGTGACTTTTTTTGGACGACCAACTCAGGAAGTCAGGGATCGTTCCCTGTCGGGTTGCCAAAAAGTATGTGACTTTTTTGGACGACCAACTCAGGAAGTCAGGGATCGTTCCCTGTCGGGTTGCCAAAAAGTATGTGACTTCTTTTGGACGACCAACTCAGGAAGTCAGGGATCGTTCCCTGTCGGGTTGCCAAAAAGTATGTGACTTCTTTCGACGACCAACTCAGGAAGTCAGGATCGTTCCCTGTCGGGTTGCCAAAAAGTATGTGACTTCTTTTGGACGACCAACTCAGAAGTCAGGGATCGTTCCCTGTCGGTTGCCAAAAGTATGTGACTTCTTTTGGACGACCAACTCGGGAAGTCAGGGATGGTTCCCTGTCGGGTTGCCAAAAAGTATGTGACTTTTTTTGGACGACCAACTCAGGAAGTCAGGGATCGTTCCCTGTCGGGTTGCCAAAAAGTATGTGACTTCTTTTGGACGACCAACTCAGGAAGTCAGGGATCGTTCCCTGTCGGGTTGCCAAAAGGTATGTGACTTTTTTTGGACGACCAACTCAGGAAGTCAGGGATCGTTCCCTGTCGGGTTGCCAAAAAGTATGTGACTTCTTTTGGACGACCAACTCAGAAGTCAGGGATCGTTCCCTGTCGGTTGCCAAAAGTATGTGTCAAGGGAAGTCGTTCCCTGTCGGGTTGCAAAAAGTATGTGACTTTTTTTGGACGACCAACTCAGGAAGTCAGGGATCGTTCCCTGTCGGGTTGCCAAAAAGTATGTGACTTCTTTTGGACGACCAACTCAGGAAGTCAGGGATCGTTCCCTGTCGGGTTGCCAAAAAGTATGTGTTTTTTTTTGGACGACCAACTCAGGAAGTCAGGGATCGTTCCCTGTCGGGTTGCCAAAAAGTATGTGACTTCTTTTGGACGACCAACTCAGGAAGTCAGGGATCGTTCCCTGTCGGGTTGCCAAAAGTATGTGACTTCTTTTGGACGACCAACTCGGGAAGTCAGGGATCGTTCCCTGTCGGGTTGCAAAAAGTATGTGACTTCTTTTGGACGACCAACTCAGGAAGTCAGGGATCGTTCCCTGTCGGGTTGCCAAAAAGTATGTGACTTCTTTTGGACGACCAACTCAGGAAGTCAGGGATCGTTCCCTGTCGGGTTGCCAAAAAGTATGTGACTTCTTTTGGACGACCAACTCAGCAAGTCAGGGATCGTTCCCTGTCGGGTTGCCAAAAAGTATGTGACTTCTTTTGGACGACCAACTCAGGAAGTCAGGGATCGTTCCCTGTCGGGTTGCCAAAAAGCATGTGACTTCTTTTGGACGACCAACTCAGGAAGTCAGGGATCGTTCCCTGTCGGTTGCCAAAAAGTATGTGACTTCTTTTGGACGACCAACTCAGGAAGTCAGGGATCGTTCCCTGTCGGGTTGCCAAAAAGTATGTGACTTCTTTTGGACGACCAACTCAGGAAGTCAGGGATCGGTCATTTCCGGGTTGCCCACGTTTTGTTGGCTTTCGGCACCTTTCGGCCGAGGATTGAACGACTGCGGCCAGTGCGGTGTGGGCTGGCCTCGGCCCAGCACCCCAACCACAGCCCAGCGCCCAGGGAACGATTCTGTTACCTTCCACGTGCTTACGACTATGTCTTTGTTGATTTTCCCCTGTTGGTGTTAACCGGTCTATCACTACTTTTTCCCCCCTCTGTTGGTTTTTCGTTTGCTAAACCAGACGGAGAAATCAGGGTTTCAGTTGTAGCAATAGGAATTACAGACGAAGATGCCTCTTGAGCCACAAGCAACACCCGATCCCAGCAATAAGTGGGTGCGGCCGCCTTTTCAGTTTCCGTGATTCTGGGTAAACCATCCTAATGCTGGGTTTGATTATGACTCTCTCTCTCTCTCTCTCTTTCTCTCTTTTTTTTGGGGGAGGGGGTCACCCAAAATGGAGCAACGGCGCAACGGTTGTCGTTGTGCTTTTTTTGCTGCTTCAAAGCTGCAAAGTTGGGGTGGCCTGCCAAAATGACACCCAACTGATTGCTGTGAGGACCTGGATTCGGAATAAGCCACTGGCGCCCTGTTACCCAATTCCATGGCCACAGGTTTGGGTATAGATCCCTTTGTTGGTGTTGATGGATGTTTTTGTTGGGGCAACCACATAGAAACTCACCCCCGTTTTGGAGACACGATTCGTGTTGTTTTTGTTTTGTTTCCTGAGGTTTCGCCTATCTATTGGGCGCTTTCTTGCACGCTTATGGCCAAGTTGGACGATCCACAAAAGAGAAACCGCATCCAACTAAGAGCGCGGCCAAACAGACATAGTCTTTAGTCTGTGGTCGGGTATTTTCTCTGCGCATGGCTCTAGAATAGACCCCATTGGATTTGGGGTTTAAGGTGGCACCAAGGGAAGCCGGGGGGGGGGGTGCCTTCTTTAGACACGGGCCTGGGCAAAACATGAAGGCACTCGATCTCTCAATGGTACGCATCTGCTTTTCACGTGTTTCGGTGCTTCTCCGAAAATCCATTGCTTACTCCAGGTGAAGCATGATTCACCCAAGCAGATTGGACATGGAGAAGAGCTTTCCTCGTGGAAAAGCTGAAGGGAACGGGCACCACATGTTGGGATTTTACCTGGTTTGAAAGCAACATAACCTTGCTGAAACACAGTGGTTGGCGTACGGAACTTCCAGGATGCCTGTAGATATCTACTTAAGTTAGATCTGGTTTGTGCCCACCTCAAGTTGGCTCAGGCATTCCTGGAACCAAAAACCCCATTGCTTTCTTCGTGTCATATAGGTCGGGTTTCATTTTCTGGTCCAGGCTTCCATTCAAACGGCATATTCCCCACCCACGGGTACTTCCGAGAGTTGGCTAAGTACCTAAGCTCCAGTTACTGGCCATTTGGCGAATTTCTAAACCACCTATGTGGCATAGCGAGTGATCGGGTTGGGGACCCAACTTTCCCACGTCTGCCCAGGTCATTGAGCAGGCGACGTGCCTGCAGCCCTGGGCAGCGCACTACACGGCCGGGCCACCGAAATCTCAGGTGACGGAGCGTTCTGTCCCCTTCGGGCCGCGGCAGACATCTAGATAACCAGTTCTTGGTTTGGATTGGTGGTTGGGGTTGAGCCGGAATCTGTAGAGAATCAGTGAGAAAGTGCTTAACCAGTAAACATCCAATCCAAAGCCCCAATCAGGTTCCCTTCAGGTTTGCTCTTGAACATGGTAAGTGTCCAAAGGATCCTCCCAGCTTATCCATTGCTTTTCCTTAACTTTCTCCAAATGCCAAGCTGACCTTGAGGGTATGTGGTTCTGTGTGAAGGAACCACCTGCATGGGGCCCACGGCATGGGGTTGAGAAACGCCCATATGCGTTTGGATTGGTTTGGAAAATTCAGTGATCCTTGGTACAGTGCAAGAGGAATGGTCGGAAGGCCCCAGATTTGTTTCATTCCAAACCGAACTGTTTAGCATTCAAGTTGCTGTGCTTGTTGGCATCGTGGTGGCTGGAGTATGCTATAAGATTCTAAAGCCCGGGAGCTTGTCATGGTTGCATTGCGCAAGCTGACTTGCATCCACGTCTTCGCTCTTGCAATCATTTGCCATGCACTGACAGCTACAGTTTCGGGACCCAAAGGCAGCGCGGTTTTGTTCTTCAGAGGCACAGCGCTTCGCATGTTACCGTGCCGTTCTCGTCCTCCTGTTTTTGCGCAGCTTCGCGTTTGGGGACCCGGTGGCGGAGGGTCTTGTTTGGGGAACAGGACGCCAAGCATCCGAGGGTTGAGGCATGAAACGTGATATTTGCTCCAGGTCCCAGGGCCGCAAGCCTCCCATCCGTGCCATGGATCACATCTGCTCAGAACTTGCCAGTCGAGAAAACTTCAGGCTGGGCTTCCTCAAAGCCAAAGCCCAAGAAGCTTCAACTCTTGCCAGTATCCTGAGATCCGTTGTTGGATGTTATTGGTCACCGGTCGCCAGCCATTAGTTGCTGGGGTGCTTGAGAAAAAATGGGTGGACCGAACTTGTTTGCCTTCCCAAGGGGCATGTTGCATAGGCAAACTCGATCCTTCCTCTTGAAATTCAAGAGGGTTCGCCCCCTTTACGGTGGCTTCCATAGCTTCCCCTTCCCACGAAGAAACGTGGAATTAGGCAGGAGGCCCCATTAGAAAATTGTGTTTCTCTTACTCTGGATTCCTGAGCACCTTCGTCGGTATGGAAAACAGGCTGAAAATCCAACGAACATGGCCTAGGTAAACGCGAACCGCAGCAAACCAGCAAACCGCCAGGGTGATGAATGTTCCACTTTAGGGGCCATCCTCTAGACAAACCAGCACGCCACGTCCCTTTTTTCCAGGGAGCCTGCACTTTTGGCGGGGCTTTTTCGCATGCAAGCCCAAACCCTAAAAGCTCCCACCCCAAGAGCAGGTTGCTTTTTCGACTCGCGACCCCATATGACAAAAAGGAAAAAACACCGTCCCAGCCATCAACCCTAAAAACCCCCGCCCGAGAGGTTGGGGGTTTTTCTACACGATAAACCCCGATTGTGTTGCACCATCGGTCCGTTAAAATAAACATCTCGCGGTCGATGGAGCACGGATCAGGGCACGGAGGAGATGCGCAAGCAAGCGGGCCTGCTGGAGCCTCAACGAGGCGCGGCATATCGGGCTTGAGGTGCGGGCTGTGGATGCGGTGTTTGGGGCGGGGGTTGAAGACAAAGGCTCGAAGCTACGGCGAGGGGGGCGCGTTTTTGTTGTTTCGGAATTTTAAGACAACAGAATTCAAGAAACTGGATCCGATCGCTTGCACCACAGGACAATCATTTAGCATACGAATTTGGCACCCAATGTGTTGGAACCCATCTTTGACGGTCACATACATCCAGAAGGCCTGGTGGTTTATTTGTGACATGGCTTGGGGCACAACATATACCCCCCCCACCAATCATCGCGGGACCTGACCTTCGGAGGGTGCTGGAAGATCATTTTCCTTTCCAATGAAAAAAACAAAAACTGGCAGGTTCCATGCGAATTGGAGGGAGGGTAATTACCGAGCTCGCCGATCTGGGGATCGGAGCTTGTAATTTGCCCCAGTTGGAGCGTGGCCTTTGTCGTTTCAACCTACGAAGCGACCGGACTTGGGGGTCCAGATTTGGCTCGAAATTCGATTTCAGGCGGGTCGGTTTCAAATCCATTTGGTTGCCAACCATGCTTGTCAAAGTTCCTTAAAGGGCCGCCTTTTGTTTCCACGCATTTTTGGGCGTAATTACGTCAGAAACAGGTGAAAACGAATAGTTTGGATGTTTTGTTCTTGTGGTACTTAGGACTTTGGAGATGCGCTGCAGGATGTTAGCAGAGTTCCCACTGAGATCTTTGGAGGGAGGGAAGAACCATCCAGTTCCAACATTTAAAATAAGTTCAAGGGGTTGCAACCTTGTGAGGTTTAAAAGGATGTCAGCTTCGGCCTAAGCAGATTATCGCAACCAGGGATATGAACCTTTTGGAGGTTTAGAAGGAATTCACCTTTCGGATTTGGTTTCCAGGAGTTTCCATGATATTTCTATGATTTGGCAAACTCCCCGCCTCCATTGCTTCATCTTCTTCTTGGGGTCACTGGGCGACTGGGATACTTCCGCACCGATTTGCAAATGCGCGGCGATGCGGTGGGAGCTGGACTGTTCCGTTCAAAAAGGCGTGTGTAGCTCTTGGCTAAATGACCCCGAACGGCCTGCTGTAGCTCATTCCCCCGCCCCAAAAAGGGATGTAGACCCATTATGGAGCCAAGGGTCAAAGGCTTCTTAGATGGACATATGTGTTCCAAATGGCATTTGGATTCCCAAATTCAAGCAAGATGTTGGGTGGAGGTTTGAAAATTCACACGTGCTTACCTGCTGACTTGGTTGTTTGTGGGTTGCTTCATCTTAAGAGTTTTCGTCCAGCCAACCGTTGAGGGAGGTTAAAATAATTTATTTTGTGATTTGGGAGTGAGGGTTGGAGCAAGAAAATAGCAATCTGAAAATTAAGAGCAAACTGAAAAGCAAGAAAAAAGTGATTCACTTGCAACAGTTGACACAAAAAAGCAAGAAAATAGTGATCAGATGGTCATCAAATAGTGATTTGGGCACCTCAAAATAGCAAGGATCCAAATCGGGATTATATGGGAGATCACTATTTTCTTGTTTTTTTTGGCAGGCGACGACCCTCGAAACCCAAAAATCTGCAAATCACAACGGGAGATCGCTATTTTCTTGCTTTTTTGGAGCGGGAAATCACTATTTTCTTGTTTTTTTTTGGAGGCGACGACCCTCGAAACCCAAAAATCTGCAAATCACAACGGGAGATCACTATTTTCTTGCTTTTTTGGAGTGGGAAATCCACATTTTCTTGTTTTTTTTGGAGGCGACGACCCTCGAAACCGAAAATCTGCAAATATCACTATTTTCTTGCTTTTTTGGAGTGGGAAATCACTATTTTCTTGTCTTTTTTTGGAGGCGACGACCCTCGAAACCCGAAAATCTGCAAATCACAACGGGAGATCACTATTTTCTTGCTTTTTTGGAGTGGGAAATCCATATTTTCTTGTTTTTTTGGGAGGCGACGACCCTCGAAACCGGAAATCTGCAAATCACAACGGGAGATCACTATTTTCTTGCTTTTTTGGAGTGGGAAATCACTTGTTCCTTGCTTTTTGGCAGGCGATGACCCTCGAAACCCGGAAATCTGCAAATCACAACGGGAGATCACTATTTTCTTGCTTTTTTGGAGTGGGAAATCCCTATTTTCTTCTGATTTTTTTGGAGGCGACAACATCCAAAAAAGCAAGAAAATAGTGATCTCCCGCTGTGATTTGCAGATTTTCGGGTTTCGAGGGTCATCGCCTGCCCAAAAAGCAAGGAAAAAGTGATTTCCCACTCCAAAAAAGCAAGAAAATAGTGATCTCCTGCAGATTTCCGGTTTCGAGGGTCGTCGCTGCAAATCACAACGGGAGATCACTATTTTCTTGCTTTTTTGGAGTGGGAAATCACTTGTTCCTTGCTTTTTGGGCAGGCGATGACCCTCGAAACCCGGAAATCTGCAAATCACAACGGGAGATCACTATTTTCTTGCTTTTTTGGAGTGGGAAATCCCTATTTTCTTCTGATTTTTTTGGAGGCGACAACATCCAAAAAAGCAAGAAAATAGTGATCTCCCGCTGTGATTTGCAGATTTTCGGGTTTCGAGGGTCATCGCCTGCCCAAAAAGCAAGGAAAAAGTGATTTCCCACTCCAAAAAAGCAAGAAAATAGTGATCTCCTGCAGATTTCCGGTTTCGAGGGTCGTCGCCTGCAAAAAAAAAAGAAAATATGGATTTCCCATTCCAAAAAAGCAAGAAAATAGTGATCTCCCGTTGTGATTTGCAGATTTTCGGGTTTCGAGGGTCGTCGCCTCCAAAAAAAAACAAGAAAATAGTGATTTCCCACTCCAAAAAAGCAAGAAAATAGTGATCTCCCGTTGTGTTTTGAGGGTCGTCGCCTCCAAAAAAAACAAGAAAATAGGGATTTCCCACTCCAAAAGCAAGAAAATAGTGATCTCCCGCTGTGATTTGCAGATTTGCTGGTTTCGAGGGTTGATCACAATTTTCTTGCTTTTTGTTTCACAATTGTCTTGCTATTTTCTTGCTATTTCTGGTCTCTTGTTTGCTGCATTCTTGCTTTTTTAGTGCCCACTGTTTGCTCTAAAATCACTTTTTCCTTGCTTTTTTTTCCCACCCGAAACTTGGGATCACTACTGTGCCATGGGGGTTGCCTTCACTTCTGTGCTTCGAATAGATGTTTTCAAGATGCATTTGGTTGCCTTTGGGTATGCATGTGCCATGGGGATTGCCTTCATACTAGCGCATGAACTTGTTTTTGCAAGAATTGTTTCGGTGTTGTTGAGCATGCGATGCGCCATGGGGATTGGCTTCTTTTTGGCGAGCAAGCATACATAGTCAAGCAACATTTCAGTCCCAACTAGTATGTGATGTGCCATGCTGGTTGCCTTCTTACTCATACTTAAACATGTATGCTTAAAATGCGATTAAGCGGCTTGTAATATGCGATGTGCCATGGGGATCGCGTCCGTAGTGGCGCTCAGACAAAACAGTCTTAGGAGACACATTGCGGTTGATTATGCAGTGTGCCATGGGGGTTGCCTTCACTTCTGTGCTACGAATAGATGTTTTCAAGATGCATTTGGTTGCCTTTGGGTATGCATGTGCCATGGGGATTGCCTTCATACTAGCGCAAGAACTTGTTTTTGCAAAAATTGTTTCGGTGTTGTTGAGCATGCGATGTGCCATGGGGATTGCCTTCTTTTTGGCGTGCAAACACACATAGTCAAGCAACATCTTGGTCCCAACTGCTATGCGATGTGCCATGGGGATTGCCTTCTTACTCGTACTTAAACGTGTATGCTTAAAATGCGTTTAAGTGCTTTGTAATATGCGATGTGCCATGGGGATTGCGTCCGTAGTGGTACTCAAACAAAGCAGTTTTAGGAGACACTTGGGCGCCGTGTGCCAGTGGGGAAGGCTCAGTTGCAAGGACCCTGCCGGGACTATCCGTGGCGTTGTTTTTACTGGCAGGCTGCGGACTTTCGAGCAAAACACGAAAAATGCAAGGACTTTCGCGGTTGGGTGTATTTTCTTGCTCTGTTGCTTGCTCTACATCTCACAAAAAAATTAAAACAGCATTTTCCAATGGTTGGCTGGTTTCGCAAGTCTTAAGCTTCATCATTCTAGCCAAGGCCCACAAACTTCAGACTTGTGGGTATGTTGATTTTAGAGTTCCGAAGCCCAGGGGTTTAAAAGGGTCGTTTCATTTCTCATTGCCTGCCTATTGCACCAGCAAGTTATGGACCCGTCCATTTGGTGTCCCTCCAATACCAGTCAAGGGAAACGCTCAGCTGAAGAAAAACCGAAAAACCGGTGAGGGCCAAAAAGACTCGGCCAAATGCAGGGAAGCGCCCAGTCCAGCTGAAGAAAAAGCGAAAAACTGGCATAGGCCAAACCTCCGCTTCGGAGGCACCAGCCTCAGCTCGGCGTGCGGCAGCGGCGCCATTCTGCCGCGGCTGAAGTCGGTGCAGGCGTCGCCCAGGGGCGCGCTGGCCCTGGACAACGAGGCGGGCTGCCGGGGGGGCGAGCGGGGGGGGGGGGGTTCAAATCGGCCCAAAGAAAAGGGGGTGGGGGGGGGGATGGGGAAAAGGTGATATCTAGAACAGAGAAAAGGGGAATGCATTGGTGTGCTGTTGCCTTTTTGAGCCTTTTCGGGTCGGTTTTGGGATGCCAAAGAAAGTCAATGATTCGGAGGGTCCCCTAATTTGAAGATACGCCGAATCGAGCCCAAGGATCACAAAGCGGAGTCCCACGTTGGCGGATCTGCAGGGTTGATGAGTCTGTCGGAGGAAGTTGGAAGTTTGGCCGAGCCAACTGACCTGAACACAGATACCATCAGCTGAAACCCTGAAAAACTCGATGAACCACTATATCTCATGCTCATGGATCCAACCTCGCCGACTAACTCGAGACGAGTGCATGGGAGGGGTGAAGGTCTTGTGGGGGGTCCGAATATGTTTGACGTGAGAATTCCAGGGAAGTCAGAATGAACTGACTTTCAGGTTGATGAATGGGCTCCTAGTTTAGAGGGAATGGCATGTTCTCGCTTACTTTCACGTTGGCTGCCTGGAGCTATTGCTTGTTCTGCCGGCTCAGGGCATAAACTGGGAAATATTCCAAGGTACCGCGGCTGCCTAATGCTCCTTTGCAGGGTGATGGCTCTTCCATTGGGCATCCTTCGCACAGCCGTGCGACATCCATTCTTAGCCAATTGTCTGGTGGTTATTCTGACCCTGTGGCCGGCACTTGAACTCCGAATTGCCTTCACTGCAATTGAGAAGTAACACTTGCAGAGGAAGCATCCCCTTTGCACTTTGCACCCTCTATTTATTTGACGGGTTTATCGCTCCGAGGTCCGCAGATGATACCCTACCAGGGAAAACACCGCTGATGTACCCACCAGTTTCAACACTGTTTTGAACACATGCTTGGGAAAGACAACGCCCTGGCCTGCCAGGCTTACTGCGCGCATTTTATTGGCTTTTGCCTTTGGGCTTCGAGTTGGGTTGAGACGGGGTGGACCTTGGGCAGTTTGGCATACTTTGGCAGTGAGGTGAGGCGGTGCTTTTCCATCCAAGCGGTACAACCCCTCAACCACTAAGCCAAACATCGAGCTCAAACATGCTGCCGTCATGTACTTTGTCAACCTTTGATTTGCCTTTCAGGGGCCTCAGCTGCCTCAGTCCTTGTTCAATCGACAAAACCCCAGACAAGTGGGTGGCTTCCGTTTGGTTGGGGAAAGGCTTGAAGCTCCTCTTTACAATCAACCCTTTGGTCCACTAACCTGGACTCGACCAGGGGTCCCCTTTCAACGCAAAAGTCGTCTTCCAGGACGCTTCAGGTCTCCATTGGGCGAGACGGTTGTCATGCTGGGCCCCTTGCTGGAACCCTCTTTGCAGTCTTGCGAGTCGTGAAAAAGAGTATGCCCACAGTGCCAGCTGAGGGATGAAAGCCACGCCTTGGTCACGTCACCTCCCCGACCTCCCTCGGCTTAGCTCGGCTTAGCTTGAGAGCGAGCGGCTCAGGCGCAGCTTTGGGGCTGGGGTGAGAGCAGCCTTCCTTGCCCGGGGCCTTAGCCGGAAAGCTGCTTGCTTCATGCACAAAGTGGCCCAAGGGGAGCTGGGGGATCTATATTCTTAAGGGCTCGTCATTGGGAACTTGTCAGATATTCAAGCCTTAACGAAGGGAGGCGCGGGCTTGAAGAAAACCTGGTTGCATAATCTTTGCAGCCTCACTGAAGGATTGTTCGATCTTGCGAAGCTTTTTGGCCTGTTTCGCCGGAACGGGGTTGGAAGAGGATCTTGCCAACCTCTTGGAAGTGGCGATTGCCTTCACTAATCAGTCAATGACCAACCCATTGATTAAGCCTGTTTCTCAAAGCATCCACCTTTCATATGGTTCATTCAGGGATATTCCTGGGATATTTGAGCACTGCATGCCGGTCTCCATACAGTGTTCTGTTTGCGTGTGCTACGTCTTCACTCATCAAGGGATGCATGGGCCGTGTTCCGCAATGTGGCTGTGAACTGCTGCAACAGTCAAACCTACCGAGTTGGTTTCAGAACAACATTGCGTGAAAGGTGCCCCTGCAGCTGACAGCTTCATCGGTCTCAGGAGGCTCATTTCATGATGCACTGAATGGATCAGTTGCGCCCTGTTGGAGCCAAGGGTTCGCCCCACGGTCGAACCTAAGCAATCTCGACAGTGAAAGCAAGTTTTCCAGCTGCGTCTCGGTTGTGGGGAATCGGCTAGTGAGCAATGAGGATGGGGTCCACAGAAACAGCAACTTGAGAATTTGCTCAAAGAATGAAATGAATTCGCAGACCTTGGGGAGACGCAAGCTCAAGGGTGGTACTGTGGATGGACGAATTGAAACCATGGGAACCATTGTTGGTTGGCATTTGCAGAGAAATCATCATTCCAGGGTTTCTTAGGTGGTGCAGGATTTCGTCCACCCAGAGTATTTCGGTCCTCTGCGCGAAAAACTGCTGGGTTATGCATTTGTGCGTTGAGTGCATCTTTTGTTTACAGGGAAGCGCCGTGCTGGAGGCCCTGCCATTTTGAGACTTCCATGTGCTTAAGAATGTGATTTATGTTTAAAGGGGATCTATCACTGGACATATTGCAGCGTTGCAGAATTGCAGACGCAAGTTAGCATGCATTAGAGTTGCCTATTTTACAGCCTTTGCAAGTCAAGCCCGGCCTTTGAGCCAGCCCGGAAGGGTTTTCTGCAAGGCCCAACGCTATCTGAGGAAGTCCTATGCAGAGCTGAGAAATGTTCTTCGTGGGAACAGTTCATTAGCACAGTGTTGCCTTACAGTTCTCCTATCCGGCAATTTTGCCATCCGCTTCCTGACCTGGTGCGAACAGGTGTCGAGCGCCGAGCTGTTCTGTCTGCAGAGCAAGCCATGCGGTACAGGCAAGAGCAGTTGCAGAAAATACAGCACCTTGCGCAACACGCTGGCAACTCAGAGGGGCCTCGTTGGGAAGTTCTTCAGCAGCTGGGCAATCTCATTGGCCACCCAGACCGCAGATTGGCTGCTGATGCCACAGATGCAGATGGATTTCGCTTGTTGGGCTCTTTGCCGGAAAGGCCAGGTTGGGAGCCACGGGCACGGAGTGGTTTGCCCCCGACTTCGGAGGAGCACCAAGACGCGCTGGAGCACCTTCTTCGAGAACATGCTTCCGAGCGCTCAGCCGGTGTTTTCAGGTTGCCAGGCCACAAGTCGGCGGAGCTCTACCAGCTTTTGCAGGCAGAAGCAGCGAAAGGGTTTTGGGTTGAGATGAGTGTCAGGGAGGCAGAGGAGAAGTTGGGCGGCTTCCTTTCCTGGCTGTTCTTTGGCGTGGCTGAACCAGACAAACTGCGTGGCTGCTTGGCGCCCCAGGAAGCAAACGGGCCACACGCGGTTCATTTGCCAAACCATGTTTACATGGCGGGCCTGGATGGCTATGTTTCGCTGCTACAGTTTACAGCTGGGTGTTTTCACAAGGCTGGGCGCTGCCCTACTCTTCGCGGCTTTGCCGAAGATTACGCTCACGGGTTCCGGCAATTCCGATTGGCTTCTCCAGATAGGAGATTTTTGTGCGCCACAGCCCAGGCTCCAGACTCGTCTGTCAAGATTTTTGTGCCGCAACGCCTGCTGTTTGGACCGCGGGGGGCGCCCCATGTCTTTTGCAGGGTGACGGACATGGTGTCAGCTGTGGCTTCGGTCTTGCTTTTGGTGCCAAATGTCCCGCATGTGGATGACATGGTGGCGGTGGAGGAAGCTGATGCAGTGGACTCCGCCAGGCAAGCTTTCATCGACTTGCACGCGGCATTAAACTTCGAGCTCAAACCTTCCAAAGCGCGCCCCGGCCGCGCTACTTCCGGGGGAGCTGAGCAGCTCATTGCCTTGGGTGGACTCATTGACTTTGCCATTTCAGACCAGGATCGGGATGCTGGCCTGGTGTGCAGAATCGACTTGCCAGACTGCAAGGCTGCCAAGTATCAAGGGATGATCCTAGACACTTTGCAGCAGCAGAGCTTATCCCCGACCATCGCGGGCAAGCTCGTTGGCCAGTGGGAGCATGCCTCAGCAATTTGCTTGGGCCGCTCCGGCCGCGCCTTCGCTTGGCCACTCCGTGAACTTATTTCTTCTGCAGAGCACAGGGGGCGCCCAGCCCCTCCTTGGCCAGTGCTCAGGGCGGCCTTGGCGGGATTCCTCACCTTCTTGCAGGGTCGCGGCCCCATGGAGGTGCATGTTTCCCACAGTTTGGTCAGACGAGCCGCGCTGCTGTTTGTGGATGCTGCGCTCTCCAACGAGGGCTGTCAGATTGGGGGTGTGGCTTGGGGACCAGGATGGTGCTTCTATTTTCATCTCGGCATACCAAAGAACAGCACGCGCTTGCTCCCATGGGCTGCTGGGCACATCATCAATGAAGCTGAAGCACTGGCTGCGTTGATTGGAATCCAAGCGCTTAGTGACAATTTGCAAGGGCTTGATGTTCTCTTGTTTGTTGACAGCAAAGCAGCAGAAGGTGTTTTGCTAAAAGGGTATTCCCGCTCCCCTCGACTATCCGTGCTGGCCTCTTTGTTCTGGAAAGCAGTGCGACAAGGCAAGGCCTCCACATGGATCGGCAGAGTTCCCAGCCATCTCAACGTGGCGGATGCTGTCAGCCGGGGTTCCTTTGATATGGTCAGAGCCCTGCAGGCTAGTCGGCTTGAGGTCCGCCTCCCCGATGCGGCCACGTGGGAACCATTGTTATCATTTTTGGAAGGGAGCGGCTCAGTCCAAAATCTTTTGCCTCCAAACAAGAGGCGGTTAAACCGCGTCCAGAAAAGACGATGCATGCACCAAGGCAAGGCCTGAGAAAGAATGCTTGTGCCACCACAGTTGGGTTCCTCCTTTCTTTGACTGCTAACTGGTGTTCCCTCCTTCTGGTCTTTTTCTTGAATGTTTGCAAAGGGTTGTCTTGCGGCGTGTGAGGCTTTGTTCATGCGAAAGCCTGCATCTTGAGCTTTGATGAGAATTTGCTGATTTCTAGGCATATTGTGATTGCTGCAAGACACAGCCCACATCCTTGCGAGACACGACACACCCATAAACAAACCCCATGGCCGTCTCGGGTTCAGGATGTTCCGCGTTCCAGCAGGGCCTCCTCCATGGCAAACTGCCTGCAAGGCCCACGGGCTGGGACGGGACCAGCCGCGCGGCGTCCCTCCCAAGCTCCAGGCGGCTTCGGATGAAGGCGGGGCCACGCGGCCTCCGCCGCCTAAACGAACCAGGCTGGAGGCTGCGCCTGGCCACACTGAACTTCATGCTGCGGTGGGCCGCCTCCCTCCTCAGGGACGCAGCGCTGCAGGGCCTACGCCCACTCAGGAGATCAACCTGCTAGCAGATCTGACTAAATCAGGTGTCGCAGTGAATCAGTTGTTGGATGACATTTGCCTTGGCTCGGGCTCGGGCGGCCTTGGCAAAGGCGACATCGTCGTCTTATGCTTCACATGTGCGGATGATTTCATGGGCCTGCAGTTGTCTGGGTGAGCTGCCCATGCCGGCCTCTTTGGATCTTATCCTGCGGGTTTCTGCCTTGATCAACAATCATCATACTCTGCGGGTTTGGCTGGCGGCGTGGCGCGACTGGCACATTCAGGAGCGTGAGCGCTGGCCTGGAGACCAGAACCCGTTTCTGAGGCGAGTTCGCAAAGGCACTGAGCGCATAGCTCCCAGACCAAAGCCCAAGGGCCGGGTGCGGTTTCCTCTGTGGCGAAAGCTGCTCCAGCTTGCAGCACAGAAAGGCCTCACTGCATTTGGAACTTTGTGCAATCTGGCTTACATTTTTGCAGCCCGAGTCCCCTCAGAACTGTTACGCCAATGCAGATGGTGCAACTTGACTATTCAAAATGATACCTTGACTTTCAAGGATGTTCAAAGAAAAGGCAAGCCTTGCCTATCCAACTTGCGCAGATGGTGCGTTTGCGCAAAGGACGAGCTGTTGTGTTGGCACTTGTGGCTTGCAGCGCTGAAGGAGGTGAGGGCGGCAAACTGCAGTCCTCGGGACCTGCTTTTCCCCTTCTCCGCAAGCTATGTAACCTGCACCTTGCAATCCTTGTTGTTGGAGTGTGGTTTTTCTGCTGACGAAGCTTCGCTATTCACAACACATTCCTTTCGACGGGGGGCCGGGGTGGATGTACTAGAGGCTGAAGGCACAACGTGCTCCTTGCTGGCCGGCGACAACTGGCGCAGAGTCGGTGCATATGGTCTCCCAGGAATGCTACACATGGGAGAGTGGGCAGCCAAAGGAAGCGCTGCTCACTACGCCACTGCGGATGAGCAGTTATGCGCTGGTATGACTTTCAACATTCTCGAGGCTTCAGACGAGGACGCATAAACCATTGCTTCAACCCCAATCTTGGTGCCAAGGGTCCCTATGGAATTCATCTTGGCACCTTTTGATCGGGGAATCCCTTTGAGAAAAGGCCTTGTGCAGTTGCTGCTGCGTGCCTGCATCCTGGACATTTCACTCCACATCGCAAGCTAATGCAGCGTTGCAGAATTGCAGACGCAAGTTAGCATGCATTGGAGTTGCCTATTTTACAGCCTTTGCAAGTCAAGCCCGGCCTTTGAGCCAGCTTTCCCTCCCAGCGCCACACCCTGGGGAATTCATCTTGGCACCTTTTGATCGGGGAATCCCTTTGAGAAAAGGCCTTGTGCAGTTGCTGCTGCGTGCCTGCATCCTGGACATTTCACTCCACATCGCAAGCTAACCCTATTTTTTCCATTGGCTTAGGCTTTAAGGGGAACCAAATGAAACGAACCAGTTGTGGGTCCACGCCATATTCTTGCTTTCCAGCGGAGATCCCAGGCCTGGTGCCGCAGTCGGCGCCCAAAGCACCCTGCGGAACTTCGTGTGGGGTCCAAGAGGGATGGGATCCGATCTATTTGCCAACATAGTTCCCATGCTTTGGGCAACCAGCCTCAACCAGAAAGTTGTATGACGGTACGGCTATTTGGGCTGCGGATCTTTCGACTGCTTGTTGGTTGAGGGCCGGATTTTCCGTTTTGCGGAGGGGTCAACAGCAACCAAGCAGTTGAAAAGTGACTATGGGAAGATCACGTTTGCCAGGACCCTTTCACCAGTATTGCGCAAGGGAACCTTGTGATGTTGGGTAGTGAGTCATAACATGTCCCCTCCCACCAAGTAGCATAGAGCCTGACAGGGACCCGGTCCCTTTGAAAGGAACGTGGTCCAAACTAGGACCCCCTGTCAGTTTCCACGTTTGTTGGTGGAAGGGTAGATAGGTGTCGTTTTAGGTTAGTTTGATTAGAAATAGTTTAGTTCAAACCAAAAGGACACCGTTGCCATTTTGGGGGTCTTAAGAGGACACTAGTCACATGAGTCATGTCCTTTTGATCGGTTAGTTTGAGCAATGAATAGATGAGTAAATGAAATGGATGGGTTCCAGCGGCTTTGGGGATCAAAAGGACACCCTTCCGATGCCTTCCTTTGGGCTTTCCGTGCGCTGTGAGTTGTGCTTTCCGAAAGGGAAGCTCTGGATCTCGTCAAGCTGACTCGTACGACATGCGGCCTCTCTGTCAAAGGTTGTTCTCGTGTCTTGAGGGAAACGGCAGCCGAAAGGCGCCACGGGCGCTTCGATTTGAGGAGCGATTTCACTGCATGCAGCAAAGCTTTAGACCCAAGCGAACGGAGCGTCGCCCAGGGGCACACTGACAGCCTGCGCGGAGCCCAGACAGAAGTTGACCTTGGTGGCGATGTACCACTGACCAAAACTGTTGTTTCACGTACAAGGCAACCCAATTCTGATTTGGCCCTAGTAGAAGTGTAGCGCACTGTGTTTTGTACTGCCTTTGGTTCGGGGTTCCGAACCATTTTCTTCTATGTCCTAAGTTATAGCACCCCTGGCAATGCTATCCCGCAAAACGGTGCTGCATAACCCTGGTTTAAACGTCCCCGCAAAAAAAGCCGCTAGGCTTGATGCAGATTTGATATGTTCGGTCGTTCCACCTGGAATCCTATGGCAAGCATCTTTCGGGCATCACCAGATGGGTTTCGGAAAAACGAGTGAGTCTATGATGGTCCCTTAAATTGATCCCATTAGTTTTGGTATTAATGTTTCAATCGAGGTTCTCATGTGTTCCTTGCTGGTTGATGGAACCGTTTCAGGAGGCACTTGGCTGGTTCAATTCAACGGCAATGCAATGCTTAAAGCAAGCTGGCTATGAGGAGAATCCTGAACGAGTAGGCTCAGTTTTGTGGTTGCGCACAGGTCCGACTTCCAACAGTCGCGGGTCCCGGATTTTGGGAAGATTCTGGAAGCAATTACTTCACTGACTATTGCATGGTTTGGGTATTTGGGGTGCTGATCAACTTAATTGGCTGCTGCAACAACATTGTGTCATGCCCAAGGTTTCTTGCTCTCCGACCTTTGGATGCGCGAATGGGTGGCGCTGGATGTTGCAGGCTCCCTACCTTTGGAAAGGCCAATTCGAAGTGAGCACCCTGCGTTGATGTTTGAAGGCTGGAAATGATAAGATTTAACTTACCCAGAGGGAAGCTGAATGATGGGATCTTTTGTAGGTAGCCAGCCATAGGTACCTTTTTTGGGTTGGTTTACAGGGGCAGAAAAATGAAAACCTTGCCGGGTCCCTGAAAGGTCCTTTCCTGCTCTTTCAGCTCGTGGCCAAAGAGTCGTGACCTCAGCTGCCGTTTGGGGTACTTGGGAACGAGCGAATGCGCCCAAACTGAACCATCCCTTGTAGTTTAGTCTGTGATATGGTGCTAAATTGCCCATATATGTGTACTACAGTCTTTGTTCATATCTACACATATATATATATATATGTTTTTTCCTACACACCCTGTTTAAGACCCATTTAAGAGGTGTGATGCAGAAAATTATCGTGAGATATAAAAGCGGGCGTGCAGCTGATGGACGGGTCATGCAAAGCCCGCAAGGATTTTAAACTTGCACTTCTGCACAAGACCCTACGTTTGGATAACAAAGGGAAGCCCCTCATGGTGGAGAAACCCGCCAGGGAGTCCCCTCATGTCCACGAAAACCTAAATAAGGTTGCATGGGCCATACACGGGCCACTACATCTCGCTTGAGAACATGCAGCTTTGCCTTCCGAGTACCCTATTTGTGGTTGGGTTTCCCTTGCAAGGCCCGCAAGAGGCCTTTTGGCCCGAACCTGGGGTATCACAAGGGGTGACAATTAACAACCATGTTTAGAGCTCGCTGAAATGGTCCAGATAAAAGCTTCCCAAGAGTGGAATGAACATGATTCCTGAGTCACAAACAATACCTAGATGAATGCCGGTGGTTGGCGTGGCATGACGCCAGTTTGATTCGTTGCCATTGGTTTTTGGTAGGCCGCTTCGTCTCTTCGTTGATGGTTTGCCTTCAAGGTTGCGATCTTGTGACCTCCATTTTTCTATTGTTTTGCCCTTGTTCCAAATATCATGGAAGAGAACAGATGGGTTTTGGACGACTTTCCTCATCGCAAAGGAATGCCCCAAAGTCCTTTTGTTGTTCCATGACCTTCACCAAAACGTAGAAAAGGTTACGTGGGGCACACGGTGTGACTCAGCTTGTGTTGGTTGTAATCGGGGTGGCTCAGGCCAGACGCGAAGCGGCCACGCAGCTCGGTTTGCATGGGGCACGGCTTTGGTGCAGCCCCACGGCACCAGAAGAGCTGAGGATGTCCACCCACCCTTCCCCCAAAAGATGGGTTGAATAGTATAGTTTTCAACGTGATGTACTTATCAACCATGTAAACCCCAATGCATGCATGTCTCACTTGTGCAGTCTCATCATCACGACTGCACGTGGCTCAAGGAAAAAGCGCGCTGAGTACAGGGTTCAATTGTGACCCTTCCCGGTTGTTTAACCTGTTCTATAGATTATCAGCCGTAAGCGGCTCTTTGTATAGAGTTGTACGCCATGGATGGCGACCCTGGACTACCCCATACCGAGGTGCGTCCCACACCTGGTGAGCCAGCAGGCGATGAAGACGCCTCGCAATATGAACCGACTAGTCGAGCAAACTCCCAAGTGGCCAGGGAGCTCATCAGGAAGGGACAAGCGCTGAGCAGTCAGGGCCCCGAATCACTTCGATCCCGGAGTGACCGTGGGAGGGCTGGGCGGTCTGGTGCTCGATCTCCTTCTCCTGTAGGATCAGATCGGCATCGGCATGGTGATATCGTCATGTACGACCCCCAGACCGATCTCGCAAGGGGAAACCCTATGCCACAGTCCATGAATCAGTTCAACCAACATGTTGCGAACGTCCACCTCGATCCATCAATGACGATCAACCAGGACGTGACGAACTATCAGCAGATCAACGCTACCCAGAACAATGCCCAGTTCAACCAGTTCGTGAATCAGGACACCGGTCCCATGGTCGCCCAGCTGGCGGAGGCAAGGCATGGTGAGATCATTGCCGGTCTCCAAAGCCAGTCGGAGGCCATGAGACGCGAGATTCAGATGAATGCGGAGCAGCGTGCGAACACCATGAAGTCAGAAAGAGAAGCCGAGATGAAGTACCAAAACGCCATGAACACGATCAGCGAGCAGGAGAAGCAGATCAGGGAGCTAAGGGCTATGGTCGAGCAGATGGTGCAGAATCAACAGCAACCGCCTGCTCAACCTGCTCCAGCCCCTGCGCCTCCTGTTCAGCAGGCACCAGCTACCCCCTTGGCTATCCCGACAGTTCCTTTGGCTGCATCTCCACCCGGACTTTCGAATGCTTCCTCACACAGTTGGACGAGAGTCGGGAACGACCCCTACGGCAAAGACGGATCCGTTCCCGCCGGGGCCGTGGACGATGCTGCTACCGGAGACGGTTGGCCTTGCGATGATGGTGATGGTGGAAATGACAAGGACAAGAAAAAGAAGAAGAAGAAGAAAAAGAAGAAGGACCGTAGCCGACGCCGGCGACGAGATCCGTCATCTTCTCCCTCGTCATCTTCATCATCAACTTCAACTGCATCGGATGAATCTTTTCGACGAAAGCTACTGAAGCACTTAGGTAATTCGAGCGATCCGACAGCGGAACGCGTTCGTGTAAAGGAGGGTGACAGAATTCAGATTCCCCGATTCCCGAAGCCCGAACAGTACCGTAATTGGAGGATCAAAGTTAGGGATGCTGTTGTTGCTACTTCCGACCAACCCGAAAAGGCATTCGAATGGATTGAGGCAACTTGGATCCCAGGCCAAACTGTTGAAGTCCTTCGTGATTCAGGAATGTTTGTCCATCTTGATGCAAAGCTGGCATCGGCGTTGACGAATATCTTGGAGGGCGACCTCGCGCGGCAAGTGGACATTTTCAAAGAACAAGAAGCAAAGGAGAAACGCTATGCGAGGGGGCGCCAAATTCTTCTGATGGTTCACAAGCACTTCAGCACGAACATCAAACATGGTGCAATTTACGACTTCGAGGACCTGCTCTCTGTCCAGCTCATCAACGAGGACCTCAAGAACTTTATGACAAGATGGGATACGGTCATCGCTGGAATGGGCAACGAGCAGAACGAGAAGACCCTTGAAGCGCTGTTCCACCGCCAGATTCGAAAGTTTCGGCCCCTCAGTCATGATCTCAATGAGTATGAGCGAGCTGAGGAAGGTACGGAAAAGCACTCCTATAAATTCTTGATTGACGCATCGAGGAATTATTTGGAGCGCAAGAGGCTTGTTCACATGCGGGATGCTATGTCAAGCAACACAACGGGGCGTGGCAGGACTCCATCGAACAACCCTGCAGTTCCTGGAATCCCCAAGGGTGTATGCATCAAATTCCAAACTGGCCAGTGCACCTATGGTTCAGACTGCCGATTCGAACATGTCAAGGCACCGAAAGGTAAGGGGAAAGGCAAGAAGGGCGGATCAAGATCCCAGACGCCGAGGAAGTATCGTTCGCAGAGTCCCCCTGGTTCAAAGCCCCAGGTGTGCAAGTTCTTCAAAGCGAACAGATGTGAGAGAGGGAAAGATTGCCCATGGCAGCACCCCGCAACTTCCAAGGCAGCTCCAGCCCCAAAGGCCGAGAAGACCACTAGTGGAGACACCCCCAAGACGTCGCCGAGGGACAAGAAAAAGAAAAAGGGGAAGAAGGGTAGCAGGCCTTCTTCTCAAGATTCGAAAGATTCAAAGGGTTCTCAGTCCCTCAAGTCTCCGCGATCGTCAAAAGGCAGCAATGCTGCGGTGTGCCTCCTCCAGGCGATGGTGTGCGCCGCGACCCTCGACTCGGTCGCCTCGCATCCTTGCTTGCCTAGTGTGACTCACGATGTTTTCCAGAGTATGCCATGCATCAAGAAGTGCGTGCAATTTTCTGATTACCCATCCATTTCGAACTATGAGACTGACGGCGAGCTTTGGCCCTACACTGCCTCGTCGAGAAGGTTTGCACACGAGTTTCCTGTTGATTATGTTCCGAAGTTCGATGAGAGAGCCGTCTCTGACGCAATTCTTATCGGCACCATGCATGAAGCTATGATGAAGGATTTGCTCAAAGGCACGAAGACTCCTTGCAAATTTCAATGCGACTCTGATTTCGGTTGTAATTCCTGCATCCCCGCAGGCCTAACGGCCGAGCCAGAGAAGCCCGCGACCTCCCCCAAAAGGGGGAAAGCTGCTGTTGCTCGAATAACAATGGATTCTTCTCACATTCCGTGGATCGCAGATACAGGAGCTTCTCAGGACTTGCTATCGGGAACCGATGCGGAGATGGGATGTATTTACGAATCGTCTCAGCCTCTGAAATTTTCCACAGCTAATGGAAATATCATCGGTACAAAGCAGGCCAGGGTCAAGATCCAACAGACCGATAGTGTTTTTCGGCCATATGTTCTTGACAAGGCTCCATCCGTGTTATCCGTGGGTATGAGATGCCTCAGGGACGGATATGATTTCGTTTGGAGAGCCCACAGCAGGCCTTATTTTCGACTTCCGGATGGTTCACGCATCAAGCTCGAGGTCAAAGACAATGTTCCATTCATTCCCCCAGCAACTCATAATGCTGTTCCAGCTTTGTCACAGAGCATTCCAAAGGTTACATCATTACCATCAGCTCCTATTGAAATCGATGATGAAGTTCTGGTCATTGACGAGGAACCCGAAGCTGTTGAAGAGGTGCTTGTGACCAATGAGGATGATGGGGATGAATTGGGGAACGACGATTTCTTGCTTGAGGACACAATTAGCCAACCGGAAGGTGAGGTCATTGAAGAGTGCCATGATATTCCCTCCGAAGATGCGCCTAAGGTCATCGCTTCCGATTTTGTGTCGAAGCCTATTTTGAAGGACGCCCCTCGCGAACGCGGTGAAGCAGCTTTGCGTGATGAGGCGACCTCACTCCAGCACTTGATGTGTCACACTCCCAAAAATCCCTTTTGTGAGACTTGCAACAGGGCGAAGATGTACAAATATCCATCAAGACAAAAGGGAGGTTCCACTCAAGTCGAGGCCAAGAAGTTTGGTGATCACCTTACGGCGGACCATCTTATTACATCAGATGATCGTGAAATCGGCATTGACCAATCTAGAGTTGCACTTGTTGTTCGAGATGTTGCCACTGATTTCCGTTATGTTTACCCAGCAGCACGGAAAACCTCTCATCAGTGTGTGATGGCATTCAAGCACTTTGTCCGCACCGGGGAAACCGTGAACGTGTTTTACAGTGATCGGGCTCCTGAACTTGTGAAAGCGGCAGATCAATTGGAATGGAAGCATGTTCAAAGTACAAACTACATTTCCAAAACAAATGCTATTGCTGAGAGGAACGTCAGGGCGATTATCGAGGGCACGAGGACCAACCTGGAACAAGCTGGTTTGCATCATTCGTATTGGCCACATGCGGCCAAACACTATTGCATGGCGCACAACATCACGGACCACCCAGATTATTATTCACCATGGAAGGTACGTTTTGGAGAAGATTTTCCCGGACCATATTTGCCCTTTGGTTGTCAAGTCAACTTTTGGACCGGCCCGAGGAATCGACCCAACAAGCCTTTGAAGTTTGAACCCACTTCCAGGGCTGGAATATTTCTGGGGTATCCTATCCATCCTGACTTTCTTTGGCGTCATGAATTTCTCGTTATTCCTTTGCGAGATTTGATGGAGAAGGACTATGATCAACCTATTGCTCCTTTGAGGGTAAATCAAATCAAATGTCCGGATGGCGAATTCTCTTTTCCAATGGTCGAACGGCACTTATTGCACATGAACGGCGTTATGCCGGGGCTCGAATATGCTCCTGGGACGCCCGATCCAGCTGCATTGGATGCGCCGCTCTTGGAGGAGGATTTGCCGGCAGAGATGCCAGGCCAGGATGACATTGATGATCAGGAACTTGCTGAAAACCTCGGAAAGCTGATCAAAGATTCCCCCAAAAAGGGACCCGCATCGGAGGAGATGGTCAAAGTCATTGATTTGAAGACCAGCAAGGACACCTTTGTTCCCAAAGATGGAGGTGCTCATTACGATGCGGGGGGTGTGAAAGCCCGAAGGTATTCAGGATCGAGCAAACCCGACAGTATTCCACCTTTTCTTTGGAAAACAATGTCAACAAAACAGCGGAGACTCGCCATCATCAAAGACGAACGAGAGAAGGCTCGCGAGGCTTTGTTCGATGAGCCCGT